CACTAGCACCTAGAGCGTCGGCAGACTCACGGGCACCTAGAGCTGCAGCAGACTCACTAGTACCTGGAGCGGCAGCAGACTCACCAGCACCTGGGGCGGCAGCAGACTCACTAGAACCGAGAGCAGGAACCTCTACACAGCCAGGGACGCATCGCTGAGAAGCACAGTCGCGACGTCGCTTAGGCCACTGAAAACCAAAACCTCCACCACCAGGCCTGCCTCGCTGAACAACCCACTCACGAAGCTGCTGAGGGGTGGGTTCGTCCGGGAGAGGCAGTGCCCGCTGCTGTCCACCCCTGGCCGCAGCAACTGCCGCGATAGTGGCCATGACAGACAGCGACGGTCAGGAGTAGGTCCAGCACCTCCAGCTCCTCCAGCACCAGCAGCACCTCCAGCACTCCCAGCAGCACCTCCACTAGCAGCAGCAGTAGCACGAGTAGCAGCAGCAGTAGTAGTAGCAGCAGCAGGGCAGCTCAGTGGGGCTGGGCGGCCGCACCTCCAGCACTCCCAGCAGCACCTCCACCAGCAGCAGCAGTAGCACGAGTAGCAGCAGCAGCAGTAGTATTATTATTATTATTATTATTATTATTATTATTATTATTATATTATATATATATGTATATATATATTTTTTAGGGTTTAGGGTTGCGCGCGGCCCACGGGCTGCAGGGGCGACGCGCGGCTCGGCAGGGCGGCGCGCGGGCTGTAGGGGCGGCGCGCGGCTCGGCTGGGCGGCGCCCAGGCTGCAGGGGCGACGCTCGGCTCGGCAGGGCGGCGCGCTGGCTGCAGGGGCAGCGCCCACGGGCTGCAGGGGCGACGTGCGGCTCTGCAGGGCGGCGTACAGGCTGCAGGGGCGACGCGCGGCTCTGCAGGGCGGCGTACGGGCTGCAGGGGCAACGCGCGGCTCGGCAGGGCGGCGCGCGGGCTGCAGGGGCAGCGCCCACGGGCTGCAGGGGCGACGCGCGGCTCTGCAGGGCGGCGTATGGGCTGCAGGGGCGACGCGCGGCTTTGCAGGGCGGCGTACGGGCTGCAGGGGCAGCGCCCACGGGCTGCAGGGGCAACGCGCGGCTCGGCAGGGCGGCGCGCGGGCTGCAGGGGCAGCGCCCACAGGCTGCAGGGGCGACGCGCGGCTCGGCAGGGCGGCGCGCGGGCTGCAGAGGCAGCGCCCACGGGCTGCAGAGGCGAACGCGCGGGCTGCAGGGGCAGCACGCGGGCCACAGGGGCAGGCACGGCTGCAGGGGCAGCACGGTCGCAGGGGCAGGCACGGCTGCAGGGGCAGCACGGTCGCAGGGGCGAGTACGGCTGCAGGGGCAGCACGGTCGCAGGGGCGAGCACGGCTGTAGGGGCAGCACGGTCGCAGGGGCGAGCACGGCTGCAGGGGCAGCGCGGTCGCAGGGGCAGCATGTGGGCTGCAAGGGCAGCACGGCTGCAGGGGCAGCGTAGGAAGAAAAATTTTACGGTTAGGGCAGGGCGGAACGTTCGGTGGGCCCTATAAACGATTCTGCTCTAATACCATGTTAGAATAAGCAGGCAAGAATGATGGACTAGGTAGCATGCATGAGTACAAGTACCTAACCCTAAAGTGTTGTACCCCTTGTAGGCTAACCCACTATAGCCTAGAGAGAACACAAACATACAGTTTGGCACATCCCTCGGTCGATCCCCTGTGGCAGCCGAACATCGGTATCGTTCTGCAGTCATCACGGAGGGAAGGGGAGGGAAAATAGGAAGCCGCCTGCCTCTGCAATTTTAGGTTCGAAATGGCGGTCAGCCCGGAAAAGGTTGATGTGGCAGTCATTTCCCTTCCGAACCTAATCGAAGGGAAATGCCTGCAGAACCGTCATTTCCCTCCAGGGAAATGCACCCCGAGGAAGGTTCCTATTTCCCCTCACCACCTTCCTCCTCGGACAAATTTATTTGCCTCCGCCCCGCCATCGGCCACCCACCCTTCACGGGGAAGTGCGACGGTGACAGGAGGGAGGAGCTGGGCGTGGGAACACCAGCCTCCCACCCAAGAAACAAGCTTCCTGTACAGCCACTAACCCAAACAGGGTTGCAAATCTCAAATCGAAAAATAAAAACACACACCAACCACCAAAGTGAAAACCCTGGTGGCCTGCTCACCACTCGTGTATGTTGGGATGTTTTTATGTTGAAAACGCCCAGCCCCAAATAATTACCCTGGTCCTGCATTCGATGGTCACAATTTATCCCTCCATTGGGCGCGAGAAATTCCGCGAGAACTTTGTCATTTTCCCTCGGAAACTACCTCCCCAAAATCCGAAAGTTCCCATCTCGCATGTTTGCCCAGGGGGGGGAAATCGACCTCGGAACCCACCTCGAAACCCTCCTCATTTCCCTTCTCCCTCCCTCCTCCCCCAATCGTCAGGTGCCTACAGAACGACACCATCGCCTTGAGGGCGCGTGGTTGGAGGCTGCAGGCAAGAACCTCCTTCGAGGCCCAGTTCGGCAGCCAGGGGGCAGCAATTTTGTAGGAAGGTTATGGGAAGGTGAGGCTCGCGTCAAACCAGGGTCAACGAATTTTGACCCTGGGTTGACTGCTCCGCGGAAAACCTGTGCCATGGGGGAGCTGGTGCAGATTGGGGGGGGGAATGGGAAAAGGCGCCGCAGGAGAGTGGCAAATTTGGCCTCAAAAGTGCTTGCCCCAGGGCACTGTAGCGGGAACAGAAAGGTTCGCCAGGGCCCAGTTCGGCAGTCACGGAAGAAGGGCGGAAGAAAAATGTTTCCGTCTTCTTCGAAGCTTCTAATCGCATTATCGAGGGCAAAACAGTACGGGCTGTAGGGTAAACTTTCTGGAAATCGAAACGCAGGTGTTTAGCAACAGCGACGCGAACACCTCCAAACATTGCTTCCGCGCCGTCTTCTGTCCTTATTCTCCCCCCTTTGGCGGAAAGGTTCCGCCCTAGTGAGACGGAAGAAGAAAGTGATGCTTTGAAAACAGAAGAATCGACTTTTTGATTCCACCTGGATTCACTGTTCACGGGCCAACATTGGACCCTACAAAGGAAAGGATTACTACATTAAAAAACACAATGATCGTTTTTTTGAAAGTTGGATTTCCCCAACAGCATGGGGCGCAAATCTTTTGTTTTTTCCTGGCGAACCTTTCTGTTCCCGCTACAGTGCGCTGGGGCAAGCACATTTGAGGCCAAATTTGCCACTCTCCTGCGGCGCCTTTTCCCATTCCCCCCCCAATCTGCACCAGCTCCCCCATGGCGCAGGTTTTCCGCGGAGCAGTCAACCCAGGGTCAAAATTCGTTGACCCTGGTTTGACGCGAGCCTCACCTTCCCATAACCTTCCTACAAAATTGCTGCCCCCTGGCTGCCGAACTGGGCCCAGAAAAAAACAAAAGATTTGCGCCCCATGCTGTTGGGGAAATCCAACTTTCAAAAAAACGATCATTGTGTTTTTTAATGTAGTAATCCTTTCCTTTGTAGGGTCCAATGTTGGCCCGTGAACAGTGAATCCAGGTGGAATCAAAAAGTTGATTCTTCTGTTTTCAAAGCATCACTTTCTTCTTCCGTCTCACTAGGGCGGAACCTTTCCGCCAAAGGGGGGAGAATAAGGACAGAAGACGGCGCGGAAGCAATGTTTGGAGGTGTTCGCGTCGCTGTTGCTAAACACCTGCGTTTCGATTTCCAGAAAGTTTACCCTACAGCCCGTACTGTTTTGCCCTCGATAATGCGATTAGAAGCTTAGAAGAAGACGGAAACATTTTTCTTCCGCCCTTCTTCCGTGGCTGCCGAACTGGGCCTGCGCCTTCTCCCATGTGCTTTCTCGGGAAGGTTCTGACTTGAAAGGTCACACCCAAACCATCGCCAGTGACCACTCAAACAGCACAGCAGCGTGAAATGGGTGGCGACTGGGTAGACTCGTAGCTGAATCGGCGCGCAGTGGTCGTAAATTTGCCACGTCGGCTTGAAAAAAATGTCATTGAGGCTCGAATCTCGTTGGATAAGGTCGGGGCGTTTCTGGCGAAGCAGAGGTCGATTCTGAGACCGGTCGCACTGGTCGTCGCACGCCGCCTTACGAGGAAGTTTCGCGTTGAACAGGCGCCGTCCAGCGCAACTTGCGCGCAAGTACAGTATGCAGTGTAGGCCATCGCCGCCGGTCATTTCCTCCCATCGCAAATCTCTCTCGCAAAGAGCCTACTCATCCTTGGCGGTTGAGCGTTAGAAGCGGAACCTCCCGCTAATGTTTCTCGCAGTCGCCAGATCTGAGTAACTGTCGCTCGCCGGGGCCGTCGCACAGCGCTCCACGATGAAAGTTCGCGTTGACCAGGCGCGTAGGGCGTCGCATTATTTTCTCGCGAAGGTTCTCAATTGCAAGAAACAGGAATTGCCAGTAGTGGGGGTGGGGCGGCGGAGGAAAGCGGCGGAAAGGGGGAAAGGGAGAAAGGGGAGGGGGATTTTCCGCTGCGCCCTTCCAGAGGAGGCATCATCTCTCGTCCCCCGTGAGCCATAGGCGGAGATGGCCCCGAAAGGCGCCACGATAATTCGTGTACACTACCTGAGTCTCCCCCCTGACTCTCCCCCTCGGGAGGGGGGACGCGATGGGAGGTTTGGTAGTTGTTGTCGTGACAGGCGCCGGATTCAGGAAGCAAGTACTATATTTACGCAGGTGCCGAGGTTTACAATCCCACCCGCTTTTTCCAGCGAATGAAACTTTCAGATAATCGACTACTCCGATCTTGAACTTTCTCATATTTTCCACGAGTACTCGCGTTGACATCCGCTCGTTCGTTCGTCAGCCTCTCGTCCATATAGCGCTGAATAGTAGCTACTACTATCTTCGTCCAGCCAGGGCGCGCCTCGGTCGTGCATTGCCAAGGACCACCTCTGTTGTGTTTGGGGCTACCTCTGTCGTGGTCGCGTCGCGAGGCTTATTACTATCAAGTTAATTCTCATCCCGGAGTGACTCACTCGGAGTGAGGGAGCTCCTCGAAGCGCATCCACTATCTTGCCGAGCCGGCCCACCGATGGCGCGCCACTGGGTCGCGTTCCTCTGCGCCGCGCTGCTCCTCGTGTCACCAGGTACGACGCTGATTCGGGTGTCTCCTTCGAAACATTTCAGAGCGTGACTGTCTCGCTTCCAGTAGTTATTCAGAGGCGCCTCTAATCCATGATACAGTAAGCGAGACAGTTTATCTCAGCAGGTGAGACATCTCAGAAAGAGCGTGCATCTGATCAGTACACTCCCCATTTCTCTGCTCCTCGCTCTCTCCCTCTCGCCCCCCCTTCCTCACCTGCAGTCTTGGCTCGTCGCGGGCCTGGAGGCACCGGGTAGGGCAACCCGGGCAACGGTCAGGCCGGTGGTAACGGCGGTAACGGCTACTCTAACGATTACGCCCCTCTCCCCCTCCTCGCTCTCCCCCTCTCGCCCCCCCTTCGTCACCTGTAGTCTTGGCTCGTCGCGGGCCTGGAGGCACTGGGTGGGGCAACGCCGGTCAAGGCGGCGGCGGTAGCGGTCAGGGGGGCGGTAACGGTCAGGGCGGCGGTGGTAACGGCGGTAACGGTTACTCCTACGATTACGCTGAAGAAAGTGACAACAGCAGCGACGACAGCACCGACGACAGCATAAGCAGCAGCGACGACAGCAGTGGAAGCGACGACTATTACGGTCCCGGACTTGGCAACGGCAGCGGCAACGGCGGCGGCGCTGGTGCTGGCGCTGGGTTTGGTCCGGGACCTTGGTGGGACGATGACGGCGACCAGAACAGTAGTAACAGTAACGGTAACGGTAGTGGTAGCGGCAACGGTAACGGTAACGGTGGTTACAGTAACGGCATGAACGGGCCTCGTTTTTTCAACGGGACTCATGTGTGCTTCAACGAATCTGGCCCGTGTCACAACGTAACGGACGGCTGGGGACCCTGGTGGTTAGACGAGAACGCTACAGCACCATGCTTAAACGGAACCGGGCCGTGCTATAACGAGTCCGGCGGTTGGGGCGCGGGGCCGTGGTGGTTAGACGAGAACGCCACAGCTCCATGCTTAAACGGAACTGGCGGGCCGTGCTATAACGGAGATGGCTCCAGGCCTTGCATGAACGGAAGTGGTGGTAATGGAACTGGGCCGTGTCAGGGACGTGGTGGCAACGCGCCCGGGCCTTGTGTGGATGGAACTGGCGGGCCGTGTCAGGGAGGTGGTGGCAACGCGTCCGGGCTCAGGCCTTGCTTGAACGGAACTGGGGGCAACGGATTCGGGCCTTGTCAGGGAGGTGGTGGCAACGCATCTGGGCCTTGCTTGAACGGAACTGGTGGTAATGGAACTGTAGGCCCGTGTCAGGGACGTGGCGGCAACGCGTCCGGGCCTTGTGTGGATGGAACTGGCGGGCCGTGTCAGGGACGTGGTGGCTACGGATCCGGTCGAGGCGGCGGCAACGGTCCTTGGTGGGACGATGACGAGGAGCCTAATAACGAGTCTTCCAACGGAAACGGAGGGTTTAATAGCGGAGCGGGTCGATTTGGAGGGCCGTGGTGGCTGGATACGAACGCGACGGACGAGGCTCATCCGTGCTGGAACGAGAGCAGCCCTTGCTTCAACGCCACGGGCCGATGGGGCCCCTGGTGGCTGGACGAAAACGCTACAGCGCCTCCCTGCTTGAACGGAACTGGGCCGTGCTATAACGGGGATGGATCTGGGTGGGGTTTTGGGGGTCCCTGGTGGCTGGACGAGAACGGCACTGCTCCTTGCGTTAACAGATCCGGGCCGTGCTTTAACGGATCAGGACAGTGGTTTAACGGAACAGGACCGTGCTTTAACGGAACGGGAGCTTGCAATAACGGATCTGGGAATGGGTGGGGAGGAAGGGGAGGGTTCGGAAGAGGCGGGTTTGGTCGCGGGGTTGGGAGGGGCGGGGGATTTGGCCGGGGTAACGGTCCCTGGTGGTGGGACGAGGATGACGTGGAGGCATTTAACAGCACCACGTGGCCTTGCATGAACGGGAACGGCAGTGGTTATGGCGCTGGCGCTGGCGCTGCTGGTGGGTTTGGCGGTGGTTTTGGTGCTGGTGCTGGTGCTGGTGCTGGTGCTGGTGCTGGTGCTGGTGCTGGTGCTGGTGCTGGTGCTGGTGCTGGGTTTGGAAATGGTCAGGGAGGGAACGGTTGGGGGCAGGGTTCTGGAAACGGAAATGGAAATGGAAACGGGAACGGGTACGGTAACGGATCTGGGATGGGTCCGTGTGTGAACGGCTCGGATGGCTCCTCACCCTGCTGCAACGGATTTGGGCCGTGCGTGAATGGGAGTGGTGGTGGTAACCCGTGGGTCAACAGCAGCGGATGGGGAGGATTCGCGTGTGGCACTGCTGATCCTGCTCTCGGGAACATGACAGGTGAGAATATCAAGGGTAGACCTTTCATCTCTGGTTTTAGCATCAACAGTTTGTACCTGCTGTTGTTGGTGATGTTGTAATTGCTCCCACCTTCTCACTTGTCAGGGGAGAATACATCCCACTTCTGGTATGGCATGTGACGACGCGTGCTAAAAAACGTTACCGACTGTGTGTTCTTTTGTGATTGTCTTGGTATGTGATTGTGCTTATAACAGGCCGGGTGAGAGCATCCCTCTCCAGCTGCTCTTCTGATGCTCCGCTGCTGTCCGGAGGCTCATTCTTCCTCTCCATCTTCAAGTAAGAAACTTCTCTTTCACTTGAACTGGTTCCCACCTTTATGTTCACTACTGAGTAATGCCCTTTTTTTTTCCATTTCATTCTAGTTCATCCATGTCCACATTATAACCGTTACCAGCAACATCCCATGAATACAAGGGGGTTGTTTGTGCCGTGTATTGTATTGTTAGGATCGTCGCATATGTTAATTTGTTAACATCTGTTTTGTATTCATAGCACCTAACTCTGACTCGCTTTTGTCCCTCTCCCCCAATCCATCAGGAACGCCACTGGCCATTTCAACCTCCATTACACCATAGTTATTCGTAACATCACTACTGCCTCCTCCGTCCCCGATACAATCACACTCGTTAAGAGCAGCACTGCCTGTAACAACTCCGCCCCCACGCTCTTCTCCTTCCCTGTTGCCGCCGACGAATGGGAGCTCGCCAACTCAACGGGCGGCCCCGCCAGGTGGGGTCTGTACACCACCGTTACTGTAGCTCGGCTCTTTGACACCTTAGAGGATGTCGATGCTGCTACTATCGAGGATATTCTGGCCAGCGTTCCCAATGCTACAGTGCCTGGGGACTGGGGTAACGGTGTAACCGGATGGGGCCAGGGGTATGGTCCTGGAAATGGTAACGGATATGGAAACGGTAATGTGCGGAGGTTTGGTGTGAGTAGTGGCAGTGTGGGGAAGAGGGTAGAGCAGCGGGGGAGGGGGTTGTGGGAGGTGGCAGATGCATGGTTCAAGAGCCTGTTTGCGGCTAAGGGAGTGGAGGAGGGGAGGGAGGAGAGCAGGGAGGAGGGGAGTGAGGAGGGGGGTGTTAGTGGTGGTGATGTGAGCAGCAGCAGCAGCAAGTATGAGACGAGTAATGATGATAACAGCAGCAATAAGGATGGTAACGATGGCAGCGATGACAACGAGAACAATGAGGACAGTGACGATCTCAGCAGCAGTGACGGCAGCAGCAGTGACTATGACAACAACAACAACAGTCGTAGTGATGGGAGTGACGATGGCAGCAGTGACAACAGCAGCAGTGATTATAACAATGACGACAGCAAAGACAACGATGGGAGCGATGACAACGATGGGAGCGATGACAACGATGGGAGCGATGACAACGATGGGAGCGATGACAACGATGGGAGCGATGACAACGATGGGAGCGATGACAACGATGGGAGCGATGACAACGATGGGAGCGATGACAACGATGGGAGCGATGACAACGATGGGAGCGATGACAACGATGGGAGCGATGACAACGAGAACAACGAGGACAGTGACGACGATAACAGCAGCAGTGGTGGCAGCAGTGGCGGCAGCACTGACAGCAGCAGTGACTATGGCAACGGTGACAATAACGATGGCAGCGATGACACCGAGAACAATGAGGACAGTGACGATCTCAGTGCCAAGGCGGGGAGTGACGAAAGTGGCAGCAGTGACAATGGCAGCAGTGATTATAACGATGATGGCAGTGACAGCAACGACAGCAGCAGCGGCGGCAGTAGCAGCAGCAGCAACTTCATGCCAGTACCCCCACCGTATATATCCGCCCCTGCCACGTCACTCTCTCTCATCGTTTCCAATAGCGACACAGGGGAGCAGTGGAGTGGGCCCGTGCTGGGGGTGTTTCTCTGGTATGACAGCAACTAGCTGGTTGCCTCATGAGGGGCACTTGGTTTCTTGGGTTGTGATGAGAGGGTGTGGGTGATGGAAATAGAGTGGGCCCTTGCTGGGGGTGTTCCTCTGGTATGACAGCAACTAGCTGGTTGCCTCTCTGGAGGGAGGTTGGCTGTTGTGCTGTAATGAGTCATGGGTACTGGGTGGAGCGGTGATGAATGGATGCTGTTTGGGAGTAATGGAGTGGGTGCTGCTGTGAGAGAGCAGTGGAGTGGGTGGGCTCTTGCTGTTGGTAGTGGGGGGATGATGAATGTTTCCCTGGTATGGCAACTAGCTGGTTACCTCATGAGGAGACTTGATGGGGTGTTGTGAGTGGGGAGTGGGTCATGGGTAGTGGAGGGGTGATGAGTGGGTGCTGTTGGGAGAGCAACGGAGTGGCCTTTAGCTGGGAGTGTTCCTCCTTTGTATGACAGCAGCTGGATGGTTACCTCATGAGGGGACTTCGCTCCTTTGGGTTGTGAGTGATGAGAGGGTAAGGGTGATGGGTGTTGGGTAGAGATGAAATAATGGGGGTGGGTGATGCAGGTGGGTGGGCTTTTTTCTGTGGGTGTGATGAGTGGAAGGAATGTGTGGGTTGTTGGCTTGCTGTGTGCCCTGAGTTGGGTTGCTTGCTTGGTTTCGATGGGTGGCAGAGGGATAAGTTGTTCTCTGTGGTTGGATGAGTGGAAGGTGTGGTTCGCTGGTTCTCCTGTTGCTTGCTGGTGTGCTGGGTATGGTGATTGTTGGTTTCTCACATGTGTTGGTTGCCCTTGGTGCAACGGTTGCCCTTAGCCGCATTCAGTACAGTGCACTGCTGGATGTGTTACTGGCCAGTACGGTAGCAAGATATTCCTGCTGGTACGGTAGTTGCAATTTGCAATAGTATATTGTACATTTGTATGCAGCTTTCCATGCCTTCATGTCAATCATATAGTGAATTTTTGTTATGGGGGGAACATGCCTTGTACCTTGCAATCACCCCATTCAGGTACCATACTGGAGAGAATAGGAAAAGGCTCTGATCATAATTTTCAGGACGAGTTACTAAGATTTTTCTATGAATGACCCCCCACCTCATCCCACCCCAAAGCATGATGCGTCTGAAGATATGCATGAGAAGTGGAAATGCAAAGTCTATAAATCAGTGGCATACCGAGGCTGTCATTGTCGAACATTGATGCTTTCATTGTCATAGGCTCTGCGTGACAACCGCGGCACGACTTTCGCGCGGGGTTTGCCGCAGAATTCAGGCCTGTGTTCCAATTCCGACCCGAGCCGTCAGACCGATTGATGCCTGCGAACCGCGTAAAAAAAAACGATGTGCGTCAGGCAAGGGATGCGATGGGGTGAAGCGAAGTGAAGGTGCTTGCTCTGGCCCTCCAAACCTCATCTGAACTAACTAGGTCTTGTCACCAACGGCTACCCAAACCATGGACAAGATTCCCGAACCACACTACACGTCGTTCACGCCACGCCTGTGCCCCTCTGCGAGATCTCACCTCGTTGTGTGTATGTATTTTTATTTCACGTAAATACCAATTCCAGAGTTGATTGGGTGGACTAAGCGTTACTTTTACATTGCACCCAAAGACAAGCAGTGGAGTACAAAACACCGCTGCAGTTCACAACATGCCACGGTTGACGTTTATAATGTCCCTAAAGCACTTTTTTTTAGCCAAGTCAAAGAACCGAGCGCCTGCTTCGCTCAATTCCGGACCTACTAGTCCGCCTCGGAGCAGCCTGTCCCGCCCAATTTCACGTTGTGCCATGCGTCTGACCGAGCGGATCAACCCCGTCTCTGGTATGGCGACTGGAGCTTGACGCCTGAACCGAGAACTCCTCCGCAGACACTCCAGCAACTCCCCGAGGACCTTAGATTACCGAACTAAATCAGGGCGAACACATTCCCCCAAGCCTCACCCCTCCTTCCCTCGAGCTTTTCACAACCCCCACAAGCTTCTGACATCCCATCCCACAAGCTTTTCCCCTTCCCTCTCCCAGTCCCCCCCCCCCCCCCCCCCTCCCCCTCCCCCCAGCTTCTCAAGCACACGCCCCCTTCCCAAAGTTCTCCGCTTATCCACACCACAGCTGCAAAGCGAATTTATCGAGAGAGCCTCCACAGTTGCTGCTTGGTCCGTTGCATTTCTCTCCTCGGTTTTGGTTTCACATCCTCCAACGACTGGGGTAGTTTCAAGGCTTCTGGCGTGTTGGAGATATCTAGGTAGACTCTGCGTGTGTTCTGGGATTGGTGTCCTGAGCCATGGCGTTCTCTAGGTGGCCCTCGTGTCTGGTGGCTCTGCTGCTCATCGCTAGTTCGTGCCAAGCTCAACAAGTCATTCGGCTTGGGTTCCTCCTACCGTATCCCGATGGCGACTCTGCCGTTCCGCAACGACTCGCCGATGAATGGTTAGAACCCTCACCCGAGAGTCTCCCGCTAAGTCACGTTCACGTTTTTGGTTTGGCACGACAAAGAAATTGACGAAACATGCGTCTAAGGACGCATCCGAAACGGTCTCACAAGTCACCTCTATGCTTCTGTGAATTCACCAGAAGGTTGCATTTAAATGACAAAGGCTGCATCACAAGGTTGCTCTCCAACGGCTATGTGCATAACTGGTTTCACGATAACTAAATCTGAAGGCTGCCGTGAAAGGCTGCATCTTAAAGGCTGCAACCATCACAAGACGACTGATGCAACCATCGTGGACTTGATCGTGTCGGTCACTCGACAGCTTGTTGTTATCGCTGTAACAAGTTCCGCGAGAGAGATTCTCGAAGGCCTCGTGAGAGGTTTCATGATTAGACTCCGGCCTCGGTCGTGCATCAACGAATCCTTGCATCTTGTGCGTCCAATGCTGTCGTGGCAGGATCTCCGCCGTCCGTGTGGCTCTGGAGGTGCTGGGACCGCAGTACGAGAACAACTTCGTCGTCGAGCCGTTCGTCCAAAACTCTGCATGCGACGCCGAAGTTGCCGCTCAGGCTGCACAGGTGGGTCTGATCTGTCACGATTCATCATTTTTGTCTTTCTAGGGAAGGTTTGTGGAAGTGATTTGGAAATCTCAGGATAGGGGAGTCACGGTTCTTTGAATTCTATATCTCCGACCTCGAAGGAGAACTGGCGTGCTGATCACGATTCGAGGACGGTGTTAACGGGGTGGTCCACATATCGCCTCTTCAAAGGAGAACTGGATTGCTGAATAACGAGGACGCCCTTAACGGGGTGGTCAGATTCGAGGACGCACTCGATAGGATGTGTCGCTTTCGTCTGAACGATTCTCCTCCGTGTTACCCTTACGACAAACATTTGTTTCGCATTCTCTTGGTATCGTCATGTCGCAAGGCCACTACCTACCGTGCTCAGCATTTGTTCTCTTTTCTTCCTCTTCCCGTCTCCCGCGCATTTCAGCGACTAGTATACACGAACGTGGTCGGCGTGGTGGGTCCGGCGTGCTCCGAAGCCGTGAAGGGCGCGAACCCCGTGCTCAAGGCGGCCGGAATTCCGTTCGTCTCGTTTGCTGCTACTGCCGACGGGTTCTCCAGCGACGTCGAGTACCCCACCTTCTTCCGCACTGTGTACGTTCCTTCATGATCCTTCACGTTCCTTCATGATCCTTCACGTTCCTTCATGATCCTTCACGTTCCTTCATGATCCTTCACGTTCCTTCATGATCCTTTTCATTTGCTCGGTTGTTCGACTCTGCCGTATCCATAATGCGTGTTCGCCATTATGCTTCAATTCCTTGCCTCCCCCCGCTCCTTCCCCTAATGTCTCTTTTACTTTCAGCTTCCCTGACGCGGACCAAGCGACGGCCATCGTTTCAGTGGTAAGTTCCGTGGGCCGTCCCCCCTTCCAACCTTTCCGCCCTTTTCCGCCTTTTCCCGCCTGTTCTGCTCGTTTCCGATTACGCTCTCCTTCCGTTTCACCCCTCGTCTTGGTATTTCTTACTCCGTTAATCTCTTGTTCCCTCCGTTTCTGCTGCCTTGGTTTACTCCGCTCCGTCAAAATTTCTCTCCTCCAGATCGAGCACTTCAACTTCGACCAGATTCACCTCTTCTATTCGGACGAGATTTATGGCACCTCTCTCGCAAAGGGCATCAAGGTGAGAAGTAGTCCCATTATAAGGCGATTCAGTACACTTTACGGCACTATCGTTCTCCTCCAGATTGAGCACGTCAACTTCGACCAGAAACGAAAGAAGCTAATTTCTACTTTTCCACCCGCTCCCCATCGCTCCCCACCCCACCCACCTCTCTCCCCCCCGCGCAGAACATTCTGAGCGGCAAGCGCGTGGTGCAGCCGATCAAGGTGCCGTACCCCGTCGACCCCACGGCCCTCGACCAGTACTTCGCCAACATGAAGCCCAGCAACGCGTCCGTCTGCGTCTTCGCCACGCTGCCCAACGTCGCGGAGGCCCTGTGGGAGACGGCGTTCCGCCTGGTGCGTTGGGAGAGAGGGGAAGATAGAGACACAGAGGGAGGGAAGGGGGAAGATTTTTTTTTCAGTAGTGTTGGTCACGCTGCCCCACGGCCCTCTGTCACGATCACGCTGTCCCAGTGATTAAGTTTCCGTACTGTTACCTTGGAGCTGATATCGATCTCTTCCTCTCCTCCTTCCCCTCACCTCCCTCTTCTTTTCCCTCCTATGAACGCACTGCAGGGCCAGACAAAGTTCCCGTACTGGTACCTGGGAGCTGATGGCGCCGTTGCGTTTGACCTTGTTGGCGAAGGTACGCTTGTATTTTTCAAGAGCCGTACTTGTAACGAGGAAGGCCCATAGCGAAGCCAGTGAATGTAAAAACATGGAATTTACTCTCAATGCCTTGGTGCCGCTAGGGTCTCGCTCACGTTATTAATATGGTCTCGCTCACAATGCCTTGGTGCCGTGCAGGCAAGGACCTTACCAACCTCACTCACGCCCTCCAGGGAGAAATCGGCGTCGGGCCTTACAGTAAGTCACTGGCTCACTCACATATAGCGCTTATCCCTCGTCTGCTTTCAACTGCTGGCCTTCTAGCCTTGATGGGCTTCCCACTTTGCCGCCCTTATTTTCTAACTTTACTTTTTTACTTCCCCTGTTCCCCCCCACCCCCTTTCGTTCCTCCTGCCCGTCCCCCTTCAAACGTGCAGGGAGCAACTACCATCCGCGCACGCCCCCCTTCAACCAGTTCAAGGACTTCTGGGCCACCAAGACGCACGAGGAATTGGCACTCATTCTCCCGTTCTCGCTCTTCTTCCCCCTACCGGATCCGCTCCCCCTGCTTCCCCCTATCTCCCCCTGCCCTTCCCCCCACGCGCAGAGGGCAACTACCATTCGCGCACGTCCCCCTTCAACCAGTTCAAGGACTTCTGGGCCACCAAGACGCACGAGGAATTGGCACTCATTTTCCCGTTCTCGCTCATCTTTCCCCCCCACGCGCAGAGGGCAACTACCATCCGCGCACGTCGCCCTTCAACCAGTTCAAGGACTTAGCTTATGTCCCTTTGCCTCTCCCTCCCCCTTCCCCCGTTCCCCGTTCCCCCCCACGCGCAGAGGGCAACTACCATCCGCGCACGTCCCCCTTCAACCAGTTCAAGGACTTCTGGGCCACCAAGACGCACGAGGAGTACCCTGGCCTGCTCACACTCGATGCCTCCCCCCGGGTACGTGCGTGTTGTGAGTGACTGGTCGCAGTGAGACATGGCTTGAGACGTTTCAAATTTACCCCTGGGCATGTGCGTGCTGTGAGTGATTGACAGTTAGAAGTTTGGTGTCGAAACACGGTCTTGAAACGTTACAAAACATCTGTTTGAATGTGCGTGCTGTGAGTGATTGTGAGATCTCTCAAGCTTGACGCTTCCCCAGGGTAGTTGTGGGCTGTGAATGGTTGGGTGTGTGCAGTTTGGAATCAGTGAGACATGGTTTGAGACGTTCCAACCCCACAGTCTCTTGCATCTCACGCTCCCCCTCTTATCTGCTGCTGCTTTACCTCCCTCCCCTGCCACCGCTCTCAGTTCACTGAAGCCCGTGCCTACGTCACCAACCTGATTGATTCCATTTGGGCATTCTTTGAAGCTTTCAAGACGATTGTTGTCGACCAAGGTACAGGGCCTTTTTCCCTTTTCCTTCAGTTGATCCGTCCTGCTTGGGATGTTGCGTCTTGTGTAAGCTTGTTGCCGCAATGCTCCAGGCAAGGAGGTGTCGGCGCCACTGCTGCTGGACTGCTTCCGAGGCATCCCCTCGCAGCTTCCACCTGTTCATCCCATTCTCCATGCTATCTCCTCTCTATTCTCTCTCCTGGTCCCCCACGCTCCTCTCTCTCGCCCTTGTGTCTCCAGGCAAGGAGGTGACGGCGCCACTGCTGCTGGACTGCTTCCGAGGCATCCCCTCGCAGTGCATCGCCTTCAATGGCGCCTCTGGCACCGTCTCCTTCAACAGCACCACGGGCGAGAGGCAGACAGAGGTGTCTGCGCCCCAATATGGATTCTACAACCTCATTGACGTCACATGGAAGGTCAGTCCTCCAGAGGCTGAGATTTGAGACGTTTCAGAGAACCTAGGGAGGGCAGACTGAGGTATGTGGTGAGGCAGTCTGAGTCCTCGGCGCCCCAATACGGGTTCTGTAATCTCATTGATCACACCTGCGCCTCCATACGGGTTCTGCAGTCTCATTGACGGCACCTGGAAGGTCAGTCGTGCAGAGGCTGAGATCTGAGACGTTTTAGATAAACTAGGGGAGGCAGAGTGTTTCTTTGGTGCCCCAATACGGGTTCCACAACGGGTTCCATTGAGGTCCAATGGAAGGTCAGTGCGGCCTACAGTGATGCAAGGTGCTCTGCTGCCGCAGTGTGGCCTCTGCCCTGCACTAAGGGCTCTAGAACTTACATCCATATCAAGCACTTGATCGTGTGCGCGCTCCCCCCTGTCACACTCACTGCCACTCTGTCTCACCCTCCCTCGCCCACCACAGGAGAAGAGCAAGTGGGTGCTGGGCAGCTACGACTTCAACCCCAACCTGGACTACATTGAGCGCACCACTACCCTGTTTCCTCTTGCTTCTCTTCCTGCTGTGCCCCTGTGTACTCTGTCCTTTCCCACCTGGCAGGAGAAGAGCAAGTGGGTGCTGGGCAGCTACAAGATCAACCCCAACCTGGACTACACTGAGCGCACCATTCCCTGACCTGCTGTGCTCCTTTTATCCGCGTGCTCCCTATCGTTCCCCACCACAGGAGAAGAGCAAGTGGTTGCTGGGCAGCTACAAGATCAAACCCAATTTGGACTGCATTAGCGCCCCACTCCCTGTCCCTGACCTATTTCCTCTTGCTTCTCTTCCTGGTGTGCCCCTGTGTACTCTGTCCTTTCCCACCTGGCAGGAGAAGAGCAAGTGGGTGCTGGGCAGCTACAAGATCAACCCCAACCTGGACTACATTGAGCGCCCGGGCCCTCTCCCGGCCAGCTGGAAAACGGATCTCATGAAGCAGATTGCCGCCCAGCCTGCTGTCATCCCGGCCGGCATCGACAAGTCGCAGCCTGTTTCGGATACTTTCGACACCCTGCCCGGCGCCAAGGAGAAGGTGAGAAGCGAGAGGGAGAGGCAGGGAAAGGCTGCCTGGGGTTTGAATCTTGCGAGTCTGTAGGAAGGAGATGGCTGCCCAGCCTGCTGTCGTTCCTGTCGGCATCGAGAAGCCGCAGGCGGGTTCAGATACTTTCGGTGTCAAGGAGAAGATGAGAAGGGTGACTGGGGGAAGGGCAAGGTTCTGTGGGTTAGAAGCAGATGGTTGTGCAACCTGCTATCATCCTGGCAACATTGAAAAGTGTTTTTTCTTTCTGTGATATGCTGTGCTGATAGCTATCATGACAGCTTATGGAATAAGGTACTCGGTTTTACCGTTCCCTTTGTGTTCTTACAGGATTACAATACCACCACTACCAAGGCCCCGGCACCGTCCGGTGGTGGTGGCGGGCCGAGCACGGGAGCCATTGTTGCTCTTGTGCTGGTCATTATCGTAGCAGTGGGAGTGCTCGGATATGGTGGATGGTACTGGTACAACCGCAACTATCGCCACCCCGAGCACCAGACATTCGTTCGCATGCTTTAGAATAAGCACAATGTGCAAAAGAGGTTAGGAGTTGAGATACATTGTTCACTAGATGCGCTAAATTTTCTATACTCCTTTTGTTGTTGGAACCAATGAGGCCCTTGTTGTGATACTCGTTTTGATGCACAAGTTTTTCCCTGCTACGTAATGGTTATGCATCTTTCAACAACATATTGGTACACTAATGTTCAGGAATCATTGAACAAACCCGCTGCCCGACTCGACCACCAACTCTCTCCAACAATTCAGATGCCTGTCTTGTGCGGTGGCTACTGTTTTGATTCAAAATCAGCACAGTACCGTGACCTGTCCCCTGTCCCTCCCTGCCCTTTCAAATGTTGTCCGATTCGAGGAGAATGATGATAAGATTTGATCGTTGCTTCAAAGTGGCCACTCGACCCAGGCACAAGGCGGACAATGTAGGCCACAGTGCTGTAAATTACATATCACCTGGAGTGGTGGTACACTAGCTGCCCGTGTGGGTAGCTAAATGCGCCTGTTGTGCCAAATTTGGGGATGGAAGTAGCTACCCCCGATACACATTGGTAGGACCTTGAAACACACTGGTGCCAATTGGACATAAGTATCGGCAGAGCCAAAGGAAGATGGGGCATCAGAAAAAACAACTTGACATTGCTGGTTTCCTCGTCATCGCCAGCAATGCTACGTGTACCGAGTGGCACAGTGTCGTGTACGGCAGGGACATCCTAAATCAGGACCTTGTCGTGTTTCAGAAGTAGTGGCTATCTGAGACCATCGGATGCCAGTGGCAACCAATCCATGTTTTTTTCTCGTTATTATTTTCCATCCCGCCCTCCATTCCGCCCTCCTTCCTGCATCCACACGCAAATGCAACATTTCTGCGCACGCGCCGCCAAGAGGGAGATGGCATGATTACTGTACCAGATTTCCAGAACTTGCACCGCAAGAGACCGTACAGGATTCAATGTGTACCAAATCAAAACACACTCAACCGTTCAAATGTTGCACATCTGATCCCGCTATCAATTCCTTGCTTCTCGCATCAGCAGCGATCACACATGCCATTCGTGGCTCATGTTTCCTTTCCACCCGCGGATAGGCTGGCTGCTTCTCCAATCAACTTGGCCTATCTGCTTGCGTTGCGCGCATGTGATGTTTCTGCCTATGTTTCATGGGCAGCAGCGTGTCCTCCCTCCCTCCTACTTTGTCCGACCTGGCCTCAAAATCGGCCCTCTACACCCTTCGTTGATCCTACTTCAACTCTCTGAACCGCTTTCCACCATCACCCTCATCCTCTCTATTTTGTCCCTTACTTGCGCCTCCCTCCCCTCCCACCCCGTTCCGCCCTTTCGGTTGTTATCCACTCTACCTGCCCTCTACCTACTCTCCCATCCCAATCTAAAGCCCTGTCAGTTTATTCCCTCAGTAACGTTGTTAGGAAACTATATACGATTTAGGAACACGGTATGGCATAGGAATACGCTAGGGTTGGAGCATTTAGGAAGGAAAAGGAGCGCGCTCCCGTCCACTTAGACGCTGTACAGTCGCGATACCACTTTAAAGACATGCCTCGATCCGAGGTCGCGTGCGCGACAAGGCCGCCTGTTATAGTCACAAGAGAACCTATATCTATCGGTAGTAGCAGCAGCTCTCACTCACTCGTTAGCGAGGATGCGCCTTCGTTTCCCCAAGCGCTCTCTCCGCGAGGACACGCAGGCGCGCACGGCCGCCTGTTCCCGTGCGGAACGGAAGTGCGCGGACACGCGGAGGGCTTGCGCGGGCACGCTGCTGACGATTCGCGGCAGCCTAGCGGACACGATACTGCAAGCTTCGATAGCACTAACAGAGATAGAGTTTCTAGTAACGGTGCCGGCTGTAGCTCTGGCCAATCATGCGCGTCTGATTCAACCACTCGCGCATCCGAAGCTTCCTCCTCGCGGTCCCCGTCGGCTCTAGCCCAGCGTCGAACTAGACCGCCGCGACTCCAGCTCCCCGCGCCTCCCGGCAGCAGCGCAATCAGCGGCAGTGGGGACGCCAGCAGCAGCGGGAGCGCCAGCGGCCGCGGAAACGTCAATGGCGGTGGGAACGCCAGCGGAAGCAGCAGCAGCAGCGGAAGCCGCATCTCCCCGTCCTGCGCGCCCGCATCTGCGCGGTTTTCCACCGCGGGGCGGTGCGCTGCCTCTCCCCCCTCCGCCGTTCCCTGGTCCCCGACGAGCTCCCCGTGTTCCGCACCCCCGACTCTTTCCCGCGCCGTGCGCTCCCCCGCCGCTTCCGCCTTCCCCTGCTCCCCCGCAAAACTTAGCGCGTCAGACCCGTTCGGGCTTGCGAGCCCGCAAAGCACGCCGAGCGAAACGCCTCGGGAGATCGTCGCTCCGTCGCCAAGAGCCCGGGGAAGCGCTTCGCGGGGATCCCGCGGAGGGGCCGCGGAGCCCCACGGAATGCCTCAGCCTGTGCGCTCACACCGGTCCGGCGGGTCGACGGGGGAAGCGGTGGTGGCAAAGGTGACCGCGCTTCGACTGGATGACGTGGCGGAGGTTTATTCGTCGGATGAAGAATTTCTGGACATGTTTTGCGAACGCGACTCTGACATTCGCGATAACTTACGCGAACAAGGAGTGCGCGACCACAATGGCGGCGCGCACGGCGTCGCAGGGCAACACTCGTCGACGGCGGTAGCAATTCCCTCTGCGACTGGTGCGACTGTGTCCAGATCGCCGTCGCTGTCGCAGTTGTCGCAGCGCTTCGTCATACCGCATTCGCACACCGTGCCGCTTCCGCCGCCGTCTCCTGCGGGCGCGCGGAGGGCGCTGCGGAAGGCCTATAGCCACAACGACGAGAAAAACGTCCGCGCGATCGGCGGAAGCGGTAGGCGCAACTCCCGCTTGGCGCAGGCGAAGGCGGGTGGCGCAAGTCCCGTTCAGGCGGGCGGGTTTCACTGCTATGCGGTAGAGGAGTCCCCGCACACCCCCGCGCGTAGCCGCGGGGAAGGGTCTGCGGTAGATTTCGCGGAAGGGCCCGCGGAAGGTTTTGCGGAAGGCTCCGCGCATAGAGGCGTGGGGGTTGATCGCAACGATGCCGGTGACGATAACGCGACTTCGCGTGGCGGTAATTCTGACCGTTGGATCGACGATACGGACGACTGGATGCCGCCCACGCCAAGACGGCAGCAGCAGACGCAGACGCAGGCGCATACGCAACAGCAGCAGCACCAGCAAGCGCAGCAGCAGCAGCAGCACCGGCGCGAGCTTCAGAAGCAGGGGTCAAATCCCGAAACTCGAGGCGCCTCGAGATCCGGAAATCGCGCTGGGGATGTCGGCCATCCCGTGGCGCCCCATGCGGTAACCAGCGCTGCGGCGCAGATAAACTCCGGAATGGCGCAAACTCACCCCGCGGCGCGTTTCTCGCCACGCACGGTTCGCGGGACGACCGCGGCTATAAGCGGACGATCGCGCAGCTCGTCGGATCTGCAGCGCGCCGCCAATACCTCCGCGCTTCTCCCGCATTTTCCCGCTTCCCCTTCCGCAGATTCCCCGTCCGCCGCTTCCCCTTCCGCCCCGTCCCCTTTCCCTGCCTTTCCACCCTCTCTCTCCGCGCCCTCCGCCCGCCCCACGCTAGCTCTCGTCTCCCCCTCTTCCTCCTCTTCCGCCGGCCCCTCCCCCTCTTCCGCTTCCCCTTCCCCTTCGTTCCCCGCCTTCCCGCCGCCGGCGGCGCTCGCATTTCGTACTGCTAGAGCCACTGCCGTCAGTAATGCTCGAACCGCGGCCGCTCGAACCGCGATAGTTGTTCCAACCTCCCCTCGCTATTGTCCCACATCGCCACGTCACGATCCTCTTTCGCCGCGTCTGCAGCCCCTATCATCGCCACGTCACAGGCCGTCTTCGCCACGTTGCTTCCCCATTTCGCCAGATCAGCACGCCCCCGTCTCGCCTCCTCATTTACCCGCTTCTCCACGTCACTGTCCCTCGTCCCCACGCCACCTCCCTACATCGCCTCGTCATCTCCCGTCATCTCCACGTCAGCGTGACGTGGCACCTGCGTCCCCTCGCCGCCTGACGGGGATCGCGGCGGCACTCGCGGCGCAGGCCGCGGCGGACGCGGCGGCGGCAATTCCGTCCGACGTGGATTCGGACGAAGAAGCGATGGGGATCCTAAACGCGCTGCGGCGGTCGCGCAGCAACCCGCGATCTTCGCTGCCGTCATTTCCGCCAGTGGACTCTGCTGCGGGGCAAGGATCCGCGCACGGTTCCGCGCAGGCGCCGCTAGTAGGGTGCGCGGCGGAAAAATCTGCGCGTTCTTGTGGTGGTGGAGGGGGAACTGTTGCTGGCGTGTACGCGTCTGGTGCTGGCTGCAGTAACGAGTACAGTGGAAGCTACAGTGAAAAAAGTCACGGTGATAAAAAGTATAGTGAACAGAACTACAGTGATTATAGTGACGGCCAATTGCACAGAAACAGGAGCGCTGGTAGTTTGGTGAAGGGGAGGAGATCTCTGGACAGCACTCGAATCTCGGGGGGTTTTCGGAATCAACACCGCAGTGGAGGGGAAACTGAAAAGGATATATCTCCATCTTCTTCAGATTATTACGTTCCCCTGCAACGCCAAGGCTCTTCGGGCGGTAGGATGAGCCACGGGGCGGGTAGCACTGGGCGGCTGGCGAGTCTTCTGCCAGCAGAACGGACAAGGCCGGGCAGCAGCCATGCGTTTGTTGATAGAAACGGTCCTGCTTGTAAGGTGGATTCCGAGGGTGGAGTGGGAAGGGACGTGGGTGAGGGGGCTAGGAGGAGTGGCGGCAAGTTTCGGAGGGAGGGGGGTAGGGTGAGTGAGGTTGGTAATATGAGCGAAGGGGGTGTGTGTGAGAGGGTTAGAAGGTACGGAGTTGGAAAGGGAGGAAGAGGGGAAGGAGGAGGAGGAGGAGGGGGAGGAGGAGGGGGAGAGGGAGGGCTTGACACCCCAGCAGCTCGGGATAGGTCGAGTGACTTGCTTTGGGAAGCGGAGAGGAGAGAGGAGGAAAGGAGGGAGAGAATTGCTGAGGAGATGCAAAAGAGGGGATGGGGAGGTGTGGAGGGGTCTGTGGGGGAGTGGGGAGGTGTGGAGGGGTCTGCAAGGGAGTGGGGAGGTGTGGGTGGGAGTCGCAGCTTCACAATAGGGCGGAGAGAGAAGTTGGCAGGAGTGGCAGAGAGAGGCTTGCTGACTGACAGCCAGGGCAGCCGCAGCTGCTCTTGGCTCAGAAGCAGCTCCACCAGTGGTAGCAGCAGCGGAAGCATCGGCGTCGGCAAAAGCAGCAGCGGCAGTATCGGCATTGGTGGCAGCAGTGGCAGCTTCAGTGTTGCCAGCAGCAGCGGGAGCATCAGCATTAACAACAGCAGCAGTAACAGCGGCAGTAACACCAGGAGCGTCGATCCGGTTAGCATCAGCCGCAGCAGCAGCAGCAGCAGCAGGGGGTTGATTCCTTCTGCACCAGTAGGGTCAGCAGCAGCAGCAGCCGCAGCAGCAGCTGCTGATGCAGAGATAAACCTAGATGCTATTTTCGCAATGCACAGTGCTGCGGTCAAGAGAAGAGCTGATGTTACGCATGCCCGACGCTTCGAGTATGAGGACGAGGAGTATGAGGAGGGTGGGAGAGATGCGGAGGTACGTGAGGAGTTGTTTCGGCATTGTGGAGTGGCAGGGGTGGAGGGGTGGAGTGGGAGAGAGGAGGTGCTACCGGTAGTAGCACGGGGCCTGGAGCAGAGGCGAGAGGCTAGTTATGAAGACACACGCAGAAGGGCGGGATTTACTGGCTTTCGAAAACCCGATCCGGATGATTATATAGAGGATGATGACGATGAGTTGGAATTTGGACTTCCTATTAAAAGTCGGAGCATGACCGTGTGGTCTGCTAGTAGATACTCTGCGGTGGAGTATGGTTTGGAGACTGGTGGTCCTTGGGGCAGCAGCGGCCAGGACTATTATCTGGATGACCAGCAGAGTTTATCGAGGCAAGAAAGAGACCGTATGGTTGGATATGGTAGAACTGGGAAGGATCGGCAACATTGTGAGGATGGTTTAGGGTTTGGACAGGAGCGGGAGAGCAAGGGATGGGGGGGGCAGATTAGAAAATCCAGGACTCTTCCAATTGATCCTATCGTTTATGAATAATGAGATATGTCAGAGCGTACATGCATTTTTTCTGTTCTGCTTCAGCCTGATGGCAAGTTCTGATGGGTTTATCATTCATTGCCCAAGTGGCATTACGTACCACAATCAAATATTTTGTTCAGTCTTACTAAAATTTTCACTGCACTCTTATTTTCCAATCTACACCCAGGTTCTTGCACCTTCGCGGTGGCATTTTCAGCCAATAGTGGCCCGTCGCATTCACCGCGTCAAGCTTCGCTACCGACAGCTTTACAAAGAACGACGCATCCTAGTGGAAGCGACGCCTGTCAGTCAAAGTCGTTCAGTCGCCATCGCGATTCGACGCTGATGCAAATCATAGTGCTGTGCGACAAGTGTCCTCGATGCTGACGGGGAACATTCCAAGTTCAAATCTCGATAACTGGGAAGTACTAAAGAGGGGTCGCATTCACGTACAATAATCACGTACAATATCACGGTTTGGTACGTTTGAGAACGGTAACCGGCAAGCAGCCATCTATTACCGTGTGAAAGCCTTCTGTACCGCACTGGACGCCCAGGTGACGAAGGCGTGGGACCCTCACGAGAGAACCATGGAGTCAAGCGGGGAGATTCGTAGCGAGTTTTGTAGCGAGTACTGTGTGCCGTACTCTTTGTTCACACAGTTCTAGCTAGCTCAGAAAGCTGGTTCTCTGTTGCTCGTTGATTCAAAGATAGTTAGTTTCTAGAGCTTGTTTCCAGTTCGCGTTCCTAGCCCGACACGTTTAGGTTGCATACGACTGGAGCGCAGGTATCCAGCTTGTCTGATTGCCTCCGATTCTCCTTAGAGCCTCCTAACTCTTTCTGCTAGCTCCTAATCCGCGTGCCGTTCCTTCTGCCTGGCTTCTCTCGCTTCTCTCAAAACAGTGCAGTGATAGTTTGCAAACGACAGGGAAACAGATAATCACCAACTTCTAAATTAGTCGAGCCACTATTCCCGTCCCGAGTAGTAGACGCCAGAAAGGCTGTTGCAAGGAAGGAGTCAGCGGGTTGCGAACGAGAAAGGAGAAACTTAGTGCGATCATCTAGAGTACGCAAAACGCCAGAAATCCAGCCGAAACAGTCAGCTTAAATAGTCATCCGAATCGAAGGGAGGGTGCCAGGCGTGTCACTACTGAGAAACCAGCGTCGTGCGAAAGCCTTTGCGTATTCGCCTGTCGCCTGCTATCAGTGGTTACCACCTGACCTGCTGGTCTTCACGGCATTCTCTACGAAGTTTGCAATGGCTGACACCCGACGGCATCTTGAAAGATTGCTCGCAGCGCACTCGTACAATCACACCCGTCTACAGTCATTCAAGTGCAGCTCGTTACGGTCGCATGTGCTCCCTCTGTTGCTCGTCATCGTTTTTCTCTCCTCGCTCTCGCCGAGCCTGGAAGCCGAAGCTGCTGGTTCGGTTCGGCAGGTGGTGAAGCTCGGGTTCCTGCTGCCGTATCCTAAAGCCGACCACGTCATTCCCCTGCGCCTCGCAGACGAGTGGTACGCGCCTCGTTCAAGGTTCTTTTGCACTTGTCTGGATCTTTTCATATCGCGTACCTGTAAACGGATTTCATTATCCCCACACGCTTCTCGAGTCTCTCTAGAGGTCGCACTAGGACCCAAATAGGGCTCATACCTTGAGAAGATTTGTCCAAAGGAGTTCTCGCAACCTCTCTACCTCTCGCCCTCACCCTCTCTCCCTCTCATCTCATCCACTCGCTCTCTCTCCCTCTCACCTTCTCTACTCCTCTATTTCAGGATCGCGGCGTCACGAGTGGCTCTGGAGGTGCTAGGACCCAAATACTCGAACGCCTTTGATGTGGTGCCGCACATTGCCCCACCCACCGCTAACCACTCCCTTTCTCTCCCCTCCTCCCATTCTCTCAACGCCCTCGTTCAGGATCGCAGCGTCCAGAGTGGCTCTGGAGGTGCTAGGACCCAAATACTCGGACGCATTTGACGTGGTGCCGCACATTGCCCTACTGACCACTCCCCTTCTCCCCTTTCCTCTCACTCTCTATACGCCATTGTTCAGGATAGCAGCATCAAGGGTCGCTCTGGAGGTGCTAGGGCCCCCGAATACTCGGACGCCTTTGATGTGGTGCCGCATATTGCTCTGCCTACTGCCAACACTCTCTATCCCTCTCACTCCTATCACCCCACCTGTTCAGGATTGCAGCATCAAGAGTGGCTCTGGAGGTGCTAGCCCCCAAATACTCGGACGCCTTTGATGTGGTGCCGCATATTGCTCTGCCTACTGCCAACACTCTCTATCCCTCTCACTCCTATCACCCCACCTGTTCAGGATTGCAGCATCAAGAGTGGCTCTGGAGGTGCTAGCCCCCAAATACTCGGACGCCTTTGATGTGGTGCCGCACATTGCCAACTCCAACTGCGACCGACAGGAGGCCAAGGAGGCTGCGCAGGTGAGAGGAGGGGCGGTACAGGTGGGTCAGAAAACCCAGATTCGTGTGTGTGAGAGAGAGCATGCGTGCATGCGGTGGCCCGGGGGGATGCTGGGTTGCTTCTTCCCTTCCAAGTACTCTCAGACGCATTTGACGTGGTGCCGCACATTGCCAACTCCAACTGCGACCGGCAGGAGGCCAAGGAGGCTGCGCAGGTGAGGGGAGGGGTGGGCATGGTGGGTCCTCCTAAGTGCTCGGATGCCCTTTCCCTTTGATGTGGTGCCACACATTGCCAACTCAAACTGCGACTGACAGGAGGCCAAGGAGGCTGCGCAGGCGAGGGGAGGGGCAGTATAGGAGAAAGCAAAGCGTTCAGATGCCTCTGGTGTTCCAGCTTCTGTAAATCCACGTGATAAAAGGAGTGTTTTGAGACGTCTCAAAGGCCGCTTAGGGGAGGGGAGGGGCAGTATTGGAGAAAGCAAAGAGTTCAGATGCACCTGGTGTTCCAGCTTTTGTAAAGGGAGCGGGTGGTGGGCGTGGTGGGCCCGGCTTGTACAGAGGCAGCGCTGGGAGCAGCAGACGTGCTGGTGCCTGCCGATGTTCCCATGGTGTCTCTCGGCCCCTCTCCACCCCTCTCCACCCCTCTCCGCCGCTCTTCACGCCTGTCTCTCCCCCTTCCAGTTGTTGCTACGAGACGGAGCGGTGGGCGTGGTGGGCCTGGCGTGTAGAGAGGCAACGCTGGGAGCAGCAGACGTGCTGGTGCCTGCTGGTGTTCCGATGGTGTCTCTCCGTACCTCTCCACCCCTCTCCGCCCCTCTCTGCCCCTCTCCGCCCCTCTCCGCCCCTCTCCACGCCTAGCCCTGAATCTGCCTGTCCCCCCGGCAGCTGCTGCTACGAGATGGAGTGGTGGGTCCAGCGTGTACAGAGGCAGCGCTGGGAGCAGCAGACGTGCTTGTGCCTGCTGGCGTTCCCATCGTGTCTCTCTGTCCCTCTCCACTCCACCCCTCTTCGCCCCTCTCCACGCCTGTCACCTCCTGCCTCTGCCTCTCTCACTGTTCCTTTCCAGCTCTTACTAAGGGATGGAGTGGTGGGAGTGGTGGGCCCGGCGTGCACAGAGGCAGCGCTGGGAGCAGCAGACGTGCTGGTGCCTGCTGGCGTTCCCATGGTGTCTCTCTGCCCCTCTCCACCCCTCTCTGCCCCTCTCCACGCCTGACCCCCGTGCAGCTCCTATTAAGGGACGGGGTGGTGGGAGTGGTGGGCCCAGCATGCACAGAGGCAGCGCTGGGAGCAGCAGACGTGCTTGTACCTGCTGGCGTTCCCATCGTGTCGTTTGCTGCCACGTGGGATGGGTTCAGAGACCGGGAGAGATTCGGCAGCTTCTTTCGCACTGTGTGAGTTAAGGGCAGGTGGAAATCGGTTGAGCTGGGCTGAGCTCGGTTGGCAGTGCTGGGAGCAGCGGACGTGCTGGTGCCTGCTGGCGTGCCCATCGTTTCCTTCGCTGCCACGTGGGATGGGTTCAGATACTGGGAGAGATTCGGCTCCTTCTTCCGCACTGTGTGAGTCGAGAGGGTGTGTGTAAGGGGAATAAGGAATCGGTTGGGTTGGGTTGAGCTGGTTCGAGGGGTGTTGTGCTGGTTTACAGGGCACCACGTGGGATGGGTTCAGAGACCGGGAGAGATTCGGCTCCTTCTTCCGCATTGTGTGAGTCTTGAGTGGATGTGTGAGATAAAAGAAATGCTGATTTCGGTTGGGCTGGGTTGAGCTGGTTCATAGGGCACCCGGCACCACATGGGATGGGTTCCGAGACCGCGAGAGATTCGGCTCCTTCTTCCGCACTGTGTGAGTCAAAGGAGGTGGAAGGAAATGGGTTAGGTTGGGTTGAGATGGTTGAAACTGCAGCACCATGCTGGCGTTCCAGTTCTCTCCTTCGCTGCCACGTGGGATGGGTTCAGAGACCAGAAGAGATATTCGGCTCATTCTTTTGCGCTGTGTGAGTCTAGTCTACGGGACTTGGGGGCTCGGATTCGTGTTTGAACGAATCATCCTTTTCACTCAACATACGTGTGCTGTTTCCTTGCCTCCTTGCCTTCATCCCCACCCACCATCCACCGTGGACCCAGGTTCGGCGATGCGTATGGCAGCAGCAATGCGCTCCCTGCTGCGCTCAAACACTCGCTTCCACTTCTCCTCGCCTCTCTGCCCCCTCCCTCCCCACAGCTTTGGCGACAGGCACCAGGCAGCAGCAATGCGCTCCCTCCTTCAAGAGTTTGTGTTTGCTGCACTCTTAATATGCCTCTCCTCCTTGCATCTGCACCCACTCCCCCCCTGTCCACAGCTTTGACGACAGGCACTAGGCAGCAGCAATGCTCTCGCTCCTCTCTCTGCTGCGCCCTTAGAATGCCTCTCCTCTTTGCATCCGCATCCACCCACCCCCTCCCTCCCCCTCCCCGCAGCTTCGGCGACAGGCACCAAGCAGCGGCCATGCGCTCCCTGCTGCAGGAGTTTGTGTTTGAGCGAGTAATCCTGTTCTTCACAGAGGACACATATGGGTCAGCGCTAGGTTATGATATCGAGGTGAGCAATGCGCTTGATTTGATTGCATGCGTGTGTGGTTGCATGCTTGCATGAGTCCCTTGGTGTCTTTGATCGAGTAATCCTGTTCTTCACAGAGGACACATATGGGTCAGCGCTAGGTTATGATATTGAGGTGAGCTGCAAAGAAACTTACATTCGTGCGCGTGATTGCATGTATACGTGTGCGCGTGCCTGCATGTGTCCCGGTGTGCTTGACCGAGTCATCCTGTTCTTCACGGAGGATACGTACGGCTCAGCGCTAGGTTACGACATTGAGGTGAGATGTGTGAGTGTGCAAAGTGGCTTCGCAATCGGTAACATCGTCTTTGAGCGAGTCATCCTGTTCTTCACAGAGGACACGTATGGCTCAGCACTGGGCTATGACATTGAGGTGAGAGCTGTTGGAGTGCGCAGAGCAGAGGCATTGTTACAGGCACCTTCGCCTTGGTGTTTGACCGAGTCATTCTGTTCTTCACAGAGGAGACATTTGGCTCAGCGCTAGGCTATGACATTGAGGCGACACCCGCCCCAGTGCTCTGCTCCAACTGCTCCCCTCCCTCTGTTGCTTGATGTTCCCAGCAGATCTCCCCACTCTCCCCCCAGTATTTCGTTCGCAGTGACAACCTGACAGTGCACAGCATACCCTTTCTAATTCCCTGCTCCAACCAGTCCCCTCTCATACTCAACCTCTCCTCCATTTCCTCCCTTCCTCCCTCCCTCTCTCCCTTCCCTCCGATCCCTTCCATTCCCTTCCCTCAGTACTTCGCCCGCACGACAACCTGACAGTTTACAGCATTCCCGTGCCAGTGCCCTGCTCCAACCACTCCCCTCTCTACGTTGCCTGATCTCCCCACCCTCCCTACCTTCCCCCGCTCCCTCCCTCCAGTATTTCGCTCGTAACGACAACCTGACAGTGCACAGCATACCCGTGCCAGTGCCCTGCCTCAACTACTCCTCGCTCTTCCTCAACCCCTCCCATCCTTCCCTCCCTACAGTACTTTGCTCGCAGTGAAAACCTGACAGTGCACAGCATACCCGTCCCAGTGCCCTGCCTCAACTACTCCTCTCTCCTCCTCAACCTCTTCTCCCTCCTCCCCTCTTCTCCCCTCACCCCCTCCCTCCAGTATTTCGCGCGCACTGACAACCTCACGGTGCACAGCATACCCCTCCCAGTGCCCTGCCTCAACTACTCCTCTCTCTTCCTCAACCTCTCCGATCCAAGCCCCTCCAAGCCGCTCATTCAAGCTAATGAAATCACTTCTCCCCTGTTTCCTCCTCCCTCCCTCCAGTATTTCGCGCGCAGTGACAATCTGGCAGTACACAGCATTCCCGTGCCAGTGCCCTGCTCCAACTACTCCTCGCTCTTCCTCAACCTCTCCGATCCAAGCCCCGCCAAGCCGCTCATTCAAGCTAATGAAATCACTTCTCCCCTGTTTCCTCCTCCCTCCCTCCAGTATTTCGCGCGCAGTGACAATCTGGCAGTACACAGCATTCCCGTGCCAGTGCCCTGCTCCAACTACTCCTCGCTCTTCCTCAACCTCTCCGATCCAAGCCCCTCCAAGCCGCTCATTCAAGCCGGTGACTCCACAGTGGTGGTCCTCGCCGTCTCGCCCAATGCAGCCGGGGGCATCTGGAGGGCTGCATTAGACCTGGTGAGTGATGATATCCCAATTGGGTGAGTGATACGGCAACACTGCCCAAGCCCCGCCAAGCCGCTCATCCAAGCCGATGACTCCACGGTTGTAGTCCTCGCCGTCTCGCCCAACGCAGCTGAAGGCATTTGGAGGGCGGCTCTAGACCTGGTGAGTGGCATTTTCCTTTCAAGTCTGGTCTCATTCCTACCCTGAGACACTTACCCCTTGAAGCACCCCCACGCCCCTCCAAGCCGCTCATTCAAGCTGATGACTCGGATGAGCGGCTTGGAGGGGCGTGGGGGTGCTTGAAGGCCACCACAATAGTGGTCCTCGCTCCTCGCGGTCTCACCCAATGCAGCCGAGGGCATCTGGCGTGCGGCTCTCGGCCTGGTGAGGGATATCCCCTTCAAATCTGGTCTCTCCAATACCCTCCACACCCCTCCACGCCCCTCCTCGCCCCTCCACGCCCCTCCCCGCCCCTCCCCGCCCCTCCACGCCCCTCAACGCCCCTCAACGCCCCTCACTCATTCACCAGGTTCCCCATTCTTCCTTCCCCCCCCTTGCGGAAACCACCAGGGTCGGTTGGAATATCCGTGGTGGTATTTCGGCACGGATGGAGCAGTGGCATTCGACCTTGGTGGGAAGGTGAGAAGGGGGGGGTTCTGGGGAAGGTGGGGGACGGGGGCGGTAGGGAAAAGGGGAGAGCGTTGGGCGAGCTCAACTCTAAAAAGGTATTTCGGGACGGATGGAGCAGTGGCATTCGACCTTGTGGGGGAAGGTGAGACGAGGAGAGTAGGGAACTGAGGAAGGTGAGATGAGAGGTCTAGTGAGGTGTGGCCTAGCATGGCTGCTGAGGTGGTGGAAATTGGAATACCCGTGGTGGTATTTCGGGACGGATGGAGCAGTGGCATTCGATCTTGTGGGAGAAGGTGAGACGGGAGGAACTGGGAAGAACTAGGGAAGGTGAGACGGGGGGAACTGGGAAGAATTAGGGAAGGTGAGACGGGGGGAACTGGGAAGAATTAGGGAAGGTGAGACGGGGGGTCTGGGGAGCAGTGGCCTGGCATGATCACTTAGGTGTTGGAATACCCCGTGGTGGTATTTCGGCACGGATGGAGCAGTGGCATTCGACCTTGTGGGGGAAGGTGAGACGGGGGGAACTGGGGAAGGTGAGACGGGGGGAACTGGGGAAGGTGAGACGGGGGGAACTGGGGAAGGTGAGACGGGGGGACTGGGGAAGGTGAGAAGGGGGGAACTGGGGAAGGTGAGAAGGGGGTTCTAGGGAGCAGTGGCATGGCATGATTGCTGAGGTGTTGGGATACCCCTCGAGCAGTGGCATTCGATCTTGTGGGGGAGGTGAGCAATAAAAGGGGAAACTATTGGGTGGGTTCTCCTCCTGCCCGTTCTCCTCTCCTCAACTGCTTTTGAGGCGCCTCAAAAGGTGAGCAACAAGGGAGCTACGGATGTGCCTGGTGACAGTGAGGAAAAGGGGAAAATATTGGGTGGGTTTTCCTGCTCATTCTCCTCTCTTCTCCTGCTTGTGTCCCAATCTCGTTATTTTGGAGTCAATCCTGAGAAATCCGAAAAGCGACTCTAAAAAACGGTTCTCAAAAGTGACTCGTAAAGATAACTCATTCTCCTCCCTTTTGAGGCGCCTCAAAACGCTTAAGAGCTACTCATTCTCCTCTCCTCTCCTGCTTGTTTCCCAACCACCCATCCACCACTGCAGGTCAGAATCTGTCAGCGCTGACGTCAGCACTGCAAGGGGAGATGGGGGTCGCTCCTTACAGTAAGTGCGGACTTTGAAATAGTATAGGTGTCAACATGCTGCTTCTGAGGTATCTTGAGAATACTCTACTGCAGGTAAGAACCTGTCAAAAGACTTTTGAGACGTCTCATAAACTCACTTGTTTCACGTGGCTTCTGAGGTTTCTGAGGCTTCTGAGGCTTCTGAGGCTTCTGAGGCTTCTGAGGTTTCTGAGGCTTCTGAGGCTTCTGAGGCTTCTGAGTTTTCTGAGGCTTCTGAGGCTTCTGAGGCTTCTGAGGTTTCTGAGGCTTCTGAGTCTTGAGAATACACTACTGCACCCCTTTTGCCCTCCTTTCCCAATGTCCCACCTACCAGTTGGAGACTACTCGGACTCCTCCCCCATATGGGAGTACATAATGCACTGGCGGACCAAGCGCCATGACATCTACCTGGGCTTGCTCACTCTCAACGCCACGCCCACCTCTACCCCTCCCTTCTGCCTATGTCATTCCCTCGCTTACAGAGGGAGACTACTCGGACTCGTCCCCCATATGGGAGTACATAATGCACTGGCGGACCAAGCGCCATGACATTTATCCCGGTTAGCTCACTCTCCCTGCCTCGTCCTTCCTCCCCCCCCACCCTTTCTTCCCTCCCATTGCCCCTTCCATCCTTCAGAGGGAGACTACTCGGACTCCTCCCCCATATGGGAGTACATAATGCACTGGCGCACCAAGCGCCATGACATCTACCCTGGATTGCTCACTCTGGACGTCGGGCCTTCCCTCCCCCGATTCAACACCACCCGCCAATACGTGCCCTACCTGTTCGACGCCATTCACGCCTTCTTCGAGGCTTTCAGCAGCATTATCGCCAACCAGAGTGAGTTTCTCGGTGGGTGGGGTGTGGGGATACCACCATCCGATGAGGGGATGACTAGGGACTTTCTCCCCTTCCTCCCACCTCACTCCCCCGATTCAACACCACCCGTCAATACGTGCCGTACCTGTTTGACTCCGTTCACGCCTTCTTTGAGGCCTTCAGCAGCATTATCGCCAACCAGAGTAAGTGTCTTGGTGGGTGGGGGCAATACCATACTTCGTCTCTCTCCCTCCCCTTCCCCCTCCCCCCTATTCAACACCACCCGCCATTACGTGCCATACGTGTTCGACGCCGTTCACGCCTTCTTTGAAGCTTTCAGCAGCATTATCGCCAGCCAGAGTGAGTGTCTCGGGGTTACTACCTGGCTTCCATCTGCTAGCAAGGCCACCTGCCTGTTCGATGCCGCTCACTCCTTTTTCGAGGCTTTCAGCAGCATTATCACCAGCCAGAGTGAGTACCTCCGCTCCGGCCGTTCAACCAGAGTGAGTACCTCCGCTCCGGCCGTTCAACCAGAGTGAGTGTCACAGTTGCCTTGCCCTGCCTTCATCTCCCATCCGCTACTCTCCTTCATGCCTTCTTTGAAGCTTTCAGCAGCATCATTGCCATCAAGAGTGAGTGCTTCAGCTGCTGCCGTTCAACCAGAGTGAGTTCTTCAGCTGCTTTCATCCACCTGCCTTCAGCTAGTGGGGCTACTTCTAGTCCCTCCGTCTCTCTCCCTCCCCCTCCCCCCTCCCCCTCCCCTGATTCAACTCCACCCGCCAATACGTGCCGTACCTGTTTGATGCCGTTCACGCCTTCTTTGAAGCCTTCAGCAGCATCATCGCCAGCCAGAGTGAGTTGTCTTGGTGGGTGGAGACTCTTCCATCCGATCCTAAGAGAGGGTCACAGGCTTCCTCCTTCCCTTCCCCCCACTCACTCCCCCGCTTCAACACCACCCGCCAATACGTGCCCTACCTCTTTGACGCCGTTCACGCCTTCTTCGAAGCTTTTAGCAGCATCATCGCCACCCAGAGTGAGTGTCTTGGTGGGTGGGGTGTGGAGTGGAGTTGACTTGGGTCCCTCTCTCCCTCCCTTACTCCCTCCCCTTCCCTTACTCCCTCCCCTTCCCTCCCTCGACTCAACACCACCCGTCAATACGTGCCGTACCTGTTTGACGCTGTTCACGCCTTCTTCGAGGCCTTCAGCAACATTATTGCCAACCAGAGTGAGTGTCTTGGTGGGTGGGGTGTGGAGTTTACTTGGATCCCTCTATCCCTGCCCCACTTTCCCCCACCTCACTCTCCCCCGCTTCAACACCACCCGCCAATACGTGCCGTACCTGTTCGATACCGTTCACCCCTTCTTTGCTTGTATCGCTAGGCGACTTTTGAGTCGACTCAGAAGTCGTATCGCTTCTGAGAGCTCTCAAAAGTGTATCCAATATTGTTTCCATGTGTGTGTCTCCAATTCGCAGATGCAGCATCCACTAAGGAGCTTGTGCTGGCGTGTTTTAAAGGCGTTTTGCATGTGTGCGTGTTTCCACATGTGTGCATCTCCAAATCGCAGATGCAGCACCCACTAAGGAGCTTGTGCTGGCGTGCTTTAAAGGCGTGCTGCGTGGATGCATCAACTTCACGGGAACAACAGGGCAGGTGAGGAGGGCAAGGGTCAGACTTTGTGTGTGTTCCATGTATGTTTCTGCAACTGCAAGTGACACTTGCGCTGGGAAGGGGTGTGCTGGCGTGCTTTCGAGGCGTGCTTTCGAGGCGTGCCGCAAGGATGCACTGTCTTCACGGGGATGACTTGGCTACAGGTGAACGGCTCAAGTCTGTAGCCCCTCCGACCGACCGCATTGTAGCCCCCTCCTCCCACCGTCCCCATCCACCCCTTCACCACAACCAGGTCTCATTCAACCCAGCTACAGGCGAGCGATTGAAATCTGTAGCCCCACCGACCTACAGCATTGCCCTTCCTCCCACCATCCCCATCCACCCCACCACCACCAGGTCTCATTCACCCCAGCTACAGGCGAGCGATTGAAATCTGTAGCCCCGACCGACCGCATTGTGGTTTTGAGACGTCTCAGTTGTCCTCCCACCGTCCCCATCCACCCCTTCACCACAACCAGGTCTCATTCAACCCAGCTACAGGCGAGCGATTGAAATCTGTAGCCCCACCGACCTACAGCATTGCCCTTCCTCCCACCATCCCCATCCACCCCTTCACCACAACCAGGTCTCATTCAACCCAGCTACAGGCGAGCGATTGAAATCTGTGGCCCCACCGACCTACAGCATTGCCCTTCCTCCCACCATCCCCATCCACCCCACCACCACCAGGTCTCATTCACCCCAGCTACAGGCGAGCGATTGAAATCTGTAGCCCCGACCGACCGCATTGTGGTTTTGAGACGTCTCAGTTGTCCTCCCACCGTCCCCATCCACCCCTTCACCACAACCAGGTCTCATTCACCCCAGCTACAGGCGAGCGATTGAAATCTGTAGCCCCACCGACCTACAGCATTGCCCTTCCTCCCACCATCCCCATCCATCCCACCACCACCAGGTCTCATTCACCCCAGCTACAGGCGAGCGATTGAAATCTGTAGCCCCACCGACCTACAGCATTGCCCTTCCTCCCACCATCCCCATCCACCCCACCACCACCAGGTCTCATTCACCCCAGCTACAGGCGAGCGATTGAAATCTGTAGCCCCGACCGACCGCATTGTGGTTTTGAGACGTCTCAGTTGTCCTCCCACCGTCCCCATCCACCCCTTCACCACAACCAGGTCTCATTCAACCCAGCTACAGGCGAGCGATTGAAATCTGTAGCCCCACCGACCTACAGCATTGCCCTTCCTCCCACCATCCCCATCCACCCCTTCACCACAACCAGGTCTCATTCAACCCAGCTACAGGCGAGCGATTGAAATCTGTGGCCCCACCGACCTACAGCATTGCCCTTCCTCCCACCATCCCCATCCACCCCACCACCACCAGGTCTCATTCACCCCAGCTACAGGCGAGCGATTGAAATCTGTAGCCCCGACCGACCGCATTGTCGTTTTGAGACGTCTCAGTTGTCCTCCCACCGTCCCCATCCACCCCTTCACCACAACCAGGTCTCATTCACCCCAGCTACAGGCGAGCGATTGAAATCTGTAGCCCCACCGACCTACAGCATTGCCCTTCCTCCCACCATCCCCATCCATCCCACCACCACCAGGTCTCATTCACCCCAGCTACAGGCGAGCGATTGAAATCTGTAGCCCCACCGACCTACAGCATTGCCCTTCCTCCCACCATCCCCATCCATCCCACCACCACCAGGTCTCATTCACCCCAGCTACAGGCGAGCGATTGAAATCTGTAGCCCCACCGACCTACAGCATTGCCCTTCCTCCCACCATCCCCATCCATCCCACCACCACCAGGTCTCATTCACCCCAGCTACAGGCGAGCGATTGAAATCTGTAGCCCCACCGACCTACAGCATTGCCCTTCCTCCCACCATCCCCATCCATCCCACCACCACCAGGTATCCTTCAATCCGGCTACAGGCGAGCGCTTGAAATCTGTAGCCCCACCGACCTACAGCATTGTCCTCCCACTGTCCCCATCCACCCCACCACCACCAGGTCTCATTCACCCCAGCTACAGGCGAGCGCTTGAAATCTGTGGCCCCTCCGACCTACAGCATTGCCCTTCCTCCCACCATCCCCATCCATCCCACCACCACCAGGTCTCATTCACCCCAGCTACAGGCGAGCGATTGAAATCTGTAGCCCCTCCGACCGACCGCATTGTGGTTTTGAGACGTCTCAGTTGTCCTCCCACCGTCCCCATCCACCCCTTCACCACAACCAGGTCTCATTCACCCCAGCTACAGCCGAGCGATTGAAATCTGTAGCCCCGACCGACCGCATTGTGGTTTTGAGACGTCTCAGTTGTCCTCCCACCGTCCCCATCCATCCCTCCACCACAACCAGGTCTCATTTACCCCAGCTACAGGCGAGCGCTTGAAATCTGTAGCCCCACCGATTTACAGCATTGTAAATCTGGAGGGCGTGACGTGGCAGGAAAAGGCCTGCTGGGAGGAGCGACACGTGGAGCGGTTCACTCTCGACCTCTCTCAAATCTCCTCGCCCTTTTCCCTCCCTTGCCCATTCTTATCCCGATTCCAATCCTGATCACCAGGTATCCTTCAACCCGGCTACAGGCGAGCGGCTCAAGACAGTGACCCCACCGACCTACAGCATTGTGAATCTGGAGGGCGTGACATGGCAGGAAAAGGCACGATGGGAGGAGCGACACGTGGAGCGGTTCACTCTCTTCATCCTCCTCCCTCCCATGACCAGGTATCCTTCAACCCGGCTACAGGCGAGCGCTTGAAATCTGTAGCCCCACCGACCTACAGCATTGTAAATCTGGAGGGCGTGACGTGGAAGCAGAAGGCCCGCTGGGAGGAGCGGCACGTGGAGCGGTTCACTCTCGACCTCTCCCAGATCTCCCGCCCAGGTCCTTTGCCCGGTGCTGCTGGTGCTGGTGCTGGTGCTGGTGGTGGCAGTGGTGGTGGGACCAGTGGTGGTGCTGGCAATGGCAGTGCAGCAGGGGTGAAGGAGGCAGGTGACTACTCAGCCCCTGCTGTGTTTGATGCCTTGAATCAGGTCAGTGGGGAGATCGGGGACTTTGGTGTGAAGAGCCAAGCTGAGGCGGCAGGCGAGAGCAGCAGCAGTGGTAGCGGCAGCAGCAGCAGTGGTAGCGGCAGTGGTAGCGGCAGCAACAGCAGTGGTGGTGGTACTACTGGCGGCAGCAACAGTGACACGGGCCCTTCAACTGGTTCCTCCATGCCTGGTTATACCATCGCTCTGCTTGTTCTCCTTTCTCTCACACTCCTGTGCCTTGTATCGTACCTGGCTTATATGGGGTACAGCAGTTGGAGGAGCAGGGAGGAGGAGGGGGAGGGGCAACAGCAGCTGTATGGGGGATCCTCAGGAGGCGATGTGTATTTGGCAGGCTTTAAGGGACGAGAGGTGGGGGGAGAGGAGTATGTGAGGAGGTATAATGGAGATGGGGAGTGGATAGGTGGGGGAAGTTGGGCCGGGGGATTTGGGTTAGGGAGTGGGTTCGGAAGTGGGTTTGGCTTTGGGGGTGTGGGTGGGGGGATTAATGGTGATGATGCATTGGTATTGGGTGGAAAGGAGGGGGACGGGAGTGGGAGGAAGGGAGGAGATGGAGGTGATGGTATGGTGGATGCTGGTTTGGATGATGTGGATACTGCTGATGTTGGTAGTGGTGACGAGAGTCATCATAAGCAAGTGTGGGTACATATGCTTTAGTTTCAGAGGCTGTCGTACAATCATGTACATGTGTTTATAGTTTGTAAAGTTTGCAGGTAATGTTGTGTGTGCAAAGTCATTGTACCAGGACGTGCCGGCAGGGCTTGTTACAATGGCGTGCAGGCATTTGTGGGTGGGGTGGACCTTTGTTATAGTATGATACGGTACCTGATTAGATAACAGAGTGAATTATCGTGTTCCCAACAATATTTTAAAGGTACCGGTATCTGTGACATGTACACACATTATAAGGCTGCCACAGCGAATCAGGAAATCAGAACCTGTCTAAGACGCCATTTTATTTAGCAAACTGCATGCTTGTCTTAGACACACTACCCTTGATCCAAACGGGTCATGCTTCACGGGGAAATCTTGTTTTGCTTCGCTGTCTCATCCCTCCTTGCCGCGTTGCTTCCCCGTGCCCTCCCAGACTTTCCAGCGCATTCTGGATGTCGGCGGCGCCACACGAGGGGAGCTGTCTTCATGCGCGGCTAGAGAACCCCCTTTCAACCCTCGAAAATACCTGTCAACCCCCAAAACCACTGAAATAACCATCCGAACCCCACTTCTGTCGCGGATGGTTCAGCGCAGAAAGCTAGGAAAACTTTCCGCCTGCCTGGTGTCGTGAAAGGCGGGAAACAATTCATATTTGCTGGTAAAGTTGAAACCCTTTTCTGGCATTCGCTCAGGCAAGATTAGCTTACAGCTCCTCGCCATAACCCCGCCTTCAGACCGACTCGGCTATTGCATCAACGCGTCATAGTTTATCATGGCTGCTCTCGCGTCGGTCTCTGCTTCGGCTGCTGCTGCTCTCTCGAGCTCTTTCGTCCAGACTTCCTCGCTGAAGTTGTCTGCGAAGCCCGTCAATGTTCGCAGCACCCGTGCGGTCCGCATCGTGGCCATGGCCCAGCCTGATCTGAAGAAGGAGATTCAGGAGAAGATCGCTGCTGCTCAAGAGACCTGCTCCGATCCGAACTCCACCGCTGAGTGCGCTGCTGCGTGGGATGAGGTGGAGGAGATCTCAGCTGCCGCTGCTGATCAGGCTTTGAAGCAGAAGGAAGCGGATTACGAGGATCCCCTTGAGAAGTACTGCAACGAGAATCCCTCTGAGGATGAGTGCAGGATCTACTCTGACTGAGCGATTGACTGGTAGTATACATGTGGATTTTTAGTCAGTCAGACTAGCCTAGCCATGATGTCCATAGACGGATCTTTTACTTGGCAAGGGCTGAGCTATGCCTGTTCGTTTTGCGTTCCATAAATAACTTCTGGTTTGACCTGACAATGGTTGTGATGTGAAGGCTATGGTATATCCTTTTTCTGAACACACTAATTCTTGACGTTTCCGTGGCATACGGTGACTGGGTGGTGCTGCGTGGTTTGTTGGGGACCTGAAACTAAGCAGCAAATATGGTTTGTTGCCTCTTTCCGCAGGTGAAACGAAGCATAGGTGATGGAATGTAGGTATTTGTTTTTTTTTTTTTTCAGAATGCAGCACTGACCATGCCATCTCTGTGCGCATGGTACTTACCAGACGGGGATTTTCATACAAGGACGGGAATATTAAAATTCAGGTTTAGAGCTATGCTCTTGCTGGGAATTTATGAGAAAGGGTATGAATGACAATGCGTAAATCATATCATATTTGGATTAGGTGAAGTGAACGTATAGTTGGCAATTGTTACGTAGATAGGATGTCACTGTACTGGAATGTGTAAATCCGCGAATATTACTGGAGCGATGGATTGAGTGTCACCAAACCTTTGGATCTTTCTTGAGAAGTATAGCACCGGACTGCAACTATAACGTGAAATCGCAATTTCACAAATGCAGAGCTGGGGTATGTTTCAGCAAGTGACCTGGATTGGATCAGTTTTGGAGACTTCCACTTCGCCAGCGTGGCAATTCGACCTCGGCATGGCCATCTTTCCCGACATTCTTGGCCCCACCCCTATCCACGTGTCAGATCGAATCATCCCAGAGGTGTCCATGCCCTCTGCTTTTCCGAGCGTGGCAATATCCACCACGTGTACCGTCGTCAAGCCACGAAGGTGCAGCACTCGAGACCAGCTTCAGCACAGGCAGGAACTCGCGAAACCGTCAGCAATTCCGTCCGTTTTCAGGAACTCCGTCAGCTTGTCCGTCAATCTTTGGTTGAGCTTGAATACTCCTCCAACGAAAGACATTGGCGTTTCAAGGCAAGACGCATTCTAGTTTCTTGTCTGGTCACGCATATTCTAGGGTGTTCCATCCAATCTTACTCCAAATACCGTCAGGAGACCGTATTTTAGTGACTATTTAGCAATGGCTGCCATTCTTGCGGTCTCCGCCGGTGTTTCATCCGCTGTCGCCTTCAGGCGCAGCTCTTTCGTCCAGACCGCCTCCCTGAAGTCCTCCTCGCTCACTGTCCGCAGCATCCGTTCTGTCCGCATTGTCGCCATGGCTCAGCCTGAGGCCAAGGAGGCTGAGGAGAAGAAGGCTGCGGAGGAGAAGGCCAAGGCAGAGGAGGCTGCTGCTGCTGCTGCTGAGAAGACTGAGGAGAAGAAGGAAGCCTACACGGACCCTCTTGACGCGTTCTGCGACGACAACCCCGCTGCTGACGAGTGCAGGATTTATGAGGATTAAGCTATTTCGTTGAGTCGCAGCGTTTGTCGCATGCTCTGTCGCAGCAGGGTAGCTTTGAGTCGTGTACATCAATTGTTTGCACATAGGCGGATTGCTGGAGCGGATGTGGCTACCGCGGTTTGCCCTCCCTAGGAATATCCCTTGTTCTGATTTGACGAAGTGGACTATTCCTTGCTAATTCAGCGTATCCCCCGTTTCCTTTGCCAAGTCACGTGGCAGTGCAGGGGATGGGCTGACTGCTTGGGAATTTTGAGCTGGCACTAAGGAATGTTGTACAAACGCCCCTCCACAAATGTTCACATGGCCAGTCAGAAGAAATCGTACTGACTGAAATTATGGGAAAAGTTAACTGTTGGAATCCGAGGTGAACCAAGCAATGCATGAAACCAAATTAGTCACTGTCAGATTGCCTCACATTCCGCCTCCTCATCATGGAACCCCTTGAAGAACCTGACACGCCAGCTCCTTTCTGCCGTCTCCCTGCCAGTTCAATCAGCTCTTGCCGCACCTCATCCAACTCCTCAGAACCCACAGAAACATCACTAAGACTCTTTTCTGCTGTCTCGGTCCCTTGGGTAGAAGCCCGCCCAGCAGTTAGTGGTGGTACCGACCCTCCCTGCTTCCTAGCAGCCTTTTTGCTGCGTTGCCTTGCCTGTTTCTCCTCAAGCTGCGTCGTACGGATGATGAAGAGTGTGGTTTCTAGCAGCATGCCAAATATCAAACCCACTGCACCTCCCACCGGGTGCTGCCGTGTGAGAAGGAATTAGGAATGCAGGGGACAGGAAACAAGGAGGTTGAGTCAGGGTGTTGGTAAACAAGCTTTGAAAATAATCCCAACTCCACTGCAACTCTTACCACATGCTACCACATGAGGGAGGGGAAAGGGCACGGTGGTTGAGAAGACACGCAAAACACTTGAAGAACACTCAGAAGAACCTGATGAACATCATACCCACCATCACTGATGAAGGATTGACTCGACAAATCTGCTGGCCCAGACTGCATAGCCTACGGCATTGACTCTTACCACTGGAGACACGCAAAACACTTGAAGAACACTCAGAAGAACCTGATGAACATCATACCCACCCATCACTGATGAAGGATTGACTCGACAAATCTGCTGGCCCAGACTGCATAGCCTACGGCATTGACTCTTACCAGGGGAGCTTACCAATGGAGCTTATGAGGGGAGCTTACTAGTGGATCTTACCAGGGCAGGTTGGTCTTTGATGAGAGCAGAAGCAGCAAAGTGACCTAAGAGGTAACAGGTAGCTGCCAGGGCCGCACAGCCTACCATACACAGGGCAGTGCAGCTCACCAGTGGAGCTAACGAATGGAGCTTACCAGGGCAGGTTGGTCTTTGATGAGAGCAGAAGCAGCGTAGTGACCCAAGAGGTAACAGGTGAACATCACACCCACCACATGCATGCCTGCTCGGGATGGGATGAAGAAAAGATGACGGAAAATTAAAACACAAAGGAGGTGTGTATGCAGGGAGGGCTTTAAGGGAAAGCTGCTCAGGACGGGGACGAAGGAAAAAACAAAGGAAATTAATAAGCTCACACAGAGCCAAGAAAGGATGCCACGATTTTTTTTCAAAACAGTCGCTTAGTCGACTCTACAATAGCCCACCAAACCCACAAAACTCAAGTCTCAGCAGAGTTGGCAGACCGTGACAGTGGCAAGCAGTGATTTTTGTGTCGGCTCAGAAATAATCATGAACTCATCGTTGACCTGAACTGGCAGACAACGGCAGCAGTGGCAGGCAATGAACGTGCCGCTTCATAGCCACCGACAGATAAACAATCCGGAAGAAAAAAAGAAGAAAATTAAAAGGAAAAGAACTCACCAAACCCCAGCTGCTCTCTGTATGATGCCAGGTACGAGCTCCCCCCCTGCCCTCCCAGATCCTCCTCATCGTCAACACCACCACCTGCACCAGTTCCCGCCCTTCTCCCCTTTGCCCCCCCTGGGACCACGTCTCTCACGAGCTCTCTATACTGCCTCTGCTCCTCCGCTTCCTTGAGAGCAGCCAAACGAGCTTCAAGCTCCGCACTCTGTGGGAAGAGAGGCGGATGGAAGGGAGAGAGGGAGGGAGGAGGTGACTGGACCCCTCAATCACCACCACCAGCAGCAGCTGCTCTTCTCCCTTTCCCCCCCCCTGGGACCACGCCTCTCACGAGCTCTCTGTACCGCCTCTGCTCCTCCGCTTCCTTCGGAGCAGCCAAACGAGCTTCAAGCTCCGCACTCTGTGGGAAGAGAGGTAGATGGAAGGGAGAGAGGGAGGGAGGAGGTGACTGGACCTCTCAATCACCACCACCAGCAGCAGCTGCTCTTCTCCCTTTCCCCCCCCCTGGGACCACGTCTCTCACGAGCTCTCTGTACCGCCTCTGCTCCTCCGCTTCCTTCAGAGTAGCCAGACGAGCTTCCAGCTCCGCACTCTGTGGGATGAGAAGTGGAGGGAGGGGAGAGGGGGAAGAGTTGACTGAGCAACTTCAGGGCGACTCGCACGAGCTCTCTGTACTGCCTCTGCTCCTCCGCTTCCTTCAGAGCCGCCAGACGAGCTTCCAGCTCCGCACTCTGTGAGGAGAGAGGTGGATGGAAGGGGGAGAGGGAAGAGGTGACTGGACGCCTCAATCACCGCCACCAGCACCACCACCAGCACCGATTGCCCCTCTCCCCTTTGCTCCCTTGGGGACCACGTCTCTCACGAGCTCTCTGTACCGCCTCTGCTCCTCCGCTTCCTTCAGAGTAGCCAGACGAGCTTCCAGCTCCGCACTCTGTGGGATGAGAAGTGGAGGGAGGGGAGAGGGGGAAGAGTTGACTGGGGGCCTCCAGCTCTCTGTACCGCCTTCCCTCCTCCGCTTCCTTCAGAGCAGCCAGATGATCTTCAAGCTCTGCACTCTGTGGGATGAGAAGGGAAGGGAGGGGAGAGGGGGAAGAGTTGACTGGGAGCCTCCAGATCTATGCGCCGCCTTCCCTCCTCCGCTTCTTTCAAAGCAGCCAAGCGAGCTTCAAGCCCCGCACTCTGTGGGACGAGAGGAAGAAAAATGAGTAGACGGTGGATATGGGGAGATGAGGTGAGGGACACACAAGACGGATCTTGAGCGGATGAAAAAAAAAAAAAAAAAAAAAAAACCAACAAACAAACTCTTGGTCCATGAACTGTCAATCCGAGTCAAGCCTGCACGTCCGGCCGCACCTTCTTCGGAGGCTCGGGTGGAGCAGGCAGCAGCACGAGGCAGCCTTCCAGCACCTCGTGCATAAGCCAATCAGAGCTCTTGTCGCTATTCGCAGCGCCGTTGCCCGCACTGTCACTGCTCCTCCCGTTTCCGCTGCTTGTAGTGCCGTTGCTACTCGCAGTGTCGTTGCTAGTGTTGCCGCTGCTGCTCGCAGTGCCTTGTGAATTAACGCCTGATGCTTCCTCTCGTGCTTCTGATTCCTTCACTTCTCTCGTCTCGCAGCTGTCGCTCGGCGAAATCTGACCCGTCCTTGTGTTACCACTCTCTTCGCTGTGGTCGCTTCGGTCGCTGCGATCTGATCTGTGCCGCTCGCGTAAAGCGGACCATGCGGCGCGGACCACGGCGTACGGAACCGCATCGCCGTCTTTAGTCGACGCGTACTGTTTAAACTTCGCCGGCAACTCTGACGGCGCGGATATCTTCTGATTGTCAGAATCGCCGACGGCCGTCCGATCCGCGATATGAGATGAAGGAACGGTATCCAGAGCCTCTAACGCTGCGTTTAACATTCTTCTGAGATTAACTGTGGATGAGAGGTGCAGGCAAGGTGACGCCATAGCCAGCGGCTCTACAGCAACAAAAAAACTCGGTCGGATAAAAGTACGAAAGAAGAAGCAGCGAGCAGGCGAGCCGGCGAATAAAACGGCGTCGGTGATTAAAGCGTAAATGAAACAGTACACGGTAATAGGAACTAGTACGATCTGAGAATTTCGAATTTCGTCAGAAAAAACTGCCTCGTCGAAGGAAGCAGAGATACAAAGCAGCAAGGAAGTGAGCAGACGAAGGCGTGAAGTCGTACGAAAGCACAAATAGGGCAAGCGCTATGTACCGTGCATCACCACAGCGTAAATCATATTAGCCACACTAAACCTCTCTTTAACCCATCAAAATGATCGCGAACCAATTTCAGTCCGGGGCGTGTTTACGTTCTAGATATGGTGAGGAGGATCAGTAACGAGACCCATCCATTTTACATTTCGAGTGTGGTTTTTGAGAGCGAGTCACGGGAAGGACAGGTGCGTAGTCAGGAACATCCGCTGAACTCACACTGATGAATACGTCGGAGATGTGGAAAACACAACCTGGTCAGCTGGGTTCCATGGCACGCGCTGGAGTTCTTTCTTCAGTTTCCGAATCTTACGGGCGCGAGCAGGTTGTTTGCGGCCTAGGCTCCGTGTTCTGCGGCCGAGATGTTTAGCAACCTGCTTAGACCAGCCACTTCGCAGCCTTAACACCGCCTAGTTGTCCCATATTTTCGTTAACGGCGTGTCTTATATCGCGCACTGCCGATTTTTCCACGCATCACTCTCCTGCGTGCGAGGGGTTTCTTGCCGAGCGATGGCCGGAGCGCCACTAGGCGTGTGCCACGTAAGCCACACGGATATGATGAACCGCGTCGCGCCTTCAGGCTCTGCGTTACCCCGACGCGTACTTAATAGTTTTAATAGCTACACAAGGCAGGCAATGACGGCATTGTCGGTCAGAAGTTTAGGTCGAGTTACAGAACCTAGTACTAGCCTCAGCCGCTACCTGTCCGCGATAGAAGCTTCCTCCATACCCTCGATAGGACCTCCCGCGAGTCCCTTGCTATCTCGTCACATCCTTTTACAAAGATTTCTGTTGCACTCGCATCCGAGGAATCATGCCACGTGGCAGCAGGTCGTTCGCCTGCAAACGCAGCGGCCTTGGGAAGATAGGGGTTCGGGATTGAAGGGGGCGAGAGCAGTGGGGGGATACCCCACGTCGGGTTACCACACGAGGGGTTACCACATAGCAGGCCTTTCTGATAATAAGCATAGACCGATCGGAAGCCGCAGGAGTAGCGTGGTTAATGCTGCTGACGTGGCAGGGGAGAATTCTGAGACGTCTCAGAGTGCAGATGATGTTACTGATATGGCAAAGGGGGAGGAGGAGGAGGAGCTGAGAAGGATGAGTGACCCGGGTTCGAATCCCAATGGCGGCATTAGTGTGATTCTCGGGATTGAGACGAGCTGTGATGATACGGGAGCTGCTGTGGTGAGTGAGTGTGTGACTGGAGAGCACCCCGGAGAGCACACGAGTTTCAGAGGCGCCTTGAATGCACCCTGGTTCGAATCCCCGTGTTGGCACTAATGCACATTTGGGAATTGAAACACTCAGTGATTACACGGGTGCTGCTGTGGTGAGCGCGTGTGTGACTGGAGAGCTCACGAGTTTTCGAGGAGCCTTGAATGCATCCTGGTTCGAATCCCCGTGTTGGCAGTAATGCACGCTTGGGAATTGAAACTCTCTGTGATTACAGGAGTGCTGCTATGGCGAGTGCGTGTGTGACTGGAGAGCCGGAGTGATTATATATGGGGATGACGTGGTCTTAATCAGTACTGTTTGTTTGCCTTTCTTTATGCTATTATTCTTTCAATACAGCTTGTCCACTCGACCTCTCTGTGCCTGTTACAGGTCACATCTGATGGGCGAATTCTAGGTGAAGCCCTGGCATCACAGGTAACAGTGCCATGTAATCTCACTTTTCTCTTCTCTTTTCTTCTCCCCCTCCATGCCTGTTACAGGTCACATCTGATGGGCGAATTCTGGATGAAGCCCTGGCATCACAGATTACAGGCAGGTGGCAGATTCTACATCAGCGAATCACATTTTCTCTTCTCTTTTCTTGAACCCCACCTTGCCTGTTACAGGTCACATCTGATGGGCGAATTCTGGGTGAAGCCCTGGCATCACAGGTAACAGTGCCATGTAATCTCACTTTTCTCTTCTCTTTTCTTGAACCCCACCTTGCCTGTTACAGGTCACATCTGATGGGCGAATTCTGGGTGAAGCCCTGGCATCACAGGTAATGACCATATAGAGCTGATACAGATTACCTGTTTCCTGTTACCTGTTACCTGTCACAGGTAACAGAGCCATGCAGTGCCATGTAGTGTCACTGTGCCATGCCATGGATAGCCATGCCATGGATAGCCATGCCATGGATAGCCATGTAAATTCATGTAGTGCCAGCCTTTTAGAGCCTTCTTTTGCCATGCATTTCCATGTAGTGCCATCCTTAGTTGGTAAGTAATTACATATAGAACCATGTAGTGAGTTCACGAGCACGTAAAGTGCAAACTAAGGTGCCATGCATAGCCATGTAGTTGTGGGTAGCAGCATAGGCCTTGTATTGCGTGGTTCTTTTATAACACAATAGGCCGCCTTTGCACCAATTCTTTCTCCTTTCTCCCTTTCCTCTTCCCTCTCTTCTCCCCCCTTCCCCACCCCGCTTCCCCTCTCCCTCCTCCCTTCCACAGGGAAAGGTGCACGGAAGACACGAGGCTTGCACAAGGTGCACGCGGAGTGGAGGGGAGTGGTGCAGCGTATGTTTTTTGAGAATTCTAAAAAAACATTCCTTGGCACGCGAAGAACATGAACATGCCATACACCCGGTATTAGATTGTCTTTTTCTCTCCGCTTTCCACCGCTTCCCCCCTTACCTATCTTCCACAGGGCAAGGTGCACGTGGAGTGGAGGGGAGTGGTGCCGTCCTTGGCACGCGAAGAACATGAGCAGACTAAAGGACCCACCCTCTTTCTTCCCCCCTACTTCCACCGCTTCCCCCCCCTCACCTCCCATTGACAGGGCAAGGTGCACGCGGAATGGGGGGGAGTGGTGCCGTCCTTGGCACGCGAAGAACATGAGCATGCCATACACCCGGTATTAAAATGTCTTATTCTCTCTAAAACCCTAGGCCTCTCCCCCCTTCCCTCCTTCCCTCCCCCTCCCCTCACCCTTTCTTCCACAGGGCAAGGTGCACGCGGAATGGAGGGGGGTGGTGCCATCCTTGGCACGTGGGGAACATGAGAAGACTAAAGGACCCACCCTCTTTCTTCCCCCCTACTTCCACCGCTTTCCCCCCCTCACCTCCCATTGACAGGGCAAGGTGCACGCGGAATGGGGGGGAGTGGTGCCGTCTTTGGCACGTGGGGAGCACGAGAAGGCAACAGACCCACCCTCGTTCTTCCCCCCTACTTCCACCGCTTCCCCCCTCACCTCTCTTCCACAGGGCAAGGTGCACGCGGAGTGGGGGGGAGTGGTGCCGTCCTTGGCACGTGGGGAGCATGAGAAGGCCATCGACCCACCCTCTTTCTTCCCCCCTACTTCCACCGCTTCCCCCCTCACCTCTCTTCCACAGGGCAAGGTGCACGCGGAGTGGGGGGGAGTGGTGCCGTCTTTGGCACGTGGGGAGCATGAGAAGGCAACAGACCCACCCTCGTTCTTCCCCCCTACTTCCACCGCTTCCCCCCTCACCTCTCTTCCACAGGGCAAGGTGCACGCGGAATGGGGGGGAGTGGTGCCGTCCTTGGCACGTGGGGAGCATGAGAAGGCCATAGATCCGGTATTAAGTGGTTCTTTATAAAGCTGTAGACCTGGCTTTACAGAGACTTCTTTCTAATTGTCTCTGTACTGTACTGTTCTTTGACTATTTGTTGTTCTTTGACTGTTTGTTATTGCTTGCATGCTTTTTGTGCCAAGTATGCTAGTTCAACAAGTCTCCAACCCCTTACATTACCCGTGGCATTCTCCTCCGGCATATCTCCTCATTCCCCAACCCTTCTCCGCTTTCTTCTCGCATCTCCGCGCGCGCGTGTGTTTTTCTTCTTAGTAAGACTACAAAAATCATCTCCATGTGGGTGTGATTCGGTTTGGGTGGGTCCAGGTGGTTCAAGCAGCCCTAGATGAGGCTGGCTTACAGCCGTCGGATCTTTCCGCAGTAGCGGTCACGATCGGCCCAGGGCTCAGCCTGTGCTTAAGAGGTGAGTCTCCGCTCGAACCCACTCACTACCTTTGTTAACTTCTCCTCTTATGAGAATCACTTGTGCTGCTGCTGCAATGGATGCCCTTGTAGGGAGTTTTTGAGAATTCTCAAAAGTCATCCCTGTTTAGACTCTGTGCTGGCAGTGGATGCAGAGTTGACTTTTGAGTCGACTCAAAAGTCATCCCTGTTTAGACTCTGTGCTGGCAGTGGATGCAGTGCTGGCAGTGGATGCAGTGCTGGCAGTGGATGCAGTGCTGTATCTCTCGTTGACCATGTCACGTCATGGCAGTGGGAGTGATGAAAGCAAGGAGGATGGCAGCACAGAATGGCATGCATCCCCATCATCATCATCATGGCAGCACAGAATGGCATGCATCCCCATCATCAGCATCCCCGTCATCATCATCATCATCATCCCCATTTCCTCTTCTGTTTCTGCATTGCTTTTCATTGCACTGCGTGTGCGTCCCTTGTTGTTTGCGCATCCTTCAACTTTTGACGCGCCTCAAAAGTTGTCCCTTGTTGCCGCATCTTTCGTATCATCGGGGGGTGGCAGTGGGGGTGATGAAGGCGAGGAGGATGGCGGCACAGCATGGCATCCCCATCATCCCCATTCACCATATGGAAGCACATGCCCTGGTGGCCAGGTGGGATTATGGGATACTGTACCTACCGTCATACCTATCTACACACATATGTTGGTGACACGGCACAGCATGGCATCCCCATCATCCCCATCATCCCCATCATCCCCATCATCCCCATTCACCACATGGAAGCACAAGCGCTGGTGGCCAGGTGGGTGTTTACCTGCCTACTAGCGCGCCCAGCTACTCCCATCAGTCATTCACAGCATCCCCATCATCCCCATCCACCACATGGAAGCACAAGCGCTGGTGGCCAGGTGGGTGTTTACCTGCCTACTAGCGCGCCCAGCTACTCCCATCAGTCATTCACAGCATCCCCATCATTCCCATCCACCACATGGAAGCACAAGCGCTGGTGGCCAGGTGGGTGTTTACCTGCCTACTAGCGCGCCCAGCTACTCCCATCAGTCATTCACAGCATCCCCATCATCCCCATCCACCACATGGAAGCACAAGCGCTGGTGGCCAGGTGGGTGTTTACCTGCCTACTAGCGCGCCCAGCTACTCCCATCAGTCATTCACAGCATCCCCATCATCCCCATCCACCACATGGAAGCACAAGCGCTGGTGGCCAGGTGGGTGTTTACCTGCCTACTAGCGCGCCCAGCTACTCCCATCAGTCATTCACAGCATCCCCATCATTCCCATCCACCACATGGAAGCACAAGCGCTGGTGGCCAGGTGGGTGTTTACCTGCCTACTAGCGCGCCCAGCTACTCCCATCAGTCATTCACAGCATCCCCATCATCCCCATCCACCACATGGAAGCACAAGCGCTGGTGGCCAGGTGGGTGTTTACCTGCCTACTAGCGCGCCCAGCTACTCCCATCAGTCATTCACAGCATCCCCATCATCCCCATCCACCACATGGAAGCACAAGCGCTGGTGGCCAGGTGGGTGTTTACCTGCCTACTAGCGCGCCCAGCTACTCCCATCAGTCATTCACAGCATCCCCATCATTCCCATCCACCACATGGAAGCACAAGCGCTGGTGGCCAGGTGGGTGTTTACCTGCCTACTAGCGCGCCCAGCTACTCCCATCAGTCATTCACAGCATCCCCATCATCCCCATCCACCACATGGAAGCACAAGCGCTGGTGGCCAGGTGGGTGTTTACCTGCCTACTAGCGCGCCCAGCTACTCCCATCAGTCATTCACAGCATCCCCATCATTCCCATCCACCACATGGAAGCACAAGCGCTGGTGGCCAGGTGGGTGTTTACCTGCCTACTAGCGCGCCCAGCTACTCCCATCAGTCATTCACAGCATCCCCATCATCCCCATCCACCACATGGAAGCACAAGCGCTGGTGGCCAGGTGGGTGTTTACCTGCCTACTAGCGCGCCCAGCTACTCCCATCAGTCATTCACAGCATCCCCATCATCCCCATCCACCACATGGAAGCACAAGCGCTGGTGGCCAGGTGGGTGTTTACCTGCCTACTAGCGCGCCCAGCTACTCCCATCAGTCATTCACAGCATCCCCATCATTCCCATCCACCACATGGAAGCACAAGCGCTGGTGGCCAGGTGGGTGTTTACCTGCCTACTAGCGCGCCCAGCTACTCCCATCAGTCATTCACAGCATCCCCATCATCCCCATCCACCACATGGAAGCACAAGCGCTGGTGGCCAGGTGGGTGTTTACCTGCCTACTAGCGCGCCCAGCTACTCCCATCAGTCATTCACAGCATCCCCATCATCCCCATCCACCACATGGAAGCACAAGCGCTGGTGGCCAGGTGGGTGTTTACCTGCCTACTAGCGCGCCCAGCTACTCCCATCAGTCATTCACAGCATCCCCATCATTCCCATCCACCACATGGAAGCACAAGCGCTGGTGGCCAGGTGGGTGTTTACCTGCCTACTAGCGCGCCCAGCTACTCCCATCAGTCATTCACAGCATCCCCATCATCCCCATCCACCACATGGAAGCACAAGCGCTGGTGGCCAGGTGGGTGTTTACCTGCCTACTAGCGCGCCCAGCTACTCCCATCAGTCATTCACAGCATCCCCATCATTCCCATCCACCACATGGAAGCACAAGCGCTGGTGGCCAGGTGGGTGTTTACCTGCCTACTAGCGCGCCCAGCTACTCCCATCAGTCATTCACAGCATCCCCATCATCCCCATCCACCACATGGAAGCACAAGCGCTGGTGGCCAGGTGGGTGTTTACCTGCCTACTAGCGCGCCCAGCTACTCCCATCAGTCATTCACAGCATCCCCATCATTCCCATCCACCACATGGAAGCACAAGCGCTGGTGGCCAGGTGGGTGTTTACCTGCCTACTAGCGCGCCCAGCTACTCCCATCAGTCATTCACAGCATCCCCATCATCCCCATCCACCACATGGAAGCACACGCGCTGGTGGCCAGGTGGGTGTTTACCTGCCTACTAGCGCGCCCAGCTACTCCCATCAGTCATTCACAGCATCCCCATCATCCCCATCCACCACATGGAAGCACAAGCGCTGGTGGCCAGGTGGGTGTTTACCTGCCTACTAGCGCGCCCAGCTACTCCCATCAGTCATTCACAGCATCCCCATCATCCCCATCCACCACATGGAAGCACACGCGCTGGTGGCCAGGTGGGTGTTTACCTGCCTACTAGCGCGCCCAGCTACTCCCATCAGTCATTCACAGCATCCCCATCATTCCCATCCACCACATGGAAGCACAAGCGCTGGTGGCCAGGTGGGTGTTTACCTGCCTACTAGCGCGCCCAGCTACTCCCATCAGTCATTCACAGCATCCCCATCATCCCCATCCACCACATGGAAGCACAAGCGCTGGTGGCCAGGTGGGTGTTTACCTGCCTACTAGCGCGCCCAGCTACTCCCATCAGTCATTCACAGCATCCCCATCATCCCCATCCACCACATGGAAGCACAAGCGCTGGTGGCCAGGTGGGTGTTTACCTGCCTACTAGCGCGCCCAGCTACTCCCATCAGTCATTCACAGCATCCCCATCATTCCCATCCACCACATGGAAGCACACGCGCTGGTGGCCAGGTGGGATATATTTTTTAGGGTTTCGGGTACGATAGCACATTGATCATCCATATTCTCCCCAGCACAGCATCCCCATCCTCCCCATCCACCACATGGAAGCACACGCGCATGCCTTCTCTCTTGCACGGCAATGTGGCTGGTATGGCACTAGCATACACAGCATCCCCATCATCCCCATCATCCCCATCATCCCCATCATCCCCATCATCCCCATCATCCCCATCCACCACATGGAAGCACAAGCGCTGGTGGCCAGGTGTATTCTTCGCATGCCGATTTCCATTGCAATACCCATCACCCCCATCACCCCCATCACCCCCATCACATCACATCACCCCCATCACCCCCATCACCCCCATCACCCCCATCATCCCCATCACCCCCATCACCCCCATCACCCCCATCACCCCCATCACATCACATCACCCCCATCACCCCCATCACCCCCATCACCCCCATCACCCCCATCACATCACATCACCCCCATCACCCCCATCACCCCCATCACCCCCATCACATCACATCACCCCCATCACCCCCATCACCCCCATCACCCCCATCACATCACATCACCCCCATCACCCCCATCACCCCCATCACCCCCATCACCCCCATCACCCCCATCACCCCTATCACCCCCATCACCCCCATCACCCCCATCACCCCCTAAAAACACGACTTTTTTCAGTCGACTCAAAACACGACTCATTACACGCGCTTTTCCTTTCCCCACCCTTGTGATGTTTCCCTTCTTCTGCTATGCTAGTACAGGCTGATCAATCCTAACGTCACCTTCCCCTTCCCCCTCTTCGCAAAAAGAAAGAAAGAAACGTGATTTTTCTTTTCTCCCACCCCCCCACCCCCCATACAGGCTGACCAATCCTGACGTCACCTTCCCCTTCCTCACGCTTTTGATATCAGGTGCAGTGGGGTGTGGTGCTCGTGCAAAGATGCGCATCTATGGTAAATTTCTGTCCTTTTTGCTCTCCCCCCCCCCCCCCCCCCCCCCCTCCTCCCCCCTCTTCCAGGCTGACCAATCCTGACGTCACCTTCCCCTTCCTCACGCTCTTGATATCAGGTGCAGTGGGGTGTGGTGCTCGTGCACAGATGCGCATCTTTGGTAAATTTCTGTCCTTTTTGCTCCCCCTCTCCCCCCTCCCCCCCACCCCCCCACCCCCCATACAGGCTGACCAATCCTGACGTCACCTTCCCCTTCCTCACGCTCTTGATATCAGGTGTGGTGCCCCGGGAGAAGATGCGTGTGCGGTGCTGTTATTAGTAAACAGGTGGGCTGCGGAGGTCTGATGTCCATCAACTTGAGTGTTATTGAGACGGCGAGACAAACTCCATGACATCAGAACTTGAGTATCAGGTGTGGTGCCCAGGAGTAGATGCGTGTGCGGTTATGATATGATACAGACTTGTTAGTTTGCGTGTTCCTATTCATGTGTTCCGTTTGATGTGTCTCTATCAGTCTTTTACTATTGATGAGTTCCTTTTGGTGTCTTATTGTCATATCCTCCCCTCCTCCCCTCATCCCTCCCTCCCCCCTTTCTCGGTCCCTCCTAGAAGCGCCGACCATTTGCTATTGTCGCATCCTCTCCTCCCTCTGCCCCTTCCCCTCCTCACCTTCCTCTCGTAGGAGGGCACAACCTTCTGTTATTGTCACATCCCTTCCCCCTCCCCCTACCCTTTCCCCAACCCCCCCTTCCCCCTTTAGGCGGGCACAACCTTTTGTTATTGTCACATGGGGTGGGGCAGTACACTCAGCTGGGAACAACGCTAGACGACGCCATGGGTGAGGTGAGAGGTGGAGTGTGGTGGTTTGGGGTGCGGCGAGGTAAGGCGGGGTGGGATGGGGTGTAGAAGGGTTTCCATGGAGAGAGGGAATAGGTGTTGCTATCGAATCAGTCATTCATTTGACAAGACAATACAGCTGTTGGGGATTGATCTGAGAGGGGCAAGCACATGCCTTTCTCTTAACAATTAACCCCTTACCTCCACCCCGCACTCTTTTTCTCCCCAATCCCACCACCCCCTCTCACCCTTCCCGCAAGCCCATTCCACAGTTCCTTACCTCTCCTTGCCATTTGACAAGACAGCGCGATTGCTGGGTTTTTGAGACGTCTCAAAAGGTTAGGACCTGTTGGGAGCAGGAAGGGGAGGTGGGCAGCAATGAAATCTCAGTCGTCTCTCTTACCATGCTCCCTCCCCAACCACCCAACCTGTACCCACCGATTTCCCAGGCGTTTGACAAGTCAGCACGCCTGCTGGGTCTGGGCCTGTCGGGGCCGGGAGGGGGAGGGGAGGGGCAGAGCAATGGATTCACAGTCATCTCTCTTACCATGCTCCCTCCCATCCCAACCACCCCACCTGTACCCACCGATTTCCCAGGCGTTTGACAAGTCAGCACGCCTGCTGGGTCTGGGCCTGTCGGGGCCGGGAGGCGGAGGGGGGAGCAGTTGATGCGCTTGCAACCTCTTTTAAACCCCCTGTACCCCTCCACCCTCTCCCCCAGGCGTTTGACAAGACAGCACGCCTGCTAGGTCTGGACTTGTCGGGAGCAGGAGGGGGAGGGGCGGCGGTTGAAGTGCTGGCAAGGGAAGGAAACAGAGATAGATTCAAGTTCACTGTAAGAGAAATTGCTGCTCGTTCTAAATGATGGCTTCTTTAAATAAATGCTGGTTTATTGGCAGACTGTTGTTTTCTAGTAGCAGTTGCTTTTCCCCTCACTACACGTCTCTCCTCTCCACACCTCTTCCCCTCTCATTTATCCAGGTGCCCCTAGCACGTGTCAAGAGCTGCGACTTCCCCTTTTCAGCCCTCTCTAACCCAACGTGGCATACCCGCCTTGCCTGTTTTCCCTCGTAATTTTGCATCAAGGCCACCGTGGCGCGCTGCATGTTTCCTCTGTCCGTGTCTCCCCGCATGCTCCTTGTTCCTCCCCTGCCCCCACCCATCCAGGTGCCCCTAGCGCGTGTCAAGAGTTGTGACCGCTCCGTCTCAGGAATCAAGGCCACCGTGGCGCGCTGCATGTTTCCTCTGTCCGTGTCTCCCCGCATGCTCCTTGTTCCTCCCCTGCCCCCACCCATCCAGGTGCCCCTAGCGCGTGTCAAGAGTTGTGACCGCTCCGTCTCAGGAATCAAGGCCACCGTGGCGCGCTGCATGTTTCCTCTGTCCGTGTCTCCCCGCATGCTCCTTGTTCCTCCCCTGCCCCCACCCATCCAGGTGCCCCTAGCGCGTGTCAAGAGTTGTGACCGCTCCGTCTCAGGAATCAAGGCCACCGTGGCGCGCTGCATGTTTCCTCTGTCCGTGTCTCCCCGCATGCTCCTTGTTCCTCCCCTGCCCCCACCCATCCAGGTGCCCCTAGCGCGTGTCAAGAGTTGTGACCGCTCCGTCTCAGGAATCAAGGCCACCGTGGCGCGCTGCATGTTTCCTCTGTCCGTGTCTCCCCGCATGCTCCTTGTTCCTCCCCTGCCCCCACCCATCCAGGTGCCCCTAGCGCGTGTCAAGAGTTGTGACCGCTCCGTCTCAGGAATCAAGGCCACCGTGGCGCGCTGCATGTTTCCTCTGTCCGTGTCTCCCCGCATGCTCCTTGTTCCTCCCCTGCCCCCACCCATCCAGGTGCCCCTAGCGCGTGTCAAGAGTTGTGACCGCTCCGTCTCAGGAATCAAGGCCACCGTGGCGCGCTGCATGTTTCCTCTGTCCGTGTCTCCCCGCATGCTCCTTGTTCCTCCCCTGCCCCCACCCATCCAGGTGCCCCTAGCGCGTGTCAAGAGTTGTGACCGCTCCGTCTCAGGAATCAAGGCCACCGTGGCGCGCTGCATGTTTCCTCTGTCCGTGTCTCCCCGCATGCTCCTTGTTCCTCCCCTGCCCCCACCCATCCAGGTGCCGCTAGCGCGTGTGAAGAGAGTTGTGACCGCTCCGTCTCAGGAATCAAGGCAAACGGGGCACGCTGCATGTCTCCCCTGTCCGTGTATCCCCGCATGCTCCTTGTTCCTCCCCTGCCCCCACCCATCCAGGTGCCGCTAGCGCGTGTCAAGAGCTGTGACTTCTCCTTTTCAGGACTCAAGGCAAACGGGGCATGCCATTCTCTAAGAAGGCAGTTTTTGTGATTCTCGTCGTTCCCTCCCCCTCCCCCTCCCCCTCTCCACCCATTTCAGGTGCCACTAGCGCGTGTCAAGAGCTGTGACTTCTCCTTTTCAGGACTCAAGGCAAACGTGGCATACTCGCCTTGCCTGTTTCCCCTCACACTTCTCATCTCCCCTGCATCTCTCCTCACCCTCCACCCTCAGGTGCCCCTAGCGCGTGTCAAGAGCTGTGACTTCTCATTTTCGGGACTTAAAGCCAATGTGGCTCGCTGCATACAGAAGGAGGCCCCGTAAGACCTTGTGAGGAGGGTGGGGAGGGGAGAGAGGGGTGGGGGAGGGTGGAAATGGGTGGAAAGGGTGTGCATCTTGTGCTGTCTCAAGGCGAACGTGGCACGCTGCGTACAGAAGGAGGCACCGTAAGGCCTTGTGAGGAGGGTGATGGGGGTAAAGGGGTGGAAATGGGTGGAAATGTGTGGGAAAGGGTGTGTGTCCCGAGTTGACCTAACCTTCCATAGTTTCGCCAGACCTATCTGTCATGTAACTTGTTCCGTACCTCTCTTCCCGAACCCGATCCCTCGTTCCCTCCCAGGGCAGCTCAAACCATCCCTATTGCCGAAGCAACGCCGGAGGACCGGCAGTTACGAGCAGACATTGCTGCCTCTTTCCAGGTAACTTCCTTCCCATAGCACCACTCTTCTCCCCATTAAAGCTGTCTGCGCTGCAACATTTTCTCAGGTTACCCTGTCATATCCGATCCGCTTTTTTTTCGATCGACTAAGAAAATCATATCCCTCTGCTTCTCCTTTATTTTCAAAAGGATGGGTGTTGCCAGAATCCGGCGGCTGTTATGTCACTCAAATCTCTTCCCCTCCTTCCTCTCTACGCCCATGTTATTCCCAATCAGGAGGTGGCAGTGTTGCATCTGGAGTCGAGAGTGCAGCGGGCTATTAAAATGGCGAGAGAATCAGCTCCTGAGATTGACACACTGGTGAGTCAGAGGGAGAGGGAGAGGGAGAGGGAGAGGGAGATGGAGAGGGAGAGGGAGAGCATGTCTAGGAGGAATTGTGTTGTGTCATGGTCCAGGGCTGGCATGCAGGAGGTGGCAGTGTTGCATCTGCAGTCGCGGGTGCAGAGAGCCATTCAGTTGGCGAGGGAATCAGTGCCTGCGATTGACACACTGGTGAGTTGGTTTTTGAGAATTCTCAGAAGCAAAACGTTCTTGGGTTGTCCGCAGACCAGGAGGGAGTGTGGGTTGTTAAGGTCTTGTGTGGCTAAGGGGGCTTAAAGCCAGGGTCTCAAGTAAGCTAAGGAGCCGTCAACTGCAAAGCAGTTGAAGCTAGGTTACCTAGTTATTGCAGACGAAGTTCTCTCTGGTTGGGTTGAAAAAACAGCTTGCGACACACCCCGTCATTTCCCCAGAAGCGATTGCACAACACTTTTGGGTACTTGAGACTTTCGATGAGTTGGGGGCATTTTAGGTTTGGCTCCGAGCCAAGTTTCCAAGCCTAGAAGGTTTGGGTACACCCAGCGATTTGAGTTTGCTTCGCACCCCTCGCTTCAACCCACTTCAAACCTTCTACTTCGCTAACCAATCACAGCCAAACTTTCACCATCAACTGCAAAACACTTGTAGTACTTGAGACCCTGGCTTTAACACCTGCTATTCCCCCTCCTCCCCACCCCCACCCCAGCCCTTCCCCCTTCCGCCGTCACCAATCAGGTGATGGCGGGGGGAGTGGCGTCTAATCAAGTCGTCCGCTCGCGGATCGCAGCAGTCTGCAAGCAGTCAGGAATGAGGCTGGTGTGCCCTCCGCTCTGCCTGTTCATTCCTTCCTTCTTGGGCTTTCTTTGCTCTCTCCCCCCCCCCGCCCCTCCCCCTCACCTCCCTATCGATCAGGTGATGGCAGGGGGAGTGGCCTCCAATCAAGTTGTCCGCACGCGGATAGGAGCAGTCTGCGAGCAGTCGGGGGTGAGGCTGGTGTGCCCTCCGCCCCGCCTCTGCACCGATAATGGTGAGTGGCAGTGGCTGTTTTGGAAGAGGAGGGGGCGAAGCGGAAAGAAGGGGGAAGGAAGGGGGGTGAGAGTGTGAACAGTCGGGGGTGAGGCTGGTGTGCCCTCCCCCTCGCCTCTGCACCGATAATGGTGAGTGGCAGTGGCTGTTTTGGAAGAGGAGGGGGCGAAGCGGAAAGAAGGGGGAAGGAAGGGGGGTGAGAGTGTGAACAGTCGGGGGTGAGGCTGGTGTGCCCTCCCCCTCGCCTCTGCACCGATAATGGTGGGTGGCAGTGGCTGTTTTTTAATTGGGGATTGAGGGAGAAAGGTTCGAGTCGTTTCAAGAGGTGCAATCTCTCTTGAATGGTCCTTAGTATGAATGCACGGCCACTCTGGGAGCAGTCGGGGGTGAGGCTTGTGTGGCCTCCTCCCCGCCTCTGCACCGATAATGGTGAGGACTGGTTTAGGGGAAGGGATGGCATAGGGAGGGGGTATGCACGGTTCAAACTGGGGATGAAGGAGCCTCCAATCCGCCTGCTGTAGACGAATCGGACGATGATGCTTATGTCTCCCCTTCCCCTATCTCCCCTCCTCATTCCCCATACCCCTCCTCCCCAGGAGTCATGGTGGCATGGGCGGGGTACGAGCGTTTCAGACTGGGAATAATGGAGCCTCCGCCTGCTCTGCTCTAGGCAATCCCCAGGTTCTCCCTTCCCCTGCCTTCCCCTGCCTTCCCCTGCCTTCCCCTCCCTTCCCCTGCCTTCCCCTGCCTTCCCCTCCCTTCCCCTGCCTTCCCCTGCCTTCCCCTCCCTTCCCCTGCCTTCCCCTGCCTTCCCCTCCCTTCCCCTGCCTTCCCCTGCCTTCCCCTGCCTTCCCCTCCCTTCCCCTGCCTTCCCCTGCCTTCCCCTGCCCTCCCTGTCCCGACCACTCCTGTTTCCCTCTTCTCCTCTCCCAGGAGTCATGGTGGCATGGGAGGGGAGCGCTTCAAACGGGGGATCATGGAGCATCCACCTGCTGGAGACACTCCCCATTTGTCCCTCCTCCCTGCCCCCCCTCGCCTCTCCCTGGCTCCCCTTGTCTTTAACCAGGAGTCATGGGTGCATGGGCGGGGTACAAGCGCTTCAAACGGGGGATCATGGAGTATCCGCCTGCTGGAGACACTCCCCTTTTTTCCCTCCCCTTCCCTATGTGTCCGTCCATATATCCCCTCCCCTCTCCCTCCCAGGGGTCAGCGATTTAGACTGAGGATCATGGAGCATTCGCCTGCTGGAGACAGTGCCCATTTGCTGCAGCGCCCACCTTGCCCTTTCCCATGCCCTTTGCCATGCGCCTGTCCCTATTTCCCCCCTTCTCCTCCCCAGGGGTCATGGTGGCATGGGCAGGGTACGTGCGCTTCAAACTGGGGATCATGGAGCCTAGCTTCCTTCTATCCCCATCCCCCGCACCCGCCTTCCCATTCCTGCTTCCCCCATACCCTCTCGCCGGTCCCTCTTTCCCCTCTCCCTGACAGGGGTCATGGTGGCATGGGCAGGGTACGAGCGCTTCAGACTGGGAATTATGGAGCCTCCACCTGCTGTAGACGAATCTGATGATGATGCTTATGTAAGTTTTTTTTTTTTTTTTTTTTTTAGAGATTTATCGGTCATATGTAATGTCGATATATCGGGTCCTGAAGGTGTCTTGGGAGGGCCAGGAGGAATAGTAAGGAACAGAACACTTATGTCATCATCCCTTATCTTTTCCTCCCCCTCTCGCTCAGCTGTCTTCTCCGTTCTTGTCCCGCACTCCTTCCTCGCCCCCTTGATTGCCCATCCCAACCATTCATACACCATCAGGTGGAGCTCAGACCGCGCAGGCCCCTGGCAGACCCCCCATCCTCCCCCCCTGTCAGCCACCCCCTTTCATCTTGCCCCCCCTCCCCTTCCTTCACTTGCCATGCCTCATCTCATTCATTCATGCACCATCAGGTGGAGCTGAGACCACGCTGACTCCTGGCTGACCCCCCATCCTCCCCATCACGCTCAATCTTTCCTCCTGTCCGCTGCTCCCCTTCCTTCCTTCGCTTGCCATTTCTGTGTGCATTTGATCGACCATCAGGTGGAGCTCAGGCCCCGATGGCCCCTGGCAGATCCTCCCTCCTCCCCATCCCGCTCAGCCACCCCCTTTCCTCTTGTTCCCCGCTCCCCTTCCTTCACTTGCCATGTCTCATCCCGCCCGCTCGCCCTCACCTGCCAACCATCAGGTGGAGCTCAGGCCCCGCTGGCCCCTGGCAGACCCCCCATCCTCCCCATCCCGCTCCTCCAAGCAAAAGCGCCTCTTCCCATCCCTCTCCTCCTCCTCCCCTTCCACCCCGCTTCTCACCTCCTCGAATCCTCCCACCACCTCCATAACGCCCCTCTCCACTTCCTCTTTCGAATTTCATGCTGCGGCCTCTACTGTGATTTGACTTACCCAAATTTACCCTTGGCAGACCCCCCATCCTCTCGCTCCTCCAAGCAAAAGCTCCTCTTCCCTTCCCTCTCCTCCTCCTCCCCTTCCACCCCACTCCTCTCCTCCTCGAATCCTCCCAACACCTCCCCAAGGCCTCTCTCGTCTTCCTCTTCCCAACTCTTATGCTGCAGTCACTACTGCGAATTGACTTACCTGCGTTGGCCCCTTGCAGAACCTCCTTCTTCCCCCTCTCGCTCTGCCAAACGAAAGTGCCTCTTCCCTTCCCTCTCCTCCTACTCCCCCTCCACCCCACTCCTCTCTTCCTCGAGCCCTTCCAACAACACCTCCCCAGCGACTCTCTCGTCAATCTGAAGTGTTCGTTCTTGCACCCCATTTGGTCCTCCCACGATCACGCCGACGCCTTGCTCGTCTTCCTCCTGTAGCACCGTTATTGCATTAAGGGGCTCCACTACCGTATTATGGGCTCATCGGCCTGTGTATTTTGGCAGAAATTATTGAAAGCATGTGCATAATGTATTGTTGTAGATGTCATAGAAGCTGTTATGCTTAGCAAGCAATAGGAAAGGATGCCTCTAAAATATCCAACCTGCAAGTCAACCCATGCATTCCAATATATTTGTGAGAATGGAACAGTTGTATGTGAGCACCATTTGACATAGTAGAAGCTGGAACGAACCTTATATGCCGTCGACGCATCTGGGTTTTATGAAGAATACAGATCATGTAGCGAGGTGTGCCCCTACTGCGGATATGACGGGGTTGTGTGTTCCGTTCTGGCACCTGGGTAACTGCCACTTACGGTCACAGGACAACTCGTGTTATTGTCGGGAACGAGTCCGAATCCCGCGTCATTGCACTGCACAGCAGAAACTTGCTGCCACTCCCAACATTCTCTTGTAAAAAACGGCGACTGCACTGTATTTCTGGAAGGCAATTTGCAAGCTCCCAACAGAGCACCCGTCAAACAATAGACTCAATGTGCAATGCACACAGGTGCTGTAGTTGCCCTAATTTGACAATTCCAGGTAAGGTGCAACTGTCTACCAGCTTCATCAGGCTCATTTGGTGGTGCATAGGTCTTGTTATTCTGGTTCGGTACGGTGTTGATGGAGGAACCGAAACCTTTCTGCCCTTGTTCTGGCTGCCAGCCAAAGCCGTGTTTTTTTCTGCATTATACGGAAATCCAAGATTCTTGTGCTGTCCTTTTCAACTGAACAGTCTGGACCACTGCCGCGTACGAATCTGCATAGTTTCTAGTTTCTAGTTTTCATTTGGAAGCCCAGTAGTGAGTTTCTTCGCCTTCATGTATCCGGTGTCTTCAGACCCAAAAATAAGTGTTGGAAATACTAAACACGAATACAGAGCACAGACACCAGAACCAGCGCAATCCAGGTGACCAAGACGCAGATTATCCCCGATTCCTGCCAAAACCGGTGGGGAGCATGAACAGATTCCAGTTCCTTTTCGCTAACGTTGCCAGAGCTTTTGCGACTTACGTTTCCAGTGTTTTGGAAATTTCACATTGGGTCTCGCTCCACAAGATTTGTGAACCGAACCCAATGCTGAATCAGCTGCACTAAAGGTTTTGTAATGCGAGCGTTCGGCGTCGCCGCTGTCGATTGCTCTGGGGCGAGAACTTGGAAGGCTGAGCTGCCCCGAAATGTGCCCTTAAAATTACGTTTTGGGGCCAAACTCAACACTTGAAATCAGGGCTACAAAGTGCTGTGCACTTTTGCTAAGAGAATAAATCACCCTGGAATAAGGATGAAGTGAAGTACTGGGACCTCTCTAGTACTCTATGTGTAGCCATACCCAGATCTAGCACTAAGTTTGTACTTCGATACTACTTTAGGTTCTTTCTGACTTGCAGCTTGGGTTCTGACTTCGAAAAATAACGGTTCAGGCCTCGACCTTGAGAGTGTCAGAGTACATCGAAACTGGCTCTTGGGAAAGTTATACTGCACCTGGGCCTGGGATGACGGGAATTGGGGAGGGTCGGGGAGGAATCAGTTCGAAGGAGAAGGGCTAGCCCCAAGGCTGATACTTGAAATCCGGGTTAGTCCCGAACACAGCACTTTAGGTGGACGGGCTGACCTGAAAACCAGCCCTTAAATTCGGGGACCTAGGCCGAACTCAACCCTTAATGTTCAGGGCATTAAGGGCATTTGCCCTTGTAGCGACAGCCCTGTTCGGCGAGTCTCCTCTCCTGTACGTTCTTCCTGGTCGAATTCGTTGGGAGGGACACGATGCAAAACGATGGCCTTCAGAAACCGCTTTCAAACGTTTAGAACCGTCCTGAGCCACGAAGCATGAACTGTAAATGTACGACCTACACACCTCCCACTGCTTGGAAAATGTGTCCAGTCCAGTCACCTCAGGTCCTAAGTTTCAACAAATATTCACAAATGTAACAGAACGGGATTCGCCATGCTAGCATGCATGGGAATCTCCGAATGGGAGAGAACTTGTATCTCTTAGCTAGATCTGAACTCTGCACTTGCTAGCCTCGAGAACACTCTCCCATCCCCGTCATACCTTAGATTCCAACGGGGCATGGCATCAAGGCGCTATGCCAAGATGCCATGCTGAAAGCGTAGCGACGCGGGCTTTCTTTACGAGCCGCGCTTCTATCTTTTTAGCATAAATATTCCGTCTCAGAATCTTGTTGTATCATCCTGGGATCATTCTAATCCTATCTTCTTGGAATCTATCTTCCTATCTTCTCTCATCGACGAATCTGGAGCTAGACTCTTGTCTAGCTTTCTTCCGCTGCGATTACTCTTCTCTTTCTACGCTACGGCGCCTCTCCTTAGGCGCTAGGCCGGCCAGGCAAGCCGCGCCGTGCGTCGCTGCGCGCCGTAGCCCTGTTTCAACAAAGCATCCCCTATTCTCTCATCTGCCATTCCGTGGGGTACGAGAGCTTTGAGATGCGGTTGAGAGCCGCCTTAGTGGCGCCTTGCTAGTATCTGTGACATGTCCCTGGATACGGCGCAGAATGTTGAGCAGACATACGACTTTCTACGTGATTCAAATCCGTTATCTCCAGCTGTGGACGATCATGCAGAAAATCCTGAAATTTTCTCTTATCCGACTAACATGGATTATTTCCCGAGTCGGGAATCGAGCCAGCCGACATCCCAGACCCGGCGTCGAAGCGAAGGTAGTAATATTACGACGAACTACTCATTGAGTACTCGTTGTAACTTTTATAAAAGATTTAACGATTTAGCCGCATTATCTCTTCTTCTTTTTTTCCCGCAATTTGGGCATGATAATTGTTGACACAACTTTGTTACTTTCGTTTTTTCAGACATCGGCTTGACGACTAGCACACCAATCAAGAAGATTGACCATCAACGGTCAAAATCTTGTCCTGGAGCTCCAATAAAGCTGGCGAGTCTCACCAGCCGTCGGATCAGCTTGTACTCTACAGTGAAACGAGACCTGATGAGAAAGTTCCAAGCAGCTGAATTCATCGGACCACCCATAACAACCGATTCGTCATGCGAGTCGGGACTAACGGAGGAAATCAGCTGAAAATCCGTAACTGCTGACACATCATCTCGAGGGTCTTTTGAGTCTTGAGGAACTAACGGAGGAGGAGCAACCCTGAGGGTCCTAAGGGTCCTAAGGTCCCTGAGGCTCCTGAGGGTCTTAAGGGTCTTAAGGGTCCTTAGCAAGCTGACATCGCCCAAGATTCTTCCTGCCTTCCCGTGAAACTTCTACGTCTTTAATCTCTTGGCTTCTGTGGCTAACAGAAGGCCTTCAGGGGCAGACGTTGTGTACGTCTCTTCTCACACAGGCTCCCTCTCTCACGTAACCCCCCTTCTCCCTTTCACTCTATTTTATCACATAAAACCTTTCCCTCCTCTCACATAACCCCATTCCCGCCTCTCACATAACCCCCTCTTTCCTCTCACATGACCCTCTCTTCTCACATAACCCCTCTCCCGCTTCTTACATAACTCCCTTCCCTCCTCTCACATGACTCCCTTTCTCTCCTCTCACATGACCCTTACATAACCCCTTGATTCCTACATCTCCTGCATATCCTCTCACATAAGCCTCATTTCTCAAATAACCCACTCTCACTCCGCTCACATAACCGTTCTTCAAATGACCTAGGCGGCAAAATGATGGGAAAGGGCGCTGTACATGTGGGTGGCTGAACCTGGACTATATAGTATTTCTTAGCACTTGAGGTTTATCTGCCCATCTTTCCCTCTTAGCATTTTTCTATGAGTGTAGCAAAACGTGTTCATACATACATCATGCAAGAAAACAGCTCTAAAACAAGCCTAGGTGAAGGGATAGAAATTGATGAAAAGCAAGGAGCCAATGACTGCATATCCCAATGATGCACCGATCCATGCTCTTATCATAAACAACTCCCACCTTTGATCCTCGTTCGCAGAAGACTGGCGGGCAGATTTAGAGAGCTTGGTATTTGCCGATGTGAGGAGATGGGCCAGGAACCAATAGAGAGGAGGTGAGGAGGACAGGAAGCGAGTAGCCACCTGAAACCCACAAGGGAGGGTGGGGAGAAGGGAAGGGAGGGAGGGAGGTGGGGGGCCCAGGCTGAGACTGCTTGGCATAACCCGATTTGAGGAGATGGGCCAGGAGCCAGTAGAGAGGAGGTGAGGAGGAGAGGAAGCGAGTTGCCACCTGCAACTCACAAGGGGGGGAGTTGCAAGGTGGGGGCAGGGGGGTTGTGGGGTTGGAACAAAAAAACATGGAGTATGACTGCTATGTGGGGAGATGGGCCAGGTACCAGTAGAGAGGAGGTGAGGAGGAGAGAAAGCGAGTGGCCACCTGTAGCTCAAAAGGAAGATATTTGCGGGGTGAGGGGGATGGGGGTTTGGATTGAGACTGTTTGGAATGTCCCGATGTGAGGAGATGCGCCAGGAACCAGTAGAGAGGAGGTGAGGAGGAGAGAAAGCGAGTGGCCACCTGCAACTCTAACAGGAGGGAGTTGCGAGGTGGTGGGGTGGAAGGCGATTGAGGGTAAGAGGGAGAGGGAGGAGCTGAGGGGGGTGTGGATCAGGGGGTAGTGGGGGGGGGGGGGGGAGGGGGGAGAGACTGAGGGCGTGCTCCTAAGGCCTCTTATCAGGCGAACCTCGTATCAGACTCGAGTCCATAACACTGAAATTCCCCTAAACCCCAAACCCTTTACGCATTGAATCAGGCAATTCTGACAAGAGGTTCGCCTGATAAGAGGTGTATGAACACGCCCTGACGACTTGGCATTTACAGGTGTGAGGAGATGGGCCAAGAATCAATTTTTTTGTCAATTCAAAAGTCGATCTTATTGGGAAGAAAATGTGTGGCCAGACTGAGACTGCTTGGCATTTGCCGTGTGAGAGGATGGGCCAGAAACTAGACCAGTAGAGAGGAGGTGAGGATGAGAGAACAGGTCAAATTCCCTCCCACTCATTTTTCTTTTTTTTTCTTCCCCCATTGGTACACACTTGCATGTGCATCACCAGCGTTGCCACTGCTGCCATAAACAGCAGCTGCAGCAGGAACGGAAGAGCAGCAGTGGGAATAAAACCCCCTGCATGCATCCACTCCAGCGGTCATATTCTCTCCATTCTACTGACTTCTCACCTGCACATGCATCACCAGGGTTGCCACTGCCGTCATGAACAGCAGCTGCAGCAGGAATGGAAGAGCAGCAGCGGAAAAAAACCCCTTGCATCCACACCAGCGGTCATTTTCTCTCCATTCCACCTCCCATTCCTCCTCCACTTCCTCCTTCCTCTCCCGTGCTTGGGGGTGGTTGGCGGGTGGAAGGAAGAGGAGGTGGTGGTGGTCAGCGGGAGAGGAGAGGAGGCCGAGAGAGAGGAAGAGGAGGGGGCGGGTGAGAGCGAATGAGAGGATGGCTGAGAGGGAGAGGAGGAGGGTTGGCGCTGCTAGGAGGAAGTTTGGGAGCTGCTTCAGCTGAAAGTATCGGAGAAATCCCACGTCCCTGCATTGTGAATGGGGGCAGAGAGGGATAGGAAGAGGTGGGGGCGGGTGAGTACAGAGTATCAGAGAAATTTCACATCCCATTTTTTAACCGACCAGGAAATCTTGACGCAAAAGTTGACTCAGTAGTCCACTCAAGAATCTCAGACATCCCACATCCCATTTCTCAGACAACGCAAAAATTGAGACAATTTTTTAGTCAACTCGAAAATCGTATAATCTCAGAAATCCCACATCCCATTTCTCAGGCAACCCAAAATTTGACTCAGGAGTTGGCTCAAGTATCCGAAATCTCTCACATTCTTGGGGGGAAAAAGGGTAAGGAGAAGGAGCAAAAGGCTTGGAAGAAGAGGAGGAGGGAGAAGGCGAGGAGGGGAGGCAGTGCTGCTTGCTGCTAGCTGATATCTCACCAGTATTTGCGCTGCACATAGCCGTAGATGTAGGGGAGGGAGTCGAGGCACCAGGGTGGGATGTCTTGAGGCGCCTTGGTGCTAGCAGCAGAGCGGCAGAACTGGGTGAAGGCGAATGTCCGTGCCACTGTTACTCACCAGTACTTGCGCTGCACGTAGCCGTAGATATAGGGAACCGAGTCAAGGCACCAAGGGTGAGACGTGGAAACAGGGAGAGCGGGGGTGCAGGAGAGGAGGCGAACACTGTCTATCTCTCACCAGTACTTGCGCTGCACATAGCCGTAGATGTAAGGAACCGTGTCCATGCACCACGGGGGGACCTCCAGGGGCGTGTTGCTAGCAGCAGGGCGGCAGAACTGGGTGAAGGCGAAGGCTTGGAAGGAGAGGAGGAGGGAGAAGGAGAGGAGGCAGCAGAGGGCAGTGGAGAGGAGGATGGGGAGGAGCCTGGGTGGGGGAATGGGGGGAAGAAGGGGCGGGGGGGAAGGGGGGAGGGTGGGGGGGCAGAAGCAACGGAAGAGAAAAGGGGCTTAGTTGGGTGAAGGCAAAGGCTTGGAAGGAGAGGAGGAGAGAGAAGGAGAAGAGGCAGCAGAGGGCAGTGGAGAGAAGGATGGGGAGGAGCCTGGGAGGGGGGAGAAGGGGGGGGAGGGGAGGGAGGGGAGGGGAGAGGGGAAGGGGGTAGGGGGAGGGGACGGGGACAGCAAGAAAAGGGAGAAATGGGAAGTAATTGGTTGACGGCGAATGCTTGGAGGGAAAGGTGGAGGGAGAGGGAGAGGGGACGGCAGAAGGGTGTACTGAGGAGGATGGGGAGGAATTTGGTTAGGGAACGATGAGGGGAGAGGAAGGGGAAAGGAGGGAAAGGTGAGGGGGAGGGAGAGGGCTTGTGGGGGAATGGGGGGGTGGTTGTGGGGGAGGAAGGGAGGGAATGGGCAAAAATGAAACACGACAAGCATACTAATACATATATATAGATAAAAATGAAAAGGGGAGAAAGGAAATATATAATAGAGTGGTTACTTTGAGCGGCACAGCTGCCCCTTTCTTTCCACCAGTCCTGCTGGTGACAATCTTCTGTCTGCCTCGCTCCCTGTTGACTTGTGAGAGGTGTGCAGGTCTTCAATTCCGTGCGGCCTTACAGCACTGAACAGCCGCTGCAGCAGATGGCGTGACAGCAGTCGTAGGGTGAGGGAACCTGCCGCCTGATGGGGGGTTGGAGGGGTGGAGTGGAAGGGAAGAGCGGAGCAACACTAGTGAGATGAGGAGGGGTGGAGGGGTGGAGGGGTGGAGGGGTGGAGGGGTGGAGGGGTGGTGGAGAGGAAGAGCTGATCAGCCACGGCAGCTGCTTCAGTGGCCGACGAGAGTCGTCAGGCCATATGTACCGGTCTTCATCCCTCTATGGCCTTGATGTTGCAGGGTGTTTTTGAGAATTCTCTATGGCCTTGTTGTTACACCCTGCAACATCGTGGCCGACAAGAGTCGTCAGGCCATATGTACCGGTCTTCATCCCCCTATGGCCTTGATGTTGCAGGGTGCTTTTGAGAATTCTCTACGGCCTTGTTGTTACACCTTGCAACCTCGTGGCCGACAAGAGTCGTCAGGCCATATGTACCGGTCTTCATCCCCCTATGGCCTTGTTGTTGCAGGGTGCTTTTGAGAATTCTCTATGGCCTTGATGTTACACCCTGCAACATCGTGGCCGATGAGAGTCGCCAGGCCATATGTACCGGTCTTCATCCCCCTACGGCGTGACTTTTGAGGCGCCTCAAAAGTCAATGAGAGTAATCAAGCCATATGTACCAGTCCGGCCTTCATCCCCCTATGGCCTTGATGTTGCAGGGTGTTTTTGAGAATTCTAAAAAGCACCCTGCTTCAGTGGCCGATGAGAGTAGTCAGGCCATATGTACCGGTCCGGTCTTCATCCCCCTATGGCCTGGCTACTCTCAAGAGCCACGTCACATACCATGTTGAGTGTGGTTACCAACGCGTAACACCACGATATACCTGCAGTGAGGAGAAGAGGAAGAAGCCTGCATGCAGGACGCTGTTTGAGCGAGCTGCTGCTGAGAGAGGGCGACTAGAAGGGAGTAGCATACCATGTGTGTCCGCAACACCACCACGCTCAGTAATTACCACTAACATGTGCAATCCCACCGTAGCATGTACCTGCAGGGAGGAGAAGGGGAAGAAGCCTGCGTGAAGGACGCTGTTGGAGCGAGCGGCTGCTGAGAGGGCGACTAGGAGGGACTCACATCACGTAACATGTGCGTGTCAATTCAATAAGACCCACTAGTAGGAGCACATACTTACCTGCAGTAGGGAGAAGAGGAAGACGCCTGCCTGCAGGACGCCGTTGGAGCGAGCTGCTGCTGAGAGGGCGATGAGAAGAGGAACATACCTGCAGACTCACTAGAGGCGCGCACCTGCAGCAGTGAGAAGAGGAAGAAGCCTGCATGCAGGACGCCGTTTGAGCGAGCTGCTGCTGAGAGGGCGACTAGGAGGGACTCACATCACGTAACATGTGCGTGTCAATTCAATAAGACCCGCTAGTAGGAGCACATACTTACCTGCAGTAGGGAGAAGAGGAAGAAGCCGGAGTGCAGGACGCCGTTTGAGCGAGCTGCTGCTGAGAGGGCGATGAGGAGGGAGTCGCATCACATACCATGTGTGTCAGTAGTACCATGTGCGGTGGTTACCACTACCATCATGTGTAACCCTCACCACACCATAGCAGACAATATACCTGCAGGGAGGAGAAGAGGAAGAAGCCCGCGTGAAGGACGCCGTTGGAGCGAGCTGCTGCTGAGAGGGCGATTGGGAGGGATGCCGAGAACCATCGGCCACTCACAACGCGCCACATGGCAGCGAAGGAGAGCAGAGCGAATAGGCTTTCGGAGTAGCTGTTGGGGTCAAAGGGGAGGGGTGGGGTGGGGTGGGGTCGGATGGGGTGGGGTGGGGTCGGATGGGGTGGGGTGGGGTGAGTTGGGACGAGGTGGTGCGACCAGGTGGGGAGGTGGGGTGGGGGATGTGGGGAAGAGAAGGATGCAAAGACACCTATCTTTCACTGACATACACTCTCCCTCTCACTCTCCCCTCCTCCTGACTGACTCTCTCACCCACCCTCTCACAGATGCCCATCTCACCCACAAACACACACTCCCTCACACACACTCTCACAGTCACTTCCTCAGACTCATTCCCCTGAAGTCATTCACTTACACAGCAGGGTAAAAAGTGGAGGCGGGGGTGAGGCAGAAGAAGAGGGAGGGAGGAGAGGAGGCAAGAATGCGCAGCATGCCCGTTCTCCCTCTTTCTCACACAAACACACATAACCAGTCTCCCAACTTACATGGCAGAGTAAAAAGTGGAGGCGGGGGTGAGGCAGAAGAAGAGGGAGGAGAGGAGGGCCAGGCGCGTGTCCGAGAGAACACATTCGGTCAGCCTGCAGAGAGCACACATGACAGGGCACGTTCAAGAAGGGCAGGCATAGATTGATCCCTTGAGGAGCCTCAAGAGGGAGGAGAGGAGGGCCAAGCGCGTGTCCGAAAGAACACATTCGGTCAGCCTGCAGAGAGAGAGAAAAAAAAGATGAGCAAACATGAACATTAGACGATCAAGAAAAACACATTTGAAGCTTCTAGGTCGTGTCAGAGAGAACACACACACACACACACACACACACACACACACACACACACACACACACACACACACACACACACACACACTCGGTCAGACTGCACAGGACAAAAATGACATGGGACGTTCAAGAGGAGCACACTTGAAAACGGGTTTGCAGGAAGTTCAAGAGCAGCGCCTGACCGGAAGGAGTGGAGGTTAGGCACATGCCAGAGAGAGCACACTTTGTCAGCTTGAACAGGGCATGAAGCACAAGATCAGGAAGATTATATTCGAATCCACCGGACGGTCAAGAGGAGGAGCACACTTGAAGGTCAGCCTCCGAGTTGACTCAAGAGCAGATATCACTCACTCACTCACTCACTCACTCACTCACTTTGCCCACATCTGATAGTGAAAATACCTGAAGAGGCAGTAAGCTGCTGCAACAAAAGCGGCATTTGAGAGGAGCAGTCCCACGAGGGCGAACGTGGCTGGTGCTCCGAGAATGGGGAGAAGCAGACGGACTGAGGGGGGTAGAGGGACGGGGGGGTTGAAGGGAACAAGGACAGGAGGAGAGGAGAGGAGGGAAGGAGAGGTGGTAAGCTGCTGCAGCAATAAAAGCGGCATTTGAGAGGAGCAGTCCCACGAGGGCGAACGTGGCTGGTGCTCCGAGAATGGGGAGAAGCAGACGGACTGAGGGGGGTAGAGGGACGGGGGGGTTGAAGGGAACAAGGACAGGAGGAGAGGAGAGGAGGGAAGGAGAGGTGGTAAGCTGCTGCAGCAATAAAAGCGGCATTTGAGAGGAGCAGTCCCACGAGGGCGAACGTGGCTGGTGCTCCGAGAATGGGGAGAAGCAGACGGACTGAGGGGGGTAGAGGGACGGGGGGGTTGAAGGGAACAAGGACAGGAGGAGAGGAGAGGAGGGAAGGAGAGGTGGTAAGCTGCTGCAGCAATAAAAGCGGCATTTGAGAGGAGCAGTCCCACGAGGGCGAACGTGGCTGGTGCTCCGAGAATGGGGAGAAGCAGACGGACTGAGGGGGGTAGAGGGACGGGGGGGTTGAAGGGAACAAGGACAGGAGGAGAGGAGAGGAGGGAAGGAGAGGTGGTAAGCTGCTGCAGAAATAAAAGCGGCATTTGAGAGGAGCAGTCCCACGAGGGCGAACGTGGCTGGTGCTCCGAGAATGGGGAGAAGCAGACGGACTGAGGGGGGTAGAGGGACGGGGGGGTTGAAGGGAACAAGGACAGGAGGAGAGGAGAGGAGGGAAGGAGAGGTGGTAAGCTGCTGCAGCAATAAAAGCGGCATTTGAGAGGAGCAGTCCCACGAGGGCGAACGTGGCTGGTGCTCCGAGAATGGGGAGAAGCAGACGGACTGAGGGGGGTAGAGGGACGGGGGGGTTGAAGGGAACAAGGACAGGAGGAGAGGAGAGGAGGGAAGGAGAGGTGGTAAGCTGCTGCAGCAATAAAAGCGGCATTTGAGAGGAGCAGTCCCACGAGGGCGAACGTGGCTGGTGCTCCGAGAATGGGGAGAAGCAGACGGACTGAGGGGGGTAGAGGGACGGGGGGGTTGAAGGGAACAAGGACAGGAGGAGAGGAGAGGAGGGAAGGAGAGGTGGTAAGCTGCTGCAGAAATAAAAGCGGCATTTGAGAGGAGCAGTCCCACGAGGGCGAACGTGGCTGGTGCTCCGAGAATGGGGAGAAGCAGACGGACTGAGGGGGGTAGAGGGACGGGGGGGTTGAAGGGAACAAGGACAGGAGGAGAGGAGAGGAGGGAAGGAGAGGTGGTAAGCTGCTGCAGAAATAAAAGCGGCATTTGAGAGGAGCAGTCCCACGAGGGCGAACGTGGCTGGTGCTCCGAGAATGGGGAGAAGCAGACGGACTGAGGGGGGTAGAGGGACGGGGGGGTTGAAGGGAACAAGGACAGGAGGAGAGGAGAGGAGGGAAGGAGAGGTGGTAAGCTGCTGCAGCAATAAAAGCGGCATTTGAGAGGAGCAGTCCCACGAGGGCGAACGTGGCTGGTGCTCCGAGAATGGGGAGAAGCAAACGAACTGAGGGGGGTAGAGGGACGGGGGGGTTGAAGGGAACAAGGACAGGAGGAGAGGAGAGGAGGGAAGGAGAGGTGGTAAGCTGCTGCAGAAATAAAAGCGGCATTTGAGAGGAGCAGTCCCACGAGGGCGAACGTGGCTGGTGCTCCGAGAATGGGGAGAAGCAGACGGACTGAGGGGGGTAGAGGGACGGGGGGGTTGAAGGGAACAAGGACAGGAGGAGAGGAGAGGAGGGAAGGAGAGGTGGTAAGCTGCTGCAGAAATAAAAGCGGCATTTGAGAGGAGCAGTCCCACGAGGGCGAACGTGGCTGGTGCTCCGAGAATGGGGAGAAGCAGACGGACTGAGGGGGGTAGAGGGACGGGGGGGTTGAAGGGAACAAGGACAGGAGGAGAGGAGAGGAGGGAAGGAGAGGTGGTAAGCTGCTGCAGCAATAAAAGCGGCATTTGAGAGGAGCAGTCCCACGAGGGCGAACGTGGCTGGTGCTCCGAGAATGGGGAGAAGCAAACGAACTGAGGGGGGTAGAGGGACGGGGGGGTTGAAGGGAACAAGGACAGGAGGAGAGGAGAGGAGGGAAGGAGAGGTGGTAAGCTGCTGCAGAAATAAAAGCGGCATTTGAGAGGAGCAGTCCCACGAGGGCGAACGTGGCTGGTGCTCCGAGAATGGGGAGAAGCAGACGGACTGAGGGGGGTAGAGGGACGGGGGGGTTGAAGGGAACAAGGACAGGAGGAGAGGAGAGGAGGGAAGGAGAGGTGGTAAGCTGCTGCAGCAATAAAAGCGGCATTTGAGAGGAGCAGTCCCACGAGGGCGAACGTGGCTGGTGCTCCGAGAATGGGGAGAAGCAAACGAACTGAGGGGGGTAGAGGGACGGGGGGGTTGAAGGGAACAAGGACAGGAGGAGAGGAGAGGAGGGAAGGAGAGGTGGTAAGCTGCTGCAGAAATAAAAGCGGCATTTGAGAGGAGCAGTCCCACGAGGGCGAACGTGGCTGGTGCTCCGAGAATGGGGAGAAGCAGACGGACTGAGGGGGGTAGAGGGACGGGGGGGTTGAAGGGAACAAGGACAGGAGGAGAGGAGAGGAGGGAAGGAGAGGTGGTAAGCTGCTGCAGAAATAAAAGCGGCATTTGAGAGGAGCAGTCCCACGAGGGCGAACGTGGCTGGTGCTCCGAGAATGGGGAGAAGCAGACGGACTGAGGGGGGTAGAGGGACGGGGGGGTTGAAGGGAACAAGGACAGGAGGAGAGGAGAGGAGGGAAGGAGAGGTGGTAAGCTGCTGCAGCAATAAAAGCGGCATTTGAGAGGAGCAGTCCCACGAGGGCGAACGTGGCTGGTGCTCCGAGAATGGGGAGAAGCAAACGAACTGAGGGGGGTAGAGGGACGGGGGGGTTGAAGGGAACAAGGACAGGAGGAGAGGAGAGGAGGGAAGGAGAGGTGGTAAGCTGCTGCAGAAATAAAAGCGGCATTTGAGAGGAGCAGTCCCACGAGGGCGAACGTGGCTGGTGCTCCGAGAATGGGGAGAAGCAGACGGACTGAGGGGGGTAGAGGGACGGGGGGGTTGAAGGGAACAAGGACAGGAGGAGAGGAGAGGAGGGAAGGAGAGGTGGTAAGCTGCTGCAGAAATAAAAGCGGCATTTGAGAGGAGCAGTCCCACGAGGGCGAACGTGGCTGGTGCTCCGAGAATGGGGAGAAGCAGACGGACTGAGGGGGGTAGAGGGACGGGGGGGTTGAAGGGAACAAGGACAGGAGGAGAGGAGAGGAGGGAAGGAGAGGTGGTAAGCTGCTGCAGCAATAAAAGCGGCATTTGAGAGGAGCAGTCCCACGAGGGCGAACGTGGCTGGTGCTCCGAGAATGGGGAGAAGCAAACGAACTGAGGGAGGAGGGAGAGCATAGAGAGGAGAGAAGAACGATCACGCATGCTTGTACCCATACGTTTATGTCAATGCACAGACCGTTAGAGAAGGGTAGGAGGACAAGAGAGGAGAGGAGGGAAAGGTAGAAGTAAGATGCTGCATCGAAAACTGTACTGGGGAGTGCAGCAGGGCTAGAATCAATGTAATCTCGAGGTTCAGTGCTGAGGTAACTCTTGAGTCAACTCAAAAGTCACCTCTGTACTGGGGAGCAGCAGACAAGGTGATCTGGAGGTTGAGTGCTGAGGTAGGTAGGTACTGAGAAGAAATCATATGGGGAGTGAGAGAGTGGCAGGGAGAAGGGCGCACGCGGAGTGGCTGGCAGTGGCGGAGGGGGAAGAAGGCATAGGCATGTTCGAACTAAAAAAAAAAGGCTTATTGGCGAGTGGTTACACTCGCAAGGGCGAGAGAAGAACGAAGAACTCACAGGGAGTGGCAGTGGCGAGGAGTCGCATGAGCAGGGGCAAGAGAGGAAAGAATGCGTAGGCCTGTTCGAACTCACAAGAAGGGCCTATTGGCAAGTAGTTACACTTATAAGGCAAGAGAGGAAAGGAGGCCTTACAGGGAGTGGCAGTGACGAGGATTCGCATGAGCAAGGGCAAGAGAGGAAAGAAGGCGTACGCCTGTTCGAACTCACAAGAAGGGCCTATTGGCAAGTAGCGACATTCACCAGGGCAGGCGGAAAGGAAAGGAGGGCTTACAGGGTGTGGCAGTGGCAAGGAGTCGCATGAGCAAGGGCAGGAGGGGGAAGAAGGCGTACGCCTGTTCGAACTCGTAGCCACAGAGGGCAATGCGGTGGAAGAAGACCGAATCCCACACCACTAGGCTCTCGAGGGCTTGCTGTGCTGTGCTGTTATGACCTGATAATGGGGACAGAGGGGCAAGGGGCCAAGAAGTTCTCATAAGGAAGGGAAGGAGGGGGAAGAAGGCATACGCCTGCTCGAACTCGTAACCACAGAGGGCAATGCGGTGGAAGAAGACCGAATCCCACACCACCAGACTCTCCAACGCCCCTTGTACGGTGCTGTTGTGACCTGATAAGAGGGGGCAAGAGGGGCGCGTAGGGGTGTTCAAGCTCGTAGCCGCAGAGTGCAATGCGGTGGAAGAAGACCGAATCCCACACCACCAGACTCTCCAACGCCCCTTGTACGGTGCTGTTGTGACCTGATAAGAGGGGGCAAGAGGGGCGCGTAGGGGTGTTCAAGCTCGTAGCCGCAGAGTGCAATGCGGTGGAAGAAGACCGAATCCCACACCACCAGACTCTCCAACGCCCCTTGTACGGTGCTTTTGTGACCTGATAAGAGGGGGCAAGAGGGGCGCGTAGGGGTGTTCAAGCTCGTAGCCGCAGAGTGCAATGCGGTGGAAGAAAACCGAATCCCACACCACCAGGCTCTCTAGTGCTTGCTTGCTGCGCCGTGCTGTTATGGCCTGGAACGGGATTGGGATCGGGGGTGGGGTTTGGTTAAGAAGTGGAGGGACGGGGTTATCAACAGAGGGCATAAGAAGACCAAATCCCACACCACCACGCCCTCCAACGCTTGTTCTACTGTGCTGTTACGGCCTAACCGGGTGTGCGGGGTGAGGTGTGGGTGGGAGGGGGGTATCATGGGCCCACAAAATGCAATGCTGCGTAAGAAGACCGAATCCCACACCACCAGGCTCTTCCCCTGCCTGCTGCGGGCTGCTAGGGAAGAAGGGGGTTCAGGGTTTCGAGTTTAGCCGGGAAAAAACGAGTAAATGTGAGTCTAGGCAAATAATGTGTATATTGTAGCAGGGGTAGACGGCGGACGAGATGCTACTTACCTGGATAGTCTTCGATAAGCGATGTGGAAAACAATTCAGGGGGTAGACGGCGGAACACCCACTCCGTTGCGCGAGCTACAGTGGGAACGAAGATCAGACGGCCCGTAGCGACATTCTCGAGATTCGATTCGCCAGAACTCTGGCTTCTGACATGGGAGATTCCTAGGAGTGTCAGAGTGCGGTCTACTGCAGACGAATTTCCGGGTGACACGTGGCGTGGATGACACGGGGAGTAGATGCGAGCTGACGTGTCGTAATCTTCTAAGATCGCGTCAAAGGCGAAGAAGAGTATCAGCATGGCTACGCGCGACGCCGCAGCTGTCGCGAGCACAATGCGACCGGCTCGGCGACGATCTGCGACGCTGGTGGGCTTGCCTCGACCATCGCTGGACTTGGGTCGATCCTGTATCGAATCTACTGAACCTGCATCCGGCATCAGTTCAACGCCACGCGGCGAATCCACATCCGTTGCAGCACTAACCCTACGACAAGGCCTCATCTTCCCGCCGTAGGCGGCGTATCTAATACCTCCTAATGCACACGCCGAGGCGACATCTTCCTCTACTAGGAGTAACCACAACAACCTCGTCGTTTCGCTTTACTATGGATTGTCCCAATGCGGCAGATCGTACGTACTAAACGCTCGTGCCGTGCTGAGAGGCTAAGTCGCGAGGCGGCTAACTTGAAAAAGGCCGCTGAGAGAAAAGTTTATCCTGGTGCTGATTGTTGCAGCGTGATACAGTACGGTGCATTGTGGTATTTGCCGAACTTACACGGTTTGCAGCAAGTCATAAATTCGTCCACCCAACTTTGCAAGGTTCAATTGGGTGCACAGTGGTCTAAGGGATGAAAACTGCAAAAGCCTCGAGTATGTCAGGACAGCGTTTCGGCGGGATGGTGTGCGCCGCAGAGTGGTTGGTATGAAAAGTTGAACGGTTGGGTCGGCTCTGACAGAATGTGAAATTCATCCACATTCAACCGCATTCCTGCCTATATCTAACGTCACATATTGCACTTCTGATGGTACGATGTAAGACAGGCAAATACTTGTGCTGGACACACGAAGATGTATATATACAGAACTCCTTGCGTCATAGAGTGGCCTAATCTACTCCCTACGTACTTATCTCCAAAATCCACCACTGAAAGGTCAAAGCCTCACTCAGCTGGTGTCCTGTACTAAAAAACTAGCAAGCAAGCAGCAAGCACTATCTGAGTCCTATTTTATAGCTCCAGCAGCGTCGCTATCCCCTCACGCTTCCCAAAAAGGTTTGCGCAAGCTCACCCATCTCCTACGTGAAAGCAGCTGCAACAACTTCAGCATGCCTTCTATCAGACTGCTCAGAAAGCGTGACACCTCCGCTCCAGGCTTCCCTCATTCGTATCATCCTGTATTACCCCACCTCCTCCCCCTGTTGCTCCAGCTCCACTCCCCTCCCACCCACTCTTATCAGGCTGCAGTCTCGGTCAATCAATCTGTACAGATTTGTAAGACAATAATTCTGAAGATCGTAAGAAATCTCGAAGCTTTTGCAGTATCACATTCCAGTCTCCCTGATGGCTCTCCGCATGGACTTCCTCAGCCGCTCGTTTTCCGCCATCAGCGCAGCAATCTCCCCCTCGATCTCCGCGTTACTCCTCTCAACCACCTCGCACCGCTGCTCCAGCTCAGACACGTAATTCTTCTTCCGCTCCCGCGCCTGCTGCGCGCTCACGCGGTTCCGCAGCAGCCGCTTCACACGCCGCTCATCCCGCTGCTGCTTCGCCGTGGCCTTCCCTCCCTTAGCTTGCTGCCCGGACGCAGGCGGCGAAACGGTAGCGGGAATAGCGGGAGCCTCAGCGGTAGGAACAAACTCGTCCTCTTCAATCTTAAGGACAGGCGAAAAAGGCAGGGCAGCGGCTGGAGCAGCGGCGACCTCCGCGCCTGCCGAAAACTTCACGGCAGAAGATTTACCACCAGCAGCAGGAGGGGGAGCAGCTCTACCCAGCGGACTCTTCGCCGCAGCCTTCCCCGCGCCGGCTTTCCCCATTGCAGCAGCGGACGACGCGGGAACGGGCGAGGCGCACCGTGCGGGGGACGCGACGGCTTTCGGAGACGACGGGACGACGGCCGGGGATAACGGCGGGAGAGGAGCGGCGGGAACGAAAGGCGAAGAGGGAGCTGTGTTCGCGGAGTCGGCGGCTTCGGGATTGACGTGAGTCCAAGGGAGCATGGACGGTGAGGATTGCGAGATGGGGTGGCCGTAGAGGGACGCGGAAGGCATCGCGGAAGGCATGGCGGAAGATACGGCGGAAGGGAACTGCGAGGACGCGTGGTGCGCGTGTCGTCGTCGCTTTCCGCGCGCGGAATCCGCGACCAGGCGACGTTGACGCGCGATGGCAGCAGGGTCGGTGGGCATTGCGTTGGTTCCAGGCATAGCACTGCACAAAGTAAAAAGAAAGTGATTATTAGTTTCCATTCACAGGTAGTGCGTTCCTCTTTTCGCGAAGACTAGTTTTGCATTACTAGTAGAAAATTCTTATGGGCCGGACAAGGAAATATCTGACATCGTTTAGGGAAAGAAACGCGACGCGGACTTACTGTTGGGGAGGCATGAAGGGCGAGGAGTAAGGAGTCATCCACGGGTTGTACGCGAAGGGAGGATACGGCATGCCGTAGTAGGGAACCGGCATGGTGGGCATTCCCGGGTAGTAGAGCGGCATGTGCGGCGGATACATCGGGTGGTTCATCGGATGATGCGCTGGATACTCCATCTTGGGATGCGACGGAGCATCCTCAGTAGAATGCTCTGCGTTAAGAAAATAACAGAATAGAAAGAGAAAATAACGAGTTAGCCACAAAACCTTCGTGGTGACAAAAGCGGAAACAGGAGCAAGACCGCATGGAAAACACGAAAGTGAAAACGAGGAGGAGTCGAATCACATGCTTTCACTGCGTACCTGCAAGGCCCGCTCCTCTGAGCATGAGATTGTAACGAAGGTCCTGCTGGTTCAACGCATCCACGTCATCCATCCCGAACGACAGATTGAGATCCTCCGACGCGAAGCCGTCCGGCGAGCTGAACGCGTCAGGCGATCCGAACGCTCCGTCTGCGACCGAGTCGGCGACGTCGTTCGTCGTCGTCGTCGTCGCAGCCGGCTTCGGAGCGCACGGGACAAGCTGCGGCTCGCACGAGCCTTCCGGAAACGACGCAGCGAGATTCACGGTACCGAACGGGTTCGAATCGAACATGCCGAAATTGTCATGGCTGCCTCCTTCCCCAACGGACTCCTCGGGAACATCATCAGGCAGAAGCCTGTCCGCATTAGGGAGCACTTTGTTATCCTTCTCAGCAATCCCCCCCATTTCGCCCATGTACGTCATTAATTGGTCGAGCCCTCGATCAAACAGGTCCCCGGTCTGGCCAAAGGAGAACATGGTGTCGTCTGCTGCGTCGAACGCGTCTGCGTAGAGCCTCTTGGAACCAAGCTTTTGGTTCGACTCCATGGGAAAGCCGGAGCTCGGAGAAAGAGAAATCTCGCCTGGAATCATCTTGCACAACTTCTAGGAGCGGAGAGTGTAAGAAAGTACTCCAAAGTTGCAGTCAGGAACCGTGCTAGACAGCTGGGGATAATGAGCAAGCTTCGGTAGCTAGCAATTTCTGAAGTAACCTGGAGTGCTGACTTGGAAGGCAGGAAATGATACTTGAATCTTCTCGTAAAGTGAAGTAAATACTAGCGAAAATACTCGCTGGGACAGTGGAGCGGAAGACCGACTTTCTGCGGAAACGGCCGCGGTGTCCTCCCGTCCCGTCCCGTTTCGCTGGGAGTTGCGGAAAATGCAATTGCAGTTGCAATGGCAGCGGTGGAGCAGAGGGGAGAAATGGCCGCTGCTGAATTTGCGGCCAAATGCAGGTCTGAGGTGACAAGGACGACGCGGTTCCGCCACCTCAGCTGCACTCACTTCACCTCACTGTTCCGGATACAAGAGCCCGTACCAACCAAGGCACACCTGGCTGGGCTCAGCTTGGGATAATTTCCAGTTTGGTGAGAGTTGCAAACAAAGAACGCACGGTTGGGAACGATTCGAAATGTTGCAGACTGGTGTAGCGGGATTTGATGGATTTGGCTGGACGATTTTTGGGTGTGTGGGAAGATCTTTGGGTGAAGGCGGTGGGGTTGCTTGCGGGGATCATATTTGGGGAGGGGAGTTGAGGGGAGAGCAGCGTGCGGCGGAGACGAGGTCTTTCGGAACTTTGGTTCGGCGCTGGGAGCGTCAGCCTCAGGTGTAGGTTTGGTTGCACGAGGGGCTGGTTGGTTGGTTCAGGCGGAAGGACTGAGGGGAGAGGGGGCAGGCGTCAGGGAAGGTGGTGGTGGTGGCGGGCCAGAAGAATTAGTTGCCTTCGCGAAACTTGTGACAGACTGGCCATAGGTGGCCTCCTGTCAGAATTGATTCGGCCTGTGCCGCTGTGCGCCCAAGCAGGCTGGTGTGGGAGTTCGCTCGCGAACACGAAAATGTCGAGAGCGTCCTTTCGCAGCGTCCGCCAACCTGTTCGTAGGAAGCCCGTCAAGCAGGAAGAATTCTGACCACGAAATGAGCCCAAGTCCCTCGCTTACGTACGTCACGCACCTTCGACGAAAGATTCACGTCGCTTGAGGGAAAAGAAACGATCGCCTAGATCTTCTATCCCCGATTGGCAAGTGGTTGTCATCAACGACTTTTCGAGGGTGAGCGCCGCACCTCATTGGCCGAGCCATTCGAACCTTGGATCTAGAACTTGAAGCCACCTGGCGCTGAGTAGGAAAATGTAAAAGACAGTGGCAGGATTTCGCCTGATTCGTGAAAATTCCCACTGGTGATGAGTGAATCTAACCACATTCTGCAGCGTGAATCTTCCACCACACTGAAACGGCACAGTTGTCGGCAATCAAATCCTTCACTAATGCACGTCTTCGTCTCCTCCTCGCTCGAACGCCTTCGGTTTGGATGGACTCCTTTATAGTACGCGTGGACGTGTAGCAACACAGGCGCAGCTGTGTAAGCGTAAACAAAACAAAGGTTCTGATAAGCAAACAAATAAGAATCCATAAGCAAGGGATAAATTTTTACTCTCTGATCTACAGCATTTGACAACTGAATGGCTCTAGCTGCTTCACCTAAACTACCAAACGTCCCTAGCGCAACTACTGCCTCTTGCAGGTCAGTTGTCAGACACCTAAGCAAATCAAACTAAAAAGCACTATACTAACTCTCAAACTACTCCCTGGAAGTAACAGCTCTATCATCGAGATCAACAGGGCTGCGATTGGCTGAAGAAAAGAGAAGCCCTCTCCAGCACATGGGAGTACACAAGAGGGTGGTGGCAACAGCATACGCACACTGCCGCCCACCATAGCACAGCGGAGAGCACCACACCGGGGCAGACAGCAACAGCAAGGCCAAGACACCCTCCGAGTCTTCCCAACACATGGGAGTACACACAGCGCAGTCACAACACACAAAGCCCATCCACAAAAGCACAGCGAGAGCAGAAGCACAATGGAGAGAAGCACACCGGGGCACCCGCACCAGCCCACCAAAGCAAATCGATCAGAAACATTGCCATCCATTGAAATGCAGCGCCCACACGGAACGGAACAGCGCAAGAGCGTCAGCCATACTACAGTGATTCCTGGTATGGCGTCAGCAATACCAAGGTGACTCCTGGAATCGCCTCCCATCCGCCTGTTTTGGGTCGACTCAAAGCACCAAAGCAAATCGCGCGGAAATAGTGCCCACAGCCCACGCGGAACAGCACAACAGCGTCAGCAACACCAAGGTGACTCCGGGGATTGCCTCCCAACCACCTGAAGCAGTCAGCCTGAAACGTGCTGGGCGCACAAAGCATGGCTTTAAGTGGACCAGTCCAGTGGAACCAGAGGAGCACACAGGGCATGTTGTGCTGCTGCCTGCGTGTGAACGCTGCTGACAAACAACATTCACGCGGGGTGAAACCCTTGACGAGTTCAGCAGCATGCCTATAACGAGGCTGCAGTGTAGCTGTACCCATTACAAGCACTAAATGTCCAGGAAGAGAGCGAAGTTCCACGTCAGCATTCGTTATGCAGGAGTGAGCCAATGGTTAAACTCTTGTAAACTCGACGGTGCTGCTGTAACGCTTACGCATCAGTGATCAGCCCACAGACGTGATGAGCCAATGGCTGGGATCAGCCCATGTCAGTCCTGTGGTAAATCCAACAGCACAAAAGCACCCTGCTGCTGCAACTGCTGCTGCTGCTGCACCTGCACCTGCCATCACTGCACCTGCTGCTGCAACTCCTGATGCACCTGCTGCTCCCTCCCCTTAGAGTCACAAAAGCACCCTCCTGCTGCAACTGCTGCTGCTGCTGCACCTGCACCTGCCATCACTGCACCTGCTGCTGCAACTCCTGATGCACCTGCTGCTCCCTCCCCTTAGAGTCACAAAAGCACCCTCCTGCTGCAACTGCTGCTGCTGCTGTACCTGCACCTGCACCTGCCATCCTTGCACCTGCTGCTGCAACTCCTGCTGCACCTGCGGACCCCTCCTTGTGGTCACAACAGCCCCTCCTGCCCCCCATGCTGCACCTGCTGTCACATGAGGCAACGGCAACGGCTGAGAGAGCAGAACTTGCAACTGGCATTATCAGCACCACCACCAGCAGCACAAGCAGCGAGCTCAGCACTTGTCTGCCATACACAGCCCCTCCAGCGACCCACTGCTGCCGCCTTCGGACCCACTCTCACTACCATCCCACCAACAATTAACAGCCTTGAACACATAAGCACCGCCAGCAGCAGCAGTACCACCGATCAGCTCCCCTCAGCACTTGTCCGCCATACACAGCCCCTCCAGTGACCCACTGCTGCCCCCTCTAGACCCACTCTCACTGCAATCCGACTCACTCGCCACAGCCCTCAACACAGCAGAGCCCGCAGAGGAACCAGCAGCAGCAGGAACGGTAGCCGCAACTGCAGCCCCTGGAGCTTCAGTAACAGCAGAAGCGACTGCAGGAGCAGCAGCGGCAGCACCAACAGCAGCACCAGTCAGCTCAGCTCAGCACTTGTCCGCCATACACAGCCCCTCTAGTCACCCCCTGCTTCCCCCTCTCGACCCACCCTCACTGCAATCCGACTCACTCGCCACAGCTCTGAACACCGCCCCACCAGCAAGTACCACTACCAGTGGCAGAAGCAGGACCCTCAGCACTTATCCGACTTTTGAGGCGCCTCAAAAGCCAGCAAGTACCACTACCACTGGCAGAAGCAGGACCCTCAGCACTTATCCGACTTTTGAGGCGCCTCAAAAGCCAGCAAGTACCACTACCACTGGCAGAAGCAGGACCCTCAGCACTTATCCGCCATACACAGCCCCTCCAAAGACCCATCCTCACTGCAGTCCGACTCACTGGCCACAGCCCTGAACTCAGCCGCACCAGCAAGTACCACTATCACTGGCAGCAGCAGGACCCTCAGCACTTATCCACCATACACAGCCCATCCAAAGACCCATCCACACTGCAATCCGACTCACTCGCCACAGCCCTGAACACAGCCGCACCAGCAAGTACCATTATCACTAGCAGAAGCAGGACCCTCAGCACTTATCCGCCATACACAGCCCATCCAAAGACCCATCCTCACTGCAATCCGACTCACTCGCCACAGCCCTGAACACAGCCCCGCCCGCAGAGGGACCAGCAGCAGCAGCAGCAGCAACTGCAGCACCTGCAGCTTCAGTGACCGCTGAAGCGACTGCAGGAGCAGCGGCGGCAGCACCAACAGCAGCAGCAGTATCAGCGGCAGTGGCATTGAGGGCAGCAGAAGCAGCGGTGGCATTGAGAGCAGCAGAAGCAGCGGTGGCACTGAGAGTAGAGCGGTTGTATTTGAGATGCGCCTGCACAAGGTGACCAGAGGCGAGCGCGGAGCAGAGCGAGAGTTCCCCCGCCAGCACTGCTGCCGCCACCACCCGCGCCAGCTGCTGCGCGTTCGCTCCTGGCTGTGTCTTGTGCGCGCCCTTCACTCCCAGAAGAGCGAGGGCGGCCGCCTGGAGTAGAGTGGGGGAGCAGAAGGGGGAGGGAGACGAGTTAAGGTCATTTGCTGCTGCCACCACCCGCGCCAGCTGCTGCGCCTTCAGCCCCGGCAGCGTTCTGTGGGCGCCCTTCACTCCCAACAAAGCCAAAGCGGCAGCCTGTGTGAGGGAAGGTAGCAAGAAAGCAGGTAGGGGTGGATAGAGATGAGTTTAATTCGCCTCCAGAGCAGAGCGAGAGCTCCCCGCCAGCACTGCTGCCGCCACCACCCGCGCCAGCTGCCAGCCCTGGCTGTGTCCTGTGGGCGCCCTTCACGCCCAGCAAGGCCAGTGCTGCTGCCTGGAGGAGGGAGGGGATTGGGAGAGAGGGGAAGTGGGGAAGGCATGAGAGAGCGGATGGGAGCAGAGAGAGAGCTCCCCCGCCAGCACTGCTGCCGCCACCACCCGCGCCAGCTGCTGCGCATTCGCCCCTGGCTGCGATGCCCACTGCCACTCACCCTCTCCCTCTCCCTCTCCTCACTCTCTCCCCCTCTAGCTCACCTGCGGTGCGAGGAAGGTTCCTCCGCCAACAGTGCCCACTACAATCGCGGGGAGCGGGACAGACGCGTGCAGATAGGTGCCGTTATTGGCGCTCTCAAGCAGTGTGAGGCACTGCGAGCTCTCCACGTTCCTTTCTTACTCACAATACCGGGAACATGGAGGGGTACAGACGCGTGCAGATAGGTGCCGTTATTGGCGCTCTCAAGCAGTGTGAGGCACTGCGAGCTCTCCATGTTCTGTGCGGGGTCCTGCCCTCAGCTCTCTACCCACCCTCTCTCTGCCCTGCGGTGCAAGGAAGCTTCCTTGCTTTCTCACCTGCGGTGCGAGGAACGTTCCTCCCCCAACAGTGCCGACTTCAATCGCAGGCAGGGTCACCGAGGCGTGCAGATCTTCGCCGTTATTCGCGGCTTCGAGAAGCGTGAGGCACTGCGAGCTCTCCACGTTCTGCGCGGGGTCCTGTCCCGTGGCGAGAAAGACGGCCGTGACGATGTTGCTCGCGTGCGCGTTGCATCCACCCACCGCGCCCGCCATGGCCGACCCTACCAGGTTCTTGACGGTGTTTAGCTCGACCAAGGCGGCAACCGTTGTCTTTAGCACAGTTTCGACCTGCGAGAACACGGAGGAGCAGCAGGGGGATCAACGGAGGAATGGGAAGACAGAGGAGTACAGAGCGGTTGAGGCATGCAAAAACCACCAGGCTCTCCACGTTCTGCGCGGGGTCCTGCCCCGTCGCCAGGAAGACGGCCGTGACGATGTTGCTCGCGTGCGCGTTGCTGCCGCCCACCGCGCCCGCCATGGCGGAACCAACCAGGTTCTTCACCGTGTTTAGCTCCACCAGGGCGGCAACCGTTGTCTTTAGCACCGATTCCACCTGGGGGAGGACGCAGCAGAGGGGAAAGCATGGGAGACGGGGGTGGGAACACAGAGGGGTGCAAAGTGGTTGAGACACTGCAAGCTCTCCATTGGGTCCTGCCCCGTGGCTAGTACCACACCACCCCCGTCGCCAGGAAGACGGCCGTGACGATGTTGCTCGCGTGCGCGTTGCTGCCGCCCACCGCGCCCGCCATGGCCGAACCCACGAGGTTCTTCACTGTGTTGAGCTCGACTAGGGCGGCAACCGTTGTCTTTAGCACCGATTCCACCTGGGGAAGGAAGACAGTAGGCGGTAGAGACAAGGTTGAGGACACAGGGGTCGGGAGGGTCGGAAGGTGAAGAGGCAGGAGGAATGGAGGACAGGGGGGGAGGACAGGGGGTGAGGAGAGGAGGGAATGAGGACGGCAGGGGGGTGAGAAGGACAGGGGAGTGAGGGCAGAGGGGTGAGGAGGACAGGGGAGTGAGGGCAGAGGGGTGAGGAGGACAGGGGAGTGAGGGCAGAGGGGTGAGGAGGACAGGGGAGTGAGGGCAGAGGGGTGAGAAGGACAGGGGAGTGAGGGCAGAGGGGTGAGAAGGACAGGGGAGTGAGGGCAGAGGGGTGAGAAGGACAGGGGAGTGAGGGCAGAGGGGTGAGGAGGACAGGGGAGTGAGGGCAGAGGGGTGAGAAGGACAGGGGAGTGAGGGCAGAGGGGTGAGGAGGAGGGTAGGGCAGGGTGTCGGGGAGGGCAAGGGGAGTGGGAAAGCAAGGTCGGGGGAGGCGGGGGAGGGTGGGGAGGAGGGCAGGAGGGTGCGGAGGGCAGGAGAGTGCGGAGGGCAGGGTGCCGGGGAGGGGAGGAGGGTGAGGAGGCCGGGATTGTAGGGAGAGTAATGGGGGTGGGAAAAGAGGGCGGGGAAGGGCGGGGAGGAACGTACCGCGTGGCCGGGGAAGGTGGCTTCGCAGACGACAGATTTCCCGCGCCCGTGGATCCAGTTGACCGCAGTAAGGGGCCGGAGAAGGGGGCAAGGGGGAAAGGCGGGGAACGTACCACGTGGCCGGGGATAGTAGCCTCGCAGACGACGGATTTCCCGCGGCCGTGTATCCAGTTAACGGCAGTCGCCTTCTTATCCGCGCAGTAATTCCCCGACATGGATCGAGCAAAGGGGAAAGAGAGGATCGCAGTACGTATGGAGGCAGGGAGCGGGTGGGGGCAGGGCGGGGGGGAACGTACCACGTGGCCGGGAATGGTGGCTTCGCAGACAACAGATTTCCCGCGGCCGTGTATCCAGTTGACCGCAGTCGCCTTCTTGTCCGCGCAGTAGTTTCCCGACATGCTCACAACGCGCATATCCGGGAACGCGTCCCGCAGCGCGCCGAGCACGCTCGCGGTGCCCTTGGAAACCATGTTCATGCCCATCGCGTCGCCCGTGCCGCACTCCACGCGGACAAACGCGTTGCGCCCCGCGACCGCCACGCGGATGCTCCGCAGCCGCGCGAACCGGCTGCTGCTGTTGAACGCTTCCGCGAGCTCCGCCCAGTTGCGCGGACTTTCCGCGTATGCCTTCAGTTCCGCCGCGCGCATGGCGGAGGGGAGCTGCACGGCGGGCGCGCGCGTCATGCCGTCGCGCAGCACGACGCTGCGCGCGCCGCCGGCGGCGCAGATGGCCTTGCAGCCGCGGTTCGTGCTAGCAACGAGACACCCTTCAGTCGTAGCCATCGGTACGAAGAATTCCGTTCCGTCCAAAAGTAACGGTCCCGCTACACCCATGGGGATCGTCACGTGGCCAATCACCATCTCGCAGCACGCGCCGCGGATCACATCGTAGTCGTAATTCTCCAGCGGGAGCCCGGCTAAGGACCGGCCGGTTTTAATCTCCACGGCGCGCCGCCGGACCGCGGCCGCGCGGAGGGTGTTGCCGAGTTGCGCCTCGAGGGAATGCATGGGAATGTCGCCGCGCGCGACGGCGCGCGCGATATCGTCGTCCGGGAGGTCTTGTAGCGGGACGTCTGGTAACGAGGATGAACTGTCAGACTTAAAAACAAAGGTTTTCAAGCTGTCGGCGCTGGTGTTCGGTGTGATTGTACCGGAAGGGACTGTAGCGGAAGGGGCTGCAGCGGATGGAATCGGAATCGCTTTAGAAGCGCACTCAGGCTGGAAGGACGAAGGCGGGAGATAGGACTTAAAAGAAGGAGCGTCGAGGTGGCGGTGTGTAAGTTCCTTAGTCTGCTCCTGCTGCTGGCTATGACGAAGCTTCCTTGACGATTCCTCCTCTTCCTCCTCCCGCTCCTCCTCCTCCTCATCTTCCTCTTCCTCTTCGTCCGATAGAACGCTCAGTCCCACTGTCGCTTGCACATACCCGATCCCCAGGAAACCGATTAAGTAGATAAACGAACAGATCGCAAGAGTGACAGCAGCTAAGTCCCGCCATATTAAATTATGGAGCTTGTCCGACGAGTCCAATTTCTCGCGCCAGCGACGGAGGAGGTAGCAGCTAGAAAGAACGAACGTTATAACGAAGATGACATTAGTGAGCCAGAGTGGGAGTGGAAGGCCGTCGGAGGCTAGAGTTCTCGGTCGCTTTTTCCGGCTGTGAGATTCGCCCTGATCCGATACAGGCCGACCCGTTAAGAGCTCGTCCCGGATGCGATCGTAATGAGCGATCATGTCTCCTGGTTGTCTGTGGCCTCTATATGTTAGGTAGGGATGTCCGGGTGGCTCCATGATTAGGGTTAGGAATGGTTACGAGCGGTACGCAGTCGGCTTGAAGTAGCCTGGTCAGAATCAGTAACGAATGTCCTAAAGCTCGCGAATCGGATCGAAGGTTCTTCCTAAAAGGCCTAGCTATGGCGGCTCTAAGTATGGAGGCGGCGCTACTTATAAAAGACTCCCTGTGTTAGCGAAAAACACGCTCTCGGTCTAAGATGGTTCGACGATTAGGGGCGAAGTAACGAAGTTAATCGAGGGCCAATTGGGCAAAAAAATAGGCTGTTGGCAGTTGGTCAAATCGCGATCAGTTTGTTCCGGCTAGCATAAGACGGCGTCAAATTGAGCTAACGGCGTCCTTATCAGTCGCATCGCACAAGAGTTGGACCGATATTGGCTAAAAATCGCAGAACGGTGCACTACTGGACAGAAATTGGGCCTTCGATTGGATAAAAACTAGTGATCAGGAACCGAGTAACGTGACGTGCGTGCGCCTCGTAAAAGTGCGCTGCTGCTGCTTGATTTATCCTCCCTGCTATTCTAGGTCTGCTTCATACATCTGCTGTGCTCCCATCGTTGCTGGTCCACATTCTAGAATGCCGCTAGGTATGCTTGGCGGGCGTGTCATACGGGGGGGGGGGCTGGTCGATACAGTAAAACGGCAGGCAGGAGGAAAAAGTGTTTCTGGTGGAAGTGTGCTAGACTGCCCGCCCTTGATTCTAACGAGGGTTCCATGCGCATGGGTTGCCGCTAGCGAAGGTTGGAGGTCACGCGTGTTTACAACTAGGGATTCGTGTGGCTACCACTCTTTTCACATGAAATCGAGGGTGAGTGTGGGGCGCAGAAGTTCTGTAGCGGGCAGAGGCTAAACATGTTATTTTGCTAAGTGAGGAAGACAACTGAAGCGCGAAGATCGACGGCGAGAAATGCTCAGGGGTGTCAATGGGGTGCTCTCAACAGCACGTCGCTGGTTTCTGGGGACCCCTTGAGGAACCGTTGAATCTCGATTTCCAAACAGCCACGTCCTTCCACATCCCGCGAGTGTATGGATGCTCACATGGCGGGAAAGGTTTCATGACCCACCTTGGATCGCGGAAAGCCAAGTTTGGAGATGTCACGTGGCGCTAGGTGAAACGGCGAAGCAATTCAACTAAACCAGCACAGCAAATTTTCCCGCCAACTCGATACAAGGCCGTTTCGAGAAGCCCTACTCCCACCAGTGAAGCGGACCTACACTTGAGCAGCCTGGATACAAGAATACATTCCTACAACTGGTAGTTATTCACCCAATTACGTTCAAGTGGTTGTACGTTGCAATGGACTTGGCACTCTAGAGCAAGAACACATGCGGCAGAATGAAGATGGTGGGCAAGATCGGGGCAAGGATGCGTTAGAGGTGCATGCCAACAAGCATGTGGGCATTGCCTGGAATTGGAATCAACAGAATAGCATTGCTATGTTGGAAAACAGGAACCGTCCAACTTTATCATCTTCACCACCACGCTGAAAACATCAAGCCATACATGGTACGAACGCAAGGGAGCTCTAATGACCGTTTTCTGTCATAGACCTTTTCACACCCCGTGATCTCCAATGATCGGAGCAGCTTAAGGCCTGAAATGTCATTTGGAAAAGTCTGCAGCTGCTTACAGTTACTCAAAGACAGTCGCTTCAACCTGGTCAACTCAGAAAACCTGGGAGGAAGGGAGCAAATAGATGTATCCGAAACATCCAGCCCAGTTAGGCAGGCAAGCTGAGTGAGGGAAGCAGGAAGATGTTCGAAAGCAGGGCACTTGATAAGGCTGAGCTTTTGAAGCCGGGATAATGCACCGATTGCATCAGGGAGGGAAGCCAGTTTTGGAAGTTCAACGAGCTCCAAGCGCGTGAGGTGCTTCAACTGTGTGATGCTTGTCGGCAAATGCTCCAATTCCTCCGAACCCTGTATCCGCAGCTTTCGCAGCTGCTGCAGAACTGATCCGAAATCTTCTGGAAGCTCCTTCAGCTTCACAAAACACCAAATGGTCAAAGTACGAAGCTGCTTCAGAAAAGTCAAAGGGAAAGGCAGCGTCTTTGCATTCTTCGCCAGGTGCAGCACCAAGTGCTTCAGTTGGGACAAGCTTTTACTTGTCGTCACTTTTCGCCCAGTAGTAACCATGCTTAAGCTTAAACCGGTGAGACTTGGCAGCTTGGAAACGTCGGGCATCTGAGTGAGCTTGGCGCAACCCCCCCAGTTCAAGACTTCCAGAGAGCAGGGAAGTGACTCCGGAAATTCTGTCAGTGCAGTGCAGGCATGAATCTGCAGCCGTTTGAGCTTTGTAAGGCACCCCAATCTCCTGGGGAATGAGAACAGCGCGTAACAGTTGTCGATCGTCAAAATCTCGAGGTTGGTCAGACAGGTAACGGAATCAGGAATCTTCTTGAATGAGCAGCCATGGATGTGCAAAATCTTCATGCCTTTCAGCTTCCCCAGGTCCTCTGGAAGTTCTCTGAAGGAGCAACAAGAATCGAGATCAAGCATCGTGAGGGAGGATAATTGGGTGAACGAGGACGGGAAATGGCCCTTCCAGCTGTTGCACAGACACAGGATCTGCAGATTACTCAGCATTCCAATGTCTTCAGGAAGCGTCACTTCTGGTGTATTCTCGATGCACAGAGCCTTAAGCGCTGTCAGGCAGCAAAAACCTTTCGAAAGCTTGGATAGCCGACGCATCTCAGTCAGAATTAACGTCTCCAGCGATGTGAGCAGGCTGAAGGAGTCCGGAAGATGGAAGAGACACACCGAATTCAGCACCAGTTTTTTTAGAGCAGGCAGCTGCCCAAAGCTTTCAGGCAGGCTGAAAATACCGCTGGAATGGGAAACCCTCAGGCTTTCTAATCGGCTCAGCGACGTGATGTTATCAGGAAGCGGGCCGAGAGTCTCACACCACCTAATGTCCAACTCGCGCAGGTTCGGCAGCCGATCCTCAATGTCGTCAGGAAGGCTCGCGAGTTGGTCTGGCCGGGTGATGAGGAGTTGTTTGAGGCTGGTGCATGCCGATCCTGCAGGAAACATTTGGTCGAATTGCGGAGATGATGCGTTGAAAGTCAGCGACTCCAGACAGGGTAGTATTTGCGCGATGGCTAGAGCAGAAAGAAGTTGATCGCTTGAAACTACGCGGGTGCCGTGAGGGAAGGACAGGCTGGTGAGGTTCGGAAGGTGAACGAGAGATGATATCTGCTGGTAGTTCAGTTGCGGACAGGTAATCCAGAGAGCTCTGAGAGCTGAAAGATTGGCCAAGGCAGGAACTTCTAGGGCTGAAGCGTCGGGTAGAGTGAGTTTTTGCAGCCGCGCTAACTGGAAGAAAGAAGCCGGAAGTTTGACCTGTCGATGCAGGCAGCGTAACGAAAGCTGCTCCAGCTGGGTGCAACTTCGGAAGAAATGATCCAAGCCAGCTTCCGTCACGGGATGCAGATGCTTCCTGGCGTCATAATGATCTTGTGTGATCCGTTCCCCCACGTGAAGAGCCGTCAGCTTGGGACACGATGAGGCGAGGTGAAGCAGGAAGGCGTCATCTAGAGTCTCCACGCTCTCGTAGCAAAGATGGAGGTGCGTTAGGTTCGGAAAGCGAGAGACCGCGATGACGAGATCTTGGCGGGAAACGACGCGGACCGATCTGACCAGAAGCGTGGAGACGTGATGCTAGGAGAGAGAGCGCCAGCGACGACAGACGGACGCTACCCCGAGAGTCCACGCAGCATTAGTAAAGGCGGGAGGTGTAGGTAAAGGGCCGGAAGTTTCGCGGAAGTAGTCCTTAATATGCACTCCGGCAGTTGACTTTATCATCGAGTGCGTGAACTCTTGCATATCGTCGCTGTCGGTATCCCACGGCGGAAGCTGCTTGGATCGCCATAAGATCCTGACGAGGATCTCGTCAGGAAGACTGTGAATGTGCGTGCGAGACTTCATTTCAGCAGGACTCGATGTTACCGAGGCGAAACAGGTGGCCACAGTAGTCACACACGAACACGGGAGGAGCTGGGAGGATTTAGCTCAGGAGGATCTCTGAAGGCCGTTATAGGTGATCTGCGAGTTAGACTGGAGTTGAACGAGGGTGGGTACCTGGCTGGATGGGAGATATTCCCAAGGTGAGGCTGGAGCAATAGGTGAATCGGTTCGGTTCGGTTCGGTTCGGAGGACCATGTTCGCAACTTCGCGCCATCTGTGCTTGATCTGACCTGAAACGGCTGAATTGTACGCGGTAAGAAGAATGCATGTCACAAAACCAGTTATAGATTTACAGGTGACAGCATTAACTGCTCAGTAGTTAAGTTGCTGGACATACAAGTATTTCATTGGTCAAGTTGCCACATCAAACTTCCACCTGTTAGCAAGCCTAACAACAGACCAGCAAATCAGCTGGGAAATGAGGCCTGGACACCTCAAAGCACACTGATAATGAGTAGTTCCTGCCTGGCCCCCTGTTGTCATCCACCTGATTGGTTGCCTGCTTTGATTCCTAATAATATTCAGCTCTCCTGGTTATTGCTGGGTGTGTGTTACCATACCAGCATGTCCTGACTACAGTGGATGTGATGGTAATGGGTGTGATAATAACAGGTTTGTTACCAGCCACGACTGATGCACACAGCCGCACCACCAAAACCATTATCTCCAAGCCACGTTCCAGCTCCATCCTCTATTCGCCAGCTGCTCAAATACTTCTCCAATCCCACACCTGACTGCTGCATCCATCCAAACTACTGCCACAGGCTATCTTTGAGTCGTTTCTGAATGCCTCCCACAAACCAAATCCGGCTCCCACAGCAACATCAGTACCAGCAGCTGCTGCCCCACCACTCCTTCCTGCAACAGCATCAGCAGCAGCCGCAGCTGCTCCCTTTCTCCTGCACATCCAGGTGCTGAAATGATCCAGAGGGAGCTGTAACAGCCCCCTCTCGCTCCTAACTTGAAGTCTCCTGTC